ATAAGACTAGATGTGTCATGGAGGATAGTCGCAGAGAATAGGGATGGATGGAGATGTATCTGCTTGGCGGCATGGTCTCAATGACCATGATCCAAGTAAAGAGAGAAGAGAGAGAACTACAATAAAAAACAAAATCGAAAATAATAAAACCGTTATTGTCGTGAATTTTCTGGTTTTTCCCAATTATTAAGAAAACTACTATTAATTCCCAACTACCAACTAAAAAACATTTTTTTTTTTAAGAAAGATGATAGAAAATCAGTTAACAGGCGGGAAAATGACACACATCATAGTAAAATGAACATAATCTATAAAACCTTATAGGTACCAATAATAAGTAGATAAATATGTATTTCTTTTTGAATACTGAATTAGTTGAAAATTGTATTAAAATTAAATTCTTACATTTTTGATTTCGATTAGCTAGCGATAAAATGATTTAACCGTAAAAGTGTTTAATGATGCATATTTTTAATTAGAGGCATGATTTTAACAGAAAGGCTTGTCTATAACGATATTATAAACTGAAAACGAACCACAAGAATTATGTGTATTCCGACCGGGTATATATAATATACTGAATATGCATTATGCTACACGCTATAACATTTAGAAACCTTGAATTTGAATATAAAAAGTTTAAAAAGTCGATACTGCTCACGGGTTAGCCGCTGTTGTAGGTGGGTAGTTGGAAATGCCGAGACGGCTTCGGCAGACGGGTCCGAAAATTGCAGCACATCCGATACGCTTGTTATTTCTCCTCGTAACTCTTTAAACTCGTTATTAAATCAACATTAAACCCGACAAAACCGTATGTTTACTCGGGCGTGGGATTACCAATAAACTCTTGTATAGTATAGTTGTATACGGCAGTCGCATTGTCACAATAACAGCGCCACGTACCTGCCTCTGCAGACACGACGCCTCGTCGGAAGTCAACAAAAGTATGAAAATATTATATTCCCGTTTACGAACCGTGTATGTACCCACCTAAATTTTGTAAAGATTATCATGGGCACAGTGCGCACGAGGTGTTGTACGTATGCGATGCGGATTGAACGTCCGATCGATTCGGTTTGCAGTATCGGTAGTGTGTATAGGTAATATTGAACGTTACCCGTGTGGTATTATTATGTACACCGGGGCGTAATAATATTCGGAATTCCGTCCGCAACGACAACGATAATGATTTTGAAATATGTAACCCGTGTATAAATATACGCGCACGTCCCCGAGACCGTTTTTGACGTTTTGTGTGCGTACCCCGCATCACATATAGGTAATGCGTATTGTTGTGGTTGTGCATATGTGAATTTTCTGTTTTTGCCGCTGCAAAACGTTTTGGCGACGGCGACGACGACGACCTGTCAGACCCTCCACGTAGCCGCAGCAGCACCGCAGCCCCTTTGACCGGGTTTTCGACACAAACAATAATAACTCGTGTCGTGTATTTGTGTATGTGTAGAATATACCGCGCGCATACAAACCGACCCGCCGCCGCCGCCACGTAAATGTACGTACGCGCACACGGTCGCCGAAATAATAACAACACGAGTCACGGAGCCATAGATCGTCATTGTTGTGCGGACAATGTAATATAATGTTGATCGTTGTTGTTGTTATAACATTATATTATTACAGTAGGCCCCCGAAAAGGAAAACCGCAGGGCTCGACGACCCATTATGACGCGCGGTATTATTATACATGTTATGCGTAGGTACCGGTCTCGGGCCATTTTCACGGGCCGGCGGATGTGCACATTATTATAATATTATCATTGTTATGCCCGAACTGGGCGGGCAACGCCACCGAACGATCGGCTGCCGCGGCCCGCGTGTAAAAGTATACGAGACTTGCACTCGCCGCGTCTTATGCACAATGTACACAACAGGTCCGGCCGGCAGCTCGGTCCGTTCAAAAGGGTCGCGCTCGCTCGCGGCATTTTTTTTTTTTTATACAAATTGTTAACAATAAATATATTAATATTAATATAATTTATTAGTAACAGTTATACAATAAATTGTTTACAATATTTAAGCCTTTTTACGATAAATTCAATCGGTTTCAATGTTTGTATTAATATAAGGAACGTGCGCACGATTTATTATATATGTATATTTATAAAGAATACAGGGAAAAAACCAGAAAAGTCATTTTTTTCGAAAATGGCGTTATCGGTATCAAATAATTTGTATTGACGTGTCGAAACGGCAAAAACACCAGACAAGTCGAAAGTAATGAAAGCCAGAAATTCAAGCCTACAGAAAAAAAAAACCAGAGTTAATTTATAACCAGGTTAAGTGCTGGTTTAATGCACGGCTATAGCCTTGGTTAATAATATAATATGACATTATTATGTTGTGGTTACTTAATTTAAAAGTATAACGCTAAACTTAATCCGAAATTTTTACTTTGTAAAAAAAAAATTGTTAAGTTTTTAAATTAAAAACACGTTTTTCTTAGTTCAAAAAAAAAAAAGTGACTTTTCTAGTTTTTTCCTTGTACCCTTTATATATTTTTTTATATAGAAAATATTTATTCCTAGGCAAACTTGCCTCGGAATCGTGGAACTATGGACAACGAGACTGGTATCGCTAAAGGATATTCCTTAAATATTGTGAAAAATCTAGTTTTCGAAATATTCGAAAATATCGTTTTTAATTACATTTAAAATATAAATGTATGTATAATTTGACCATCGTACAAATGGGATGAGTATGCTTAATAAATCACACTATATTTTTTGAAGAGGGCCACTTTCAGCAGAGCACATGAGACTTTGATTAATAATTATGTAACTGAAAACCACAAAAAAAAATATACATATATAAAAGTAAAAAAAAAGGAGCTGATACTGGGGACGGGTGTGGCCACTGTTGTAGGTGGGTAGTCGGCAAGGTGGATTACATAATGTACTTTAATTTATACCTGTAACCAACGATAAACGATTGCTAACGAAAAACAATTCGGAGCAAAGTTGGGTTACACATGTTTCGAAAGACCGTACAATATTTACGATTTTCGTCAAAATTTTAATTGAACTCTTATTTCACTTTTTTTTTTTTTTTGACACTAAATATGATTTCTAAGTTAAAATGAACCTCCAATCAAATTTACAAACATTTCTGTTTAGTCTAACAATTTTATCCACCGAGTATCGACCAAATAAAAAGTACGTAAAAAACCCTGTAAAATTTAAATGTCTACACAGCTTAAAAGTAACTACAATGTTTTGAAAATGTTACCACGTTTAGAAAAGGGAAATATACATTTTTAGTCTAAATTTCAAGTCTTCAAATAATTAAAATGTCTATAGATAGCTTTTCTGTTGTATTCTAATTATCTTACTTTCATTATTATTGACAGAATTCATTAGTGTGTAAAAAAACCGTCTGCATAGCTAATACATTTTCAATGAAAACTGCAATATTTGGATGAACAGAATTCGTCCCGTAAACGTAACACACGAGGAAAATAAATAATATATTGTTTCTAAAATTATAGAATCAATAATATCAGTTTTATAGTATGCTGACTTTTGGCGTTTAAAATATTTTTAGAATGCAAAGCTACAGAACGTTCCTTTTTTTTTTTTGGCCATGCGGAGATATGGTACCTGCGAAGTTATGGATTCGCAAAATATTTTGTGGATTTCATTCATGCGGAATTAAGTGCGTCCAAAAATTCAAACCTAATCAAGATCCACTAAATTTTCTCTCTTCCATCCTTACTAGGTTTCTATCTTTTACATTAATAGTATTTTTTGTTTTGATCACAATCTCCCCCCCCTAATAAACTTTTATTATTTTTCAATACTAGATAATACAAAATAATAATTAATTCTATACACAGTCTTTAAATTAGTTTTCATGATTATACCAATTAAATATCTTTCCGATACTTGATTAAATATCATATGCTTCAAAAAAGTAAAAGTTTCTTTGTTATCTTCAATCGATAATCAAAATATATAAATAAACAACTTGGATAATTACAATCAAGCCATTATATTTTTTTTAACACAGTCATAAAAGATTAGAACGAAATTGGAAGTGAAGTCGAAATGTAAGAACTAAATTTTAAATTAAGGAAAAAAAGTGATGGCAATTACACAAAATATAAATCTTTGATCTACTGTAGTTATCCATACATCAACATAATAACAAACTTAGGCGGAGATCGGGGGGTGCTTAGCCCCCCCCCAAAAGCATTAAACATTTTTCATAGTATAAAATATTCAAATAGATACTTATTTTACAAAAATTGCCAAAATCTTGGTACTTTGCAAAATATTTTTTTTCTTGAAATATTGTTAAATGTCAATATAATAATTATTATACAATCATATTATATTTATAACTAATCGTCATCGGTGCGCACCGGCTGACCGTCGCGACGGATTGTTATCGCATTATCGCAATGACAAAAATAGAAATTTCCGATAATCAGACTTTGATAAACATTATTAACGTGCCGAATGATCCGAACTCCGATTGCCTTTTCGACCGTTTCGTCTTTCGTGTAACGTTGTTCACTGTCGTAAATCCGAAATCGTGATTTCGGTCGAAACGTCGAATATAATATTATAAGGTAAATGTTAACTACACGTGTCACATACTCACATTTTACTTTTCGTTGTTGTTATATAATATATTTGTATTTTGTAAAACTGTGTAATGTGTATTACTGTAATCTGTAGTATTTCAGTAATTTTATAAGTGTTTTATTTATTTATTAAAATGTCAAGTTTTTTTTAATTATTTAATATTAAAAAAAAACCTAGTGAAACTGTGAAATCTGAAAACGTGTTGCCGACGGAAATTCCCGAAAAAACAGTTAACAAACTAAAATGTTTAAATAAAATTTTCGGGTAGTGCCCCGTGGTACACCCTGTGCATACGCCTATGCCCCTGAATATTATAACATTTCTGTGCACGGTATCCTGTTTTTGCGTAAACAATTTGTTAGTTCGATTTTTTTTTTTTTAATGAAATATATCCTTTTACTCTCGCACCTAATAATAGCAAAAGTACAACATATTATTATTGTAGTAAATTTTCCATAATACATAACTATATTCTTCTCACTGACCCGAAATATTATTATGATCATTTGGCGAATCTGTTCCCAGGACATTATTAATTATACCGTTTAACAAACAATAATTCTTTATTGTTAAATCTATGGAATTCCGTAAGAGCTATTTCGAAGGATTAATACAATTTTCCGTATTTCATTTTTGCCAATTTTTATCCCTACACATGAGTGTGCCTTGCAACACACATGCATATGTCAAGTAATGCACTCAGATTTCTGAAAGACTACAACAAGAAAAATGAATCTAGGTAGAATAATTAAATTAGTACAATATAATATTATTTCCGTAGAAGAATCCACTGGACAAACTATTATTAATTTTTTGATTCAATCACTTCAAAATAATATTATACAATAACTCAATGTCGGAATAATGCATTTTTGATATCTACTTATAAGTAACTAATTTATGTTACAATATAAATCAAATACATTGTACCTAGTTTTTATACAAATAGGTTCTGTATTATAATTACCTTGCTGATAGGTAGATAATTATTAATATAAATATATTATAAGTTTATACCAAAATGTGTTTTATGATCCAAAGATTTTTATAACTAAAATTATATTTTGCATATTTTAAATTTTTAAGTCATATTTTAATAATTTTATAAATTTGTATGTAAAGCATACATTTTGTACAATACAACTCTGTGATTTGAGAATCACAAAATAATTGGTCAAGATTTATAAATGGGACAGAGATTCATATGCTTTTGCATAGTTTTTATAATTTATTTATTTTTGAGCTTATTCTAAGCACATATAAATATCTAATCGATTAATTGTAAAAAAAATTATACATAAACAATAAATTACGATACACATTATACATACATACATGTCCAAAAACTAAAAAGTAAATTATAACCAATATTTCTTAAATGTAGCACATTTTAAAAAACCCATATTCATAAGTCATAAAGATTGATTGGTTTAATATTTATATGTAATAAAAATATATACATATATGCCAAAAATACTCAAAATATATTTTATTTTTATTGTTTATTTTTTTGTAATAAAAAAAAATTGGGCCCTACTGATATCTAGAGTGGACTCCTGGGTCAAATTTAGTTTATAAAACTAAAAAAAAAAAATACATGTGGATGCAGCCACTGTTGTAGTTTGGAAGTTGGGAAAGTAGAATATAGACAGAAATTTAATGGGTATCTATATGCAACGATAAACCATTGATAACAAAAAAAACGATTCGGAACAGTTCGGTTGATAGGGTTTCTTTGTTAACAATATAATATGTATGTCATATTATGATAAAATAATGTAATAATGAAATACACATTTTTGTAATTATGATAAAATAATTAAAAAAATGCGTATTTCCATGACAATAATGAATGTTTAAAGAAGATTAAAATAATAAAAACTTAATAACAAAAAAAATAAATAAAAAAGATTGCCAATGACAAGCTTAATTTTAATCTTTCAATATTTTTTAACCTAAAGAACCAGGTCTTCCTCATCATGAATATTAATAAGAATTTCAAAAAATGACCTTTCTAAAGTATCACCCAGAGAACATTTCCTTTTAAAAAAAGGGCTATATTTTATAATCGAAATAAGCTTTTAGGTAGTGTTAATATAAAAAATAAGTAAATATCATGGTAAAACCAATAGTCTTCACTAAACTCAGAATCTAAAAAAAAAAAAAAAACAATACTAATCTAACTTATTTATAGAAACTAGTATAGATAACTTATTTATATTATTTTATAATATTCATTATAAAACTGAAAACCTGTAAAAGCAGTACCTAGCTAATATGTTACTACAGTTAACATTTGAATTCATTACAGTTTTTAGCAATAAGTTTAATATTTGAATACCTACAATTCCAAATTGCAATCTAGAAGTAGTTTTATAGTTACCATCAAAAATTTAATTTTTTTTAGTTATGACAGTTTTGTAAAAAGTTTTTAACTTTTAATATACAAAACTGATTGAATAATTCAACTTACATATAAGATTCTAATGTAATTAATTTATTAAATATATGGCCTTATGAGTTATGACTTAACATACAATAGTTTGAAAATTTTAAAAAAAAATGTATTATTTATATTTAAAATTAACAAATTAATTTATCTTAATTACAATGAATAACAATGTGAATGTTTTATTTTTGCTAACATAAAAGTTCACCAATTCAACATGAAAATTGATTTATATAAACTGAATTTTAACTTCGACTGATGTTATTGACAAATATTTCATATTGACTATGTCTACAAAAGAATATTCTAAAACCAGCAAAATCATTATTTTTTTAGCTTTAATTAACTTTTACAATAAATATTGAAGTAATTGAATTGAGTTAGGCAACATTTTTAATTTCTTGGAAGTTTTGGCAAAATTGTCTAAATGTATATAAAAATAGAATTATTGTGAAATGGACAAAACAAATGTAGCTCATTTAATTAAAACTTACCCGAAATAAAATTAAACTCGCATTATTTATCAAGTAACCATAAAAACATGTATTTACATTAAAAACCAGCTACCCGGGTCTTATTTATTACTAAAGATTTAACTTTAACTCGATACAAATTATACCTATTGCTTACATCTATCCAGAGATTCCTATTTTAACATGCCAAAATAATTGGTGTTACTAGTGCTGGGTACTTGAATCTAAACAAAATTAGTCTTTTGAAAAATATATTTGATCTATTATAATAATATATTTATGTATACTATTAAATATACGCAAGCTCTTCCAATTTTTTTTTTAGTGTAAGACTTGTATTTAATGTGTTAATCATTACTTCAAATTGGAAAGAAAAATTGAAATGTAAACTAACATTAGTATAATGATCTTCAACTAGAGAAGAATTCCTCCCAGAAAAGATTTAGTAAGAAAGCAACTTTCTTGTAAATATTATTATGTACATATTATCTATTTTTCTTATAATGTAGTTTGTATAATTCATCTAATACTTATCTGTAATTACATTTAATTCCTGTTTAAATAAAAATACATAATTAAATAATTAAAAAAATAATTTTAATAGGCCTATTTAGCATTTTTTATAGCTTTTTTTTTTTTTGCTAACTTGGGCTTATTATACTTTGCTTCCATTCTCTGTATAAAACTATCCATTTGTTCTGCTCGCTCTGCCGATCTTTTTTGAATTGCTGATATTAAATCATAAGAATCATCTTTTTTCTCTTTTTTCAAAAGCTCTTCACACTTTACTTCTTCTCTTTTAGCCTAAAATCAAAAAAATATAAAAATCCCAAGAAACAAAATAACCACATAAACTATTACAACTGCACATTAACTGATAGAAGGAGTATATGGATACTGATATATGGAGTAAGTGACCTTTTTCTTGGATACACTTTTTGTGATCTTGATATAATGTTATAACATAATATAATAATATAATACAAATTTAAAAGTTTAATAAAAAAAAAAAAAAAAAAAAAACACAAATCATAGTACAACTAATAAATTCTTCACCGTATTTAGAATCTATTAGTAAATTAATTTAAAATTAGTTAAATCATACATAAATGGTTTATCTTAATAGGCTATCCTAAACAATTTAGTCTTGTGTTTATACCAAATAGCTCTTCTAACAGTTAATATATGCATATAAACAAACCTTTTCCTAAAATAAAATAATGCATTATTATACCCACTAAAACTAACACCCCACTATACTCATTAAAATTAGAAGTTTCAAAAATAATCTCAATCCTATACACATATTTTCAAATTGGATATAGATCTAAGTTGCAACCCAAGCACATTTTCAATTTTTTTTTTTTTTACAAAATATGTTTTTGCCTGTACATTAAGAATGTAAAAAAAAAAAACACTATGTATGTAAATTATAAGGTTAAGTTATTAAATTATTTCATAAAGTTCGAGTTTTCCGTTTCATGTATTTATTAATGATAATTTAACATTTTCCATTTTTTTGTTCTCTAAATTTGTATTTTTAATTGCTTAATCCATTGGTAAAATCATAATATACTATCATACTTACTTGTATAATTTTAGTAAATGAAAAAGGTATTTTTGGAATTAATCCAAAATTTAGTCATAAAGGGACATTTTTAATTATTATTATTTGTAGTTATTAACATTTTTTTTTTTTTTTTTATATTGAAGTAAAAATAAAGCTATCTGGCTTAGTTTTAGAGTTATAAACATTTAAACGCACTGTGTTTCGCTACGCTCACTCATCGAGTATTACTTTCGATTAAAATTTTCTGAGTGAGTGCAACGAGTGAGTAACCATATGTCTCTAGTTTCATTTATAATGCTTTTGTACTTTACCCTGTTACCTATCCGACGTGATTTTGCACAACAAATCAAGGATTATTTTCGATTAAAATTGTCAGAGTGAACACAGCAAAACATGGTGCGTTTGAATGTTTGTGACTCTAAAACTAAGCCAGAGAGACTTATCCTGACTTCAATAAAAAAAAAACATTGTTATTAATTTATCAATAACTACAAATAAAAAAACAGTATATTCTTGACCAAATTTTGGGTTAATTCCAAAAATGCTATTTTTCAAGGATTAGGTACAAACACTACAAAAGTATGATAGGTAAGTTTTGATTATACCAATGAATTAGGCATTTAAAAAGACACATTTTAAGAAAAAAATTAAAAATGTTAAATTCTAAATAAGAAATACGGAAGACAGAAAGAAAATCCAAATATGAAGTTTTTCTCCACATCTTCTAAACAAAGTTCGCCAAACTTTTTTTTTTTACATTCTCAGTGTACACTCAAAAACAGAAATATTTTCAAAAGAGCTTAAAGGTCATATACTAAATTTGTCCCTTAAAATTGTCAATCACTAAAATTAGGTAAATCATTTTTCACTATCAACGAATTTACTTAAAATGATGAATGCAAATTTTGAAAAGGAAAATTGAGAATAACTACATTTTTAAACTAAGCTACATATTGATAAAGTATTAATAAATTTGGGATGGACCTAAATCTAGAGTTTGTTAATTATTAGCAGAATAATACATACCTATTTTGCTGATAGTGAGTTTTATGTTTTAAATGATATATGAATTTAGAAATGATTTAAGAATAAAATTTAACATGGTATATGCATTAAATTTTGATATTTTAACTTTTATACTAATTTAAATTATAGGTTGGCAGCCTTAAAAAGTCTGTATGCGACCCCTAGGTTGAGAAACACTACTCTACACAACTTGATAATGGCCACCAACAACTAATATGTGAGACCTACTTAAGATATTTCAAATGTTTTTAAAGTAAAATCAAGTATTATTTAATTAAATAGGAGAAATTTATAAATTTATTTAATCTAATAATATGATTATTGCAATCGGTACTTACTTTTTGTAAACGTTTCCTCTTTTTAGTTGGAGGTTCATTCATAAATGCCTTATATCTCGGTAAATCTTCTTCTTCAATTATTTTTTCTAACACTTCTCTAAGACGATCTTCTTCATAAACTGAACTAAATGGAACTGTATTTATAATAAAATCCATATCTCCCTGCCCACCAAGATATCCTTTCTTAAGATCTCTTTTCTCATCATCAGAACCTAAAATATATTTAAAAATTGATTATTCATTTATTATATTTCAAATCCTTAAATATATACCTTTATACTTCAATTCATACTCTTTAATATCATCATCAGTAATTTTTCTAAATATTGATCTCCAATATGTTTCCCAAGGGAAATCTTCTTCAGTAGAATTAGGATCAATGTCATCACCAACACATCCTAAAAAAGGAAGTTAAGACATTCATTAAATCAAAAAATATCAATTTATAAAACAAACAGCTCCAAAATATTATATTAACATTATTTGTTGCCATCCTTATTTTTGGGAGTAAAATCATTAGCTACTTTTTGTTTCCAAAAATAGTAACCTATATTAAAAATTTCATCAAAATATGAAGTTTAAATTTTAATACATTTCAAGATTCAAATGTTTAATTTTTGTCAACCACAATAAGGGTGACAAAAATTAAGGTAATGTAACATTTTAAAGCTGCTTATTTCATGAATTGTCTAAATAAAGTTAATGTTTTTTAAGATAATGAAAGTCTTATTGAGAATTGATCATCCTGTATATATAACATAATAAATACTAATAAAAACATTTTTTTTTTTTTGAATAGTAAACGTTGTGGCGATCACAGAATAAATATCCTCTAACTCAATTTGTTTTTATTTAGGTATTTCATTTTTAAAACTATGGAATACACTTCATTTTATTACTCTATAGTACAAATTTATTTAATTAAACCTTCAATAAAACAGTGAAAGCAACTTTTTACATTCAAACAAAGCTATACAAAATGTTTTGTAAAACCTTTTGCTTTACATAAATAAATAGAATATCCTATATTCTAAGGATTTTTGATTTGAATTCCAAATGTATATCCTCATTTCTACTTGCTGTCAATACAATATATAAAAAACATGTATTCATATATATGAGGGACAAACCCAATAAATATTACAAACTTTATCAGTTATGATAAAACAAAAAAACCCAAACATTAATCAAATTAATTAAGAAATTAAAGAATTCATTATAAAACAGCAAAGCTGAAATTCCAGAAGATCAGTGATTAAAAATATCTAATAAAAATATAAGATAATATGAAACAATAACAAGATTATATTGTATAATATACTTGGATATTTAACTAGTACCCATATGACCAAATAACAAATGAGTATCCATATCATTAAGTAATATTCTGTACTCAATAACATTTTTATAAATTGTAGTGTAAAAGAAATAGTTAAATAGAACATTTCAGAGTATAGTATGAAAGGCCACAAACATTTTGATATGTGTTACGTATCAAACTTAAGCTATAAAGTCGCTAATAAATAATTGACCAGTACTGTAATTGTACCTGTACTTTGTTTACTCAGTAATGGTAAACAAATGAAAGTTTATTCTGTGATTTAGTATGGTCTCATAATTGAATTAGTATTAATTTAGATATTTTAAATATTTTTTCTTATATAATCATCATAGTTTTTTACCATCAGACAATAGTTAACTAATAAATTATATTCTTAATACATTTCATTCAGGAACATAAAAAAAAAAAATGATCTAATAATAGTAATCAAAAATTAGTTCAAAAAATATAAATGTGGAAATATTTGCACAAAATGGAAGGTGTTTAACACAATTCATATCTTACCTGTATCATCATAAAGTTTCCTTTTATCATTGTCACTAAGCAATGCATGCACCCGACTGATCACTTTGAATTTTTCAGTTGCTTCAATTTTCTCCTTTTCACAAACTTTGTCGGGATGATATTTCATTGACAACACATAATACGCTTTACGAACTAAAATAAAAAAAGGATAATAATTTTGAATAATACAATTGTAATAATGTAAGCATACAATATCAATACCTTCTTTGTCTGTACATTTATTATTTATATTTAATACTTCATATAGATTTTTTGTGTCAAAATATTTACGACAAAGTTCCAGTAACGTGGTCATGTTGTAGAATTAAAAATGAAAATATAATTTAAAACAAATTTTTACGTGAAAAAGCTGATAAGGTATGAGTGATGAATGACAATGAAAGGATATACTGAACAAACAACAAATACAGTGAAAAGATTTTCAGCAAATGAAACACGTGCGTAGTACTATTTGTTATTTTGTCATAGAGACGTTGACGCTACTGGAGACCGGATTGTCAAAAAGGGGAGTATAGGTAAAACGACAAAGGCTGTAGTCAGTACTCGGTAGACTTGTCTGTGCTGTTGACCGTAAAGTATAGGCATAATATATTATCATCTGACATTTACATCTAAACACTATAGCCTCCTATCATAAGAATAGAAATGGCGGGAAAAAAAATACATGGTTATGAATTTCGTCGTTTCTTCCATAGTCAATAGGACGATAAAAATGTTGTAAACACACCATGTCGGTGATAATAACCGCTGTCTGCTATGCTCAACTATTAGTTAATGTTTATTCTTGTTTAAGATTACTTTCTCAGTACTTATTTTAATACTACGAATTTTACTATTTAATATTTAGTTTTACATTGAGATATATTATGTCAATCGTTTGATTTTTTTTATTGAATCCTTCAAAAGTAATACCAAAATGAATACGAACGTTAAAGGGTCATGTGTTGACGTTATAGTATGTATAAAATAGTATAGTTTTTAGTTAAAAATAATGCCAAACTGTATTTATAATTGCTTACAATGTTTTTTTTTTTTTTTACAAGGAATTTAAGTGCCCAGCATTCTGTAATCTTCGTGTTTTCAATGAGGGACATAAATTCGATTTGGCTGCCAGTATGATCATTAGTTCCAATCGATTTGGCATAGCATTTGTGGCTTCACCCAATAACCTTTGTTGTAAGATATACATATATTTTTTTTTTAATTTTAATAGAATTAATGTCAAAGCCATTCGGATTTTTATAATTGTAATATAAAATAATAACATAGTAAAAAAAACACATATGAGAATATATAAATTCAAAGTAAATTGTAATCATACTCAGTTTTGATAAAATTAATGGAAAAATTGATCTGTATAACTGATGGGAGGAATAAACAAATTCTGAAATCTGGTGTTGCAAGTCCATAATAGATCTTAAACTTTGAATTTTTAACTATTAGTTATAATATTATTACTTTAAAATTAATATTAAACTCTTTTTTGAATGGTTAAAATTACAATACATTAAGTAATATTTAACGGGTATGTTCAAAATATAGCTAATTATTTGATATTTAAACAGGTGCATAAATTCGGAAATTTATATTCAAGGCCTGACTAAAAATCAGTAGATAGTAGCTACCTAAAGAACAATTTCATTATAAAAACAATATCTTGAACTTTATATCAATTTTCAAAAATTCCTAGGAAATCTATAGAAATTGTGTTTAAATAAGACTAACAAAACAAAAATTTAATTAACTCCAAAATCCAGAATATTTTTTGAAAGTTTCATTACATCTAAAATGTTTAGGTATTTTACCCCTATTTTTTTTTTTTTTAACTCCCTTGTCTATCCTAAAACAATTTACCAGCCTGAAATATTAACTCAGTCCACCACAGTATTTATTTAATCATGACCATAAACATGTAATCATTTTTTTAAATTTTTGTATTTTTTCATATAATTTCGTATATAAGCCAATAAATTACCTATCTTTTTTGGATATGAAATGTAGTACAGCAGTTAATATACATATGTTAACCAAAACTATTTTTATTGATGTAAAATAAATAATTAAATTATTTTAAATTTTTTTAGTGATTTTAATGAAACATGTTCGTCAGTTAACTGGTGATTTTGGAATAGAAAAAAATACATTGACAAATTTCTTAAGACGTGAAATTGAATTAGGCTATACCCCAAACTTTTTAGACCTTAGCTGTGATGAAGGTTATATTGCAGTTGCAGGAACTTCAAATTCAAAACCCTGTATAACAGTGTACAATGTTGAAGAATTAATTTCTCAAGTAAACTTAATTGATTATAATTATTGATGTTATTTATGATATATGTGTTTTATTTCAGAATTATATTACTCCATTAGTTTATATTGAGTTTGAAGCTACTCAAGAGTCACACGTAATAGATATGTCATGGAATCCAGGTGTACAAAATTCATTGGCGTGTTGTTTATCTGATGGTTCATTTTATGTTATAGAATTAAAAGATGGTGGAACTTACAGTCTTGTCAGTTTACCACCACAATCAAGTACTTTGTATGTAAATTTATTTATTTATTTTTTCTCTATTAAAATATAATTTTTTAAGGTGTTTAAGTTGGAGTCCCAAAGGAAAACAAATAATAATAGGCAGTTCAAATGGTTGTTTGACTCAGTACAAACCTGAACTTAAAGCTGTTAAGCAATTTTCACCACCAACTGATGTTACAGGAAATGTAAAGCCCATCAAAGTAAAATGGATATCAAATTTTCAATTTGCAGTTATTTATGATTTTTTAGATAACACAGATGATCAACCAAGTTATTAACTTATAATTATTAATTATAGTATATATTCTATTTAAATATATTTGTATTTTACATATTATATATCTTTTTAAGGTCTTTATATTCTTAACACGCCAAAAAATGCACCAGTGGAATTTATTAATTTTGAACAATTTGTTATCTCGAATGTAGAACAATATAGATCTAATCAATATTACACAACATTTATACCTAATTGGTGTGTTTGATTTTATTATACATGATATATTTTATTTTAATGGTATTTATTATTTTATTTTTATTAGGAATCTTCTTTTTGCGGCTTCTTCAAATTGTTCAGAAATAGGTGTGATGGGAATAAATAAAGAAAATAAATGGCAATGTTGGGTATTAGAAATAAGACCTGAATTGCCATACAGACTCGATAAACAAATTTATCCTTTAGGAATGTCTTTAGATTTTTCTTCACAAATGAAAATGAAACAAAGTAAATATAGTATTTTGCATATTGTCATAATTTTATTTAATATTTAATTTTTGTAGTATCTAAAGCAAATGAAGAAATTTTTCTTGATCCAATGCCAGTATTATGTGTTTTATCAACTGATGGAATATTATTTATGTATCATATTGAAAATCAGTTAACCGGTTACAATAACATATGTAAAACTCCCTCGGAAATATCTGATAATATAATAACTCAATTATTTACTACAGATTCTAAAATAGTAAGTCATTAATACAATTATCAAACTTAAAATTTAATATACTAGATATTTATAAAATAATACTGCTATAAATACTCCAATCTACTCTATGTCTTTTTTTATAATACTGTGCAGTATAAGGATGTTTGATTTGCCAAAAATAATCTGTATTTTATTGAAAAAACATGTTTTGTTGCCAGGCACATAGCACCCAAAAATTAAATGATTCTCAATTGTATGTATTATAAAGATATGTATGCAATTAATAAGAACTATTAAAATACTAGATATTTTGATATACAATATACATACCTTTATAGTTTAAAAACAATATAGACCTTAATAATGTGCTATAAAATATTTGATATTTAAATTTTTTCTTTGAGTAGAACATTCCTTCTCGGCTATTTAACTTAAATGATAACTATATAAATGTTTTTACTACATCATAAATAATAATATTGCATATGGTATTATGATTTTATTATTAATTTAACATGATTAACTATTTTAAACATTATAAATGGTATAGATAAATCTATCTAAAGTAAAATTTTTGTTTATTTAGTTAAGCTTATTATTAATTTATAGTGTATTATAGTTTCATATTTATATCCTAATCATGGTTTTTTATAATATGACAACATTTGGGTTTGAATGATATTTTACCATTATCAATTATTATATATTTATATATTCTGAGTTAAACGAGAAATGCATAGGTTTTAAATTGATGCTTATTTTTATTTAATTTTTTTATTCTGTGTACAAAAATTTTATCAAAAATTTCGCTCTCAATTATGGAGTATAGTACTTTTTTTGAAAGGGAATTTTCCTGGTTTCGTATTAAGGAAGTCATTTTTTGATTTTATCAGAAATTTTACCACTATAAAATATACAACATTTATTATTTTAAATATTACGGCCTTTCAAAAAATGTATAACTGAATTCCGTTCAAATTCATATTTTGGTTAACAAGGATTAATTGTTGCGTACAGATATACATTAAATTCCCCTCTATATGCTACCTTTACAAATTCTTTTCCACAATAGTGTACCACCAGTCATTTTACCCACGAGCTGCCTCTGATATTAAGAATGAAAAATATAATTTTTATGCTAAATTGTATTAATTTTAATTGCTACCGAGGTAGATTGCACACTTAAGAACAGCTGAAAACATAGGCATCTTTATATTGTATATTATACCTTATTTAACTGTTAAATACTATTGAATTTAATATTTTTATAAATTAATACTAATTAAAGTACTTTTGTTTTTATATATATAGAATTATAATCAAGAAACTGAAGACGTTGTTGTTACTGAAATAACAGAACAAGTGGAAGAAATTAATGCTGTGTATGTAAATAATTGTTATACTTTTTGTTAAGCCAGATCCACACCTGTGAATGTATTGTATTCTATTTTAAACACATGCTTATTTTTTTTGGGGGGGGGGCGACTCCTAACTTATAGTCCTGGTCAATGAGCACGTTGAATATATTATTCACCGTCTATATTTGCTGTGCGCTGAATTTAGTGTATACAATTGTGATTTAAACCATAACGTGCACACTGGCTCAAATGCAAACCAGGCTTTAAATACAACATTTTTTTTAAATGATTTAGTGCTTGTTAATTTTTAAGATTACGTATATGTGTTACAATGACAAAGTAATTGTACTTTTTAAATAACCAATTAAAGATAAACAATTTCATTTCATACTTAAGATGCGAAAATCTGTATTATTAAAGATAATAGTTGTTGGTAGTTCATGGTAAATTTCCAATTAAAATTTAGTAAAAATATTTAATTAAATTCTACTTGGAATTATTTAGTGTTAGCAATGATTTATCATTGCGTTCAGAATTCAAACTAAATGTCCTATTTTTCTAACTTCCACTTGAATTACTCAATAATATGAATGGATATTAAATTATCCAACAAAAAAATATAGATTTTATCTATATTAAATCATAATATTGTATTTTAATAAAAACAGATCTAAAGAAAAAAATTAAGTTTATAGAAAATTGTACAGTTAATAATATATTGAAATGATTTTGATTAATTTATTAAACATTTATGTTCCTTTAATAGGTATATTTGAGTAAAATACTTTTTTTAAAACTTATTCGATAATTAGAAATGCCTAGAGGGTATATGGTTCCCCTTTCTTATTCTGAGTTTAAGCATATAATGTAAAATGTATTTACTAATACACATCACATTACCAAACTATGAGAAGTATCAAATATTAAATAAATATGTATATATTTATTTTCATATATTTGATATCAATCTGTATTAGGATATAATCATATAAAGTAACTATTTCAAAAATCTGTTGAATATATTCTAAGAGTAGTATTTTCTTTGCTTCTTAATTTGAGAATATATTGATTTGTTTTGAAATTGGTTTTATATATATATATAATTGACCTTTAGTTTACATTTTTATAAATTTGATAGAGATGAAAAATCTAAAGGAGACCATAATGAATCAGTTCTTGCAAGTTATTTAGAATCATCAATTACTTCTCAAGCTGAACAACAAATTGGTAAACTCAAATATATATATGAGTATATAATTTTAACAAATTTGATTATTTATAGATAATTAATTTTATTTATGCACATTAGTGAATTCACCAAAAATATCAGTTGTCAAACCAAATGCTGCTGTTTCTATTGCGACCATTTCTCCTGTTCAAAAGGTTCCTAGTCAATCAAATCTTTCTGATAATAATACATCAGCAGATGAAGCTGCAAATCGAGTAATGTTAAATGAAGTTTTTGAAGATATTCAATTATTTCAATTGCAATTAGATAATGTATTAAAATTATCATCAAATACAAGTAAACTCAAGGTAAGAACACACGTATATTTTAACAGAATATATTTAATCAGTAATTTTATTAGATTGGCGATGAAAAAGATAAAGAAACACTTGTAAAAAAATGGACATCATTAGATTTGTTTTTCAAAGAATTGAATGAAACTAATCGTTCACAATGGGCAGAAAGCAAAGCTCTTCAAAAAGCTGTATTAGATTCTATTGCTTGGATTGAAGACTCAAAATCACGCCTATTTTTCTTGAAAAACCCAAAGTAATAAATAAAACTGCTCATTTTTCAATAGATCAACTATAATATTGATCCTGGTATTTCCAGGCAATTTCCTTTTTGTGCTTACCAAATTTCTTTCATGGACATTTTTGATTGTATTTAATAAATCTCTTCAAGCCAATATCTTCCCTTCCATCCTGAAACTTGATTTTGTAATTGTTATTCTCAAATCAGTCAACCTAAACAATGTTTCAAACTACCATCTTATAATAATTCTCCCTCCCATATTTAAAGTATTTCAGACCATCATGTCCTATTCTGTTTGGTAACTAACAATTTCATCACTGATGAACAGCATAGTTTTTGATCTAGCATTCTTATGATTTCTTTTTTTCTGTAGCATTCTCAAGATGCTTTCCTACATTTCTTTTTGTGAATTCTGTAACATCTGTCCTACAAAATGCCAAATTACTCATCTTTGCTGACTATATAAAAATTACTAAGATTTTCTAGATGACCCTTTTCAGGCTAAAATTTTCTTTCACATGTCCTCTCATTAGACCTTTCAAGCCCTGTTGATCGTAAACATCTAATGTACATTTCTCTCCTCTAAAATTTTATCTGTACAAATTAAATACCCTTCCTTATTTTCTAAAATAAATTTTAGTTTTCCTTTTCATGTCTCTCATCTTTCTTTATATTTCCTTACAAATATTGCCATAGCACATCTCCCTCGTTTTGCAAACATTTACCCCTCTTCTAAAGTCCTGGTTACACAGTGTAAACTAACACCCAAGGTTAGCCTAGTCAGTTACTGCAGTGCAGGTACTCACATTGTGTGACCGCATCATACAAATTAGTATGTTGTGCGAGTCTGTTAGTCTCTTGCATCCAAGTAACTACAATATTTTTTGTTTTTACTATCATGCTAGTACACAAGTGCAATAGCTGTCTACTATCAGGTCAGCAACTCGTATTGTGTAACCTGGCCTTAAGTATGTTGATTTTATTATACTATCTTTTAATTGGATACAAAATGAGCCAGTTGTGTAAAATAAATAAATAATATTAATTTATTTTAAGGTATAAATGTCTGTTGAGAAATGATAGCGATGAACCATTCAGTAAAACACTTTTTGAAAATATAGAACGTACATTATACTATATTGAAACTCAACTAGCACATGTCGATGACCAATTAAAAGCTAGATATGACAGCTATAGTCCAAGCAATAAGTAAATTAATATTAATTTTTAACATTAGAATGTAAGGTTTATTTTAATATTTTTTTTTATTTCAGAGAATTAAAAATACCATGTTTAGAAACTATATATAAGTCATTAGTAGTAAATACCAACATTGTAAACAAATTAAAGGAAAAAATTAATCATCTATGCAATATTGTTGAAGAAGTGAAGTATAGAACCTTTAAAAAATTAACAGTGGCACCAGATATTGTACAAAATGCTTCTAGATTAAACGTCTCACGGTAAGTAAATTTGTTGTCCCTTCGTCTTTCTTTGTCTAGTATATAATTATATTTATTTTATACTTCTTTTTTTTACATAGTGATGTTGGTTTATCGAAACTTTCAGAACAATTATTAAAAATTACATTAGACAAAGATGGAGTGTCTGCCATTAATTCATATAATGTTGCTAAAAAATACTCTGTACTATCGGCAAATCAAAGAGCCCTTTCTATTTCAAAAGTTAATAAACTTCAAGAATGGTTGAAAGATTTCAAAACTAGGCGAACAAAAGTAACCCGATCAAATTATGCAAATATAGATCTTAGTAGACCTATGTGTAGTACACCTTTAAAACCATTGTCAAAACAAAAAGTTCATGAAAAAACCACTGAATTTCCTTCTATAGAAACAAAAGAAAAATTTGCATCTAATTGGTCACAAAACCCTATACTAATAAATAAAATTGACAATTTTAATATAGAGAAGAATACTGGAGAAATACCGGTATCCTTGACTGATTTAACGCAATTAAAAGAACCTATATTTATTCCAACCACACAAACAGATGCAGTAAAGCCAACTGCAATTGCTAATATTATTCCGTTGGGGTCTCAAATTTTATCTACAAACTCTGGCATGACATCAGTGTGGAATCCATTAGATAATACTTCTACTCCTAAACAAGCCATAACAAATAAATTTGATTTCAAGGGTTTTACCAAAGATCCAATGACAATTAATTCTGCTGCTCCTGCCTCAATATTTGGTAGTAATACAACTTCTACTAGTGTTTCTGGCAAAGATCCAGTAGACTTCAGTTTAAAATCATCAACAATAACCCCTTTGGATTTTAGTAAAAGTGTTAATATGGTTTCAACAAAATCTACGTTGGATGTTATTTCAGGTGTTGATTCAAAAGAAAAAACACCTTTCAGTTTCATAAGTGCGCCTTCAGTAAAAACAGAAACAACTATACCAAAAAGTACCATTTCGAACACTTTTAACTTTACAGATTCTATAAAAAATAAAATGAATAATCAATCACAAGTGTCAGGAACTACATTCAGTTTTGATACTACAAAAACTTTGCCTAAACCTTTAGAAACTCCTAACATATTTTCTGGATTTATTAGTGAAAATAAATCAAAGAATAAACAAGAAACAGAACCAAAAGATCCAACATTAAACTCTTTTAATTTTAGTTCTAAATCAGATACAACTTCATTTTCAACATTCAGTTTTACTACACCCAAAGATAATATCGTAAAAACTATAGCATCAGAACCCAAAGCCATTTTTACTTCTGCATTTTCAACAGCTGCCACTGCATCATTCAATTTTTCAATTCCTAAAGTGAAAAATGAGCCAGTTAGTTCTTCTGCAGTGTCCTCAACCGTAGGAATTGATAAACCATCTGATTTTAGCACTGTTCATGAAACCTCTACTACAACTAGTAGTGTTACTGAAACTACCCCCAAAATCTCTGAAAATCCAACACCAATAATATCTGAGCCAGTTACTCCAGAAAAAGAAAATCTTCCTATTATTCCAGAAACTGCAAACAGTGCATCACTTTTTGAAATTCCATCTACAAGTACATCATTGTTCAATTCTTCTGTTAATCCAACAAGTACTGCAAGCTTTTTTGAAAATACCAAGAGCACAATTAGTCAAGCGTCAATATTTAATACAACAAGTACTAGTGCCCCTTCAATTTTCAGTACGCCTACAAATACTACTAATACTCCATCAATTTTTGGTACACCTACGAATACAACCAAAGCACCTTCTATTTTCGGAACTCCAACAAATGTACAAACCTCATCATCAATATTTGGAACACCTAATAGTATAACTACAACTTCTTCAATTTTTGGCACATCTGTTACTTCAACTACTTCATCAATTTTTGTAAATACAACAAAAACTACTTCATCTATATTTGGCACACCATCTACAACAACTGTGTCTTCTATATTCGGATCAGCTACAACAACAAATACTACAGGTGGTTTTGGATCTAACTCAACCACCAGTACTATGTTTGGTACTCTTGCTACAACTAGTTCATCAATGTTTGGTAATCCAACTGTATCTGCTTCATCCACCTCAATATTTGGTTCAGCATCCACTACCACATCATCCATTTTTGGTGCACCCACTGTCACCAGTACAACATCTTCAATTTTTGGCTCTCCTTCAACAACAGCTACGTCTAGTGGGTTATTTGGATCTGTAGCTGCAGCAGCTAATCAACCTTCTGCATTTGGCCAACCTTTAGGATTTAGTTCTCCTGGATCAGCATTTGGTAACATGAGTATTTTTGGACAAGGATGCAGTCCATCACAACCTAATAATAGTTTTACACAAGCTTCCAATCCTTTTGCTGTTAATAAAACTCCTACCAGTACACCATCTTTGTTTTCTAGCCAAAAAAATGTATTCGGACAACCAGCAGCCAAGTAAATTATACCTGCTAATGATTGTATATTACACATTTGATTTCTAAATAATTTCATATATTTCTAGTACAACAAATACAGGTTTTGGAGCGGCAAGTTCAGGATTCGGTGCTACTGCCACTACTGGATTTGGTAGCTCTGCAATGAATCAATCAAGTAATTTGGGTTTTGGATCTGTTCCAATGTTTGGCAGCATGGGTGGTATGTAAATAATACCCAACTTTTTCAGAGTGATATGACTTCTGTATTCTATTATAATTAATTTTTCTTTTTAGGAACTGCTTATGATATGTCAAAATCATCTGGTTTTGGACAAACACCTGTTTTTGGTGGAGCTGCTACATTTGGCTCACCAAATCAATCACAATATACTTTTGGACAAAATAGTACTACACCTGAATGTAAATATTCTATTTAATTAGTAAAAATAATTTTAATTTTAATCTTTTTTTTTTTTTTTTCAAAGCTGGAACTTTTGGATTTGGTTCAGCTACCCAGCAACCATCGACTGCATTTGCATCTCTAGCTGCTCAAACCAATTCACCGAGCTTTGGCAATATAGCACAAAATCAAAACGCTGGTTTTACATCTCCTGCGTCTACTGGATTTGGTCAACCACAACAAACAAGTCCATTCAAACCTCAAGCACCTACATTTGGGTAAATATTATATTTTACCATATAGATGCCTCCAGTATGATTAATGCAATTACTACTAACTAGTTTAAATAAAAACATTTATAAGTACTTTTTTTAACATTATAATGTATAATAATATATGTATATATATTTTTTTTCAGGGGAAGCTCATTTAGTTCCTGGCGCTAAAAAGAAATTATACAAAATTCATAACAATCATAATTATATTCATAATATTTTTAAAAATGTGTTTCAAATCATTAATGTTAAACAACTAAAATTCAGCAGCATTTAATTTAGTAAATTTTGTAACATATTAACATAAAATTGATGATGGTTCATGATTATTCATGTTCATCTAATATTATGTAATTTTTTTTTAATTTTAAATGAAAACTATATTTATATTATATAAATATAATAAATTAAAAATACAGGTATTAAATAGTTTCAAAAAACATCAATGAATTATATGGTAATAATAATATATCTATATACCACAATCCCAGAATAAATATCCTCCAATGTTGAAACACAAAAATAAATTCTCAGAATGATTCTTTTACTATTACTAAACTTAAGTATTATTGTTGTAAATATAAATTCAATCAACAAATTCATTGTCTATATTTATTTAAAAACTTTGTTTTTATAAAATAATACAAATTATAATTGTTTAGATACACCTTTTTTGCAGCTAACTCTATATAAATTAATTTCAGTGGACAGTGAAATATTTTAGATTTTGAACTCTAAATCAAAACAGTAAATTTCATAACTCGATTGTATTCACAATTATCATACATTCAATTATTGAACATGAGGAAATATAAGTACCAAACTATTTTTATGTTATATATTTTAAAGTTTAGTGTTGTTTAACCATAATACTAAATATTAAATGGTTATTTTGCGTAAGTGATTATAATCTCGAATTTCACTTATTATCATTTTTGCATGTTATAATCTATATCTGTGTACTATACTGATTACCCACCCTGTGGATCATATAATTATATAATATGTGACAATATATTACAATATACCCGTGGATGAAATTATTGAATTATTGTTATTATTATTTTCTCGTATGAAAAACCGGAGGTTAGACTATTATACAATTTATTATAAAATTATTTTATATGTACCTTCTAAAATAAAATTCCCTTTAGATTAGGTTAACTTAGCCGTGACATAAATTTTTAAGAATGGAAATATATTCCCTTCTGTAAGAGGCCTATGTATGCCACTGTAATATACTAAGTACTCATAAATTTAAATAATCATGTAGGTTTTATCAAAATAACTTTTTAATTAAATCAAATTAATCTGAATTAGATACTTACTTGTATTATTAATGTGTTTTAATTTATTAATTAAGTTTACAAAACTATGAAAATGAAAGAAAGAAGAGGATGATCGAAAGAGAAGTGGTTAGATGCTATAAAGAGTGATATGAGGCCACTCAAGGACATACTAAACCATCATTCTGTATCTAAACAGTTATATAGTTATTAATGTTCATTATTCGCTATGATTGTTAAATAACACACAATAATTCTGTTTTTTTGTTTCTTTTTTTGTCTGGTATCTGACCATTTTTATTAATAATATCCAATATGAAATATTGACACAAACTTATTTTTACCATATACTTACACATATACATACTTATACATAAAAATGAATAAGTCTATGATTTTTACCCATAGTGCTAACCTTTGAATTGAACATGTTGATTTTTCCAACTTTTCAATAATTGTTAATGTGTTATTTTTATAAAATATGAACTTAACACAAACGTTTTTATATTTTGGATAATGAACATGAATACTTTTAGTTTATTATAAAAAGTTCTAAACATTGAATAAATTGACTACCTTCTCTAAATGATCATTTTCTGGTTATTATATTTTTTTTTCAATAATTTTTATGGAAAACCTACATTCTATTAATCTTCTTCCCAGTATTTTATGCTCGACTGAAAATCAGCAGTATTATTTTCTGGATTTATATTGAGTTTCTAGTTCTATTGATGTACACTATTAACAGATACCGTCAAAGGAAACGCATGACTCGTGTACAGTAGCAACACCGCCTCTTAAGATGTACATAAACATAACAACGCATAACATTCATTACACATAAATTATTGTAGTGGCTCTATCCATTGTATATAATCTATGCCCCGTAATCATTTAGGCCTTAAGGATCTAGGTGGCCGTTCACAAAGTTCTAGTTTACACACAGGGATTAAATGAATAGGGGAATTAATTAACCAATGGAAATCTGGATGCCTGTGGGGAATGGGAATGTAAATGGACAATAATCTAGATGGAGTGTCACCGTTTCCCTGTGATCAATTATGTTCTGGTTCACGAGAAAACGCAACTTGCACGTGCATCAAATAAATGAGCGTCATGTTGTCTTATGATCAAATGTTCTCGCCACGCGATCATCAATACGTGAATGGCAGAATTTTGGTCGCCACCCAGTTGCGTTCTCTTGTGGAACGGACTATGAAGTATAATTTCCCGTGGTCATTTAGATAGGTACATGGTTAACTAGATCTTTTTTATATCATTCAGATTTTGATAATTTAATTGACTGATTGACTGATGAAGACAGAACAAAGATTAAAAGATTCAAGGGACTTTTGTCAAAGAAACTGATTAATCCATGGAGGTATAGTTAACCAAGGGGAATCAAATTAACCGAGAATTTAGACGACTTGTCATCAAACTATGTACCTAGGTACTAATTTGGAACTTACTGTAATTATGATATAATAAACTACCTAAGTATGATGCACGCTTCCGTCACTCATCACAAAATAGACCAATATGGATTTTTCTATTCATATTAACACTTTCATTAAAAAGCTATTAGAATACTAGGATTTATTAATAGAACTAAAATTGATTTTAAAAATACCAACACGTTGAAAACATTATACTTTTCCCTGTTTAGTACCCACCTTGAGTTTGGGTCAATTGTCTGGTCCCCTCACTATTTGTCTCAAATAAGTCTCATTGAAAATGTTCTGTATAAATTTATAAAACTATTATGCTTTAAATTAAATATACCCACTTCAAAATATTCATACAATATGCAGATTACCCAATTGGGGATTGTCTTGTTATTTGAGGAGAAATGTTGTGGATATTATGTTTATTTATGACCTATTAAATGGTCTTATTTTTTCTCCGGAATTATTATCTCTGATTAGTTTCAATATAAAATCTCGCTGGTTAAGAAATTCTAACTCATTTCATGTTCCTCTTTATAGAAACAATTATACTTTCACTTCATTTTTCTTTGAGTTCTGTATTTGGTGAACACGTTAACGGACATAATTGATTTTTTTTCTGTCGCGTAATGTTTTCAGACAGAATGTTAATATTGCCTTAAATTTGCTTCTTTAAATTAATATTTTTTGAATTATTAAAATATCTTAGCTACTTCTGTTATTTATTGTTAATTTAATACTTATACTTTTATCATACTATTTTTGTTTTGTATCCATACGCGTGTATATATATATATATATTTAAGCATCATATTTTCACTATTTAGTTGAACAAAAATTAAGTGTATTAATTGTATTTTTCTAAAGGGTTAAAACCCGTTTAAAATATATAAAATAAAATATGGCATTCACGATTACGTATTTCGTATAGATACTGTGAGTTTAAATCATGATAGGTTCCAAATTATGCTCTAGCAGTTTGCCAGTAAAGCTTAATAGGATTAATAGTTCATGTCAACCTCTCAAGACATACACCCTTTCATGTCCCTACTTACTCCAACTCTTAGTTCATTCTATATATATATTTACTTTTATATTGTTTATTTACAAACTACTTTATTTTTCTGTCATTTTTTGCACGTAATCGTCTTAGTTTTAAGTCTGTTAAAAATTGGTTTGGGTAACACCATTGTCTGTTATGGGAGTCCTCAACTCACCGTGTCGTTTCGTTTTATAAATAATAAATGAATCTCTTTTCTGATTGGCTCATATTATCATTGTAGACACATTTTGATTTTGTCTACCAAAACGTTACCACGGATATCGCAGAGTTAAATAAATTCAACTTTTGGACTTGCTGGTTATAGTTACAGCTGGTAACGTCATTTTCGTGTTTTCATTTTAATAATGAATTTAATTAGTATTTAAAGTTTCATTTTTTAATAATTTAATTTAAAATTAAATGTGATTTAATAATCAATTTTAATACTAGTTTAAATTCAATATGATTTTTGTGGAGGTAAATAATATCTAGTGTTATGTAAACGTAAAATGTATATTTTTTTAGGGACAGATATGCACTTTATGCAAAAAGTTTGTTGTATTAAACACTGAACACAATTGTACTTATGATATAAAATTACAAACTAGTACTAGTAAGTACAATACCAAGTAGGTAATTTTAATATAGGTTGTACTAGGGATGGGAATAATCGAATGATTTCGATAATCGAGATATTATCATAATCGAGTGATTCACTTGATTAAAATAACTGAAATATTGTACCTAATCTAATAGATTGTGGCGAACCACAACGTTATCATTTTGTATAGTTACCGCGGTTAAGCGCGCCAGCCGTCGCCAGCTGTGCGCTCTCCCACTAATGTATTTTCCGCACGCGCACGATCGCTGCCGGCTGCTACGATGGCACCGTCATCCGCCGGTCTACGCGCTCGCTTTTTTCTCTTCCGCTACGTACGTCGCGCTGTACACATTGCCGCTCCGGATTTGTGTTTAGTTATGTTTATGTTGTCGCCGTATAGGTACTACGTTTACCATATATGTTTATGTAATTATTCTGTCGCAATATAGGCACCACTCTTTTCTACTTTATTATTCCTGCGTGTTAACGATTTTATTTATTTATTTATTTGGGTAACCTAATTTCCCAAAAGATTAAGATCGTTATCTAATCGATAAACATTTTGATTTTCATAATCCAGTGATTTATTCAATGTACCTAATCGATTAGATAAATATCACTCAATATATCGTGAAAATTCATACGTTTTTAGATTCTGAGCAGTAACACTCATTATTCATTAAATCTATAACATTCTTACCTTTTAAATTAATTGTATTTCCGTAAAACTTTATTTTTTTTTTACAAATTTGACAATTAACTACATTTTTGTTGGCTTTTTTTTTAAATGCTCCCACACTACAGAACGTTTTTGACTGCTTGGTCGCATTTTAAAATTTAAAAATTTATTTTGACTTTTTTACGATACGCGTTAATTTCGTATACGATGTTTTACGATATGCGGACGGTTTCAATAAATGAAACAAACGATACAATAAAATGTACTTAAATAAGGCCATTCAATTATTTATTTAATAGTTAAATATTATATGGTATGTGTGTGATAAAAATTAAAATAGAAACAATAGCAAATTAGCAACTACCTATTTCATTTATGATTCTAAAATCATCTAGAAATGATTAAAATGATCTACTTGGCATTTGTGCATAATAGTAAACTATGGGTTATTTTATTTTGATTCATATTGTATATTGTTATACATTGCGCGAGATAAGAACGTCATTGTGCTAGCATGCCGCAGTTTTGAATGTTTTGATACACCGTCCGCGATAAGAAAATAGTAAAATAGGTAATATTAGTGATTAGTAGTCAATAAAATAGTAAAAAAAAATAAGAATGATTACTGATAATGTTTCGAGTAATCACCAAATTACTAAACTAGTAAATATAAAAATAGTAAATATTAATTAATAATTACTAGTTTTTCATTCGATTATTTTTCTAATAATCGAATTACTCAATACATTCAAATAATCGAGTTACTCGATTACTCCAATCACTAGGTTGTACCATAAATTTTAAAACCAATACCTACTAGTATTCAGTAAAATTTAACTATTAAAAAAAAAAATATATTATAAACTAAAATTAAGAAAAATAGTTTTGTTGGTTTCATTATTATTATTAGTCAATCGTATAATACAAGTAAACTTTATTAATATAGTGGTTACTGTTTAGGTGATAATTCAATGACAGCGTCTTTTTTTGACAGAAAATAGTATGAATAATAAAAAACCTTAAGAAAGTGTAGAGACGGTAAAATATTGATGGCTAAATAATAATAAATATTCATAATTGAAAAATATGCGATAATAATTACCGCGCATTTCTGGTAAATGGTAAAATAATAGTGATAATATTGGTTGTTGGTAGAACGACAAGTACAAATTATTTCGTGCAATCAAAAAAGAACGTGTCGTGACTAAAATACACAAAACAAATTATAAACCAATCAGAAACGATGAAAGACCAGCGCCAGATTTGCGCAATCTGAGACAGAATTGCACCTGTTGATATCATACCTATATTATAACATGGAGTTTATTTTATGCAAATTACCCATAGAAAAGATAGTATGGCTTTATGAGTTATGATAATAGTTGCACAGATCGGTTATCTTAAACTGTAATTTTTAAACGTTGGAAATTCAAATTTTAAATATTAGTGTTAAAAATGTATTTTGTATTTTTTGAATGACAATAAAATTGTGAAGCATGATCTAAATGGATTTAAAATTAATTTTTTCATCAATCAATTTTTTTAAATAATAAATGACCCTAGTACAATACAAATTTAGTTAAAACAATTTGTTTTTGGTTTTCATTATTATTCTTATTAAAATGAAAACCACTTCTTTCACTGCAGATATCCATCCATCTCAAAAGAGACAATTAGAAGAAACAACATTCAATGGAAATTCTCAGAAACGATTTCATGAAATGGATGCCCAAGATTTTTTTGGTTTACCACATAAAGTAAAACATATGTTCAAAAAACACAAACAAATTTCCCGGCTTTATGGTTTGTTTTTCAACATGTTTATGTAAAGTATATAATAAGCATTTTTATTGGACCATGCAAATTCCAATTTAGATTGGCAAATTGAATGTTTGAACTTGGAAGCTGTAAAAAATAAAGAAAATTTGGTTTATGCATTACCTACAAGTGGTGGAAAGACATTGGTAGCAGAAATTCTTATGCTTAGAGAACTTATAGTTCACGAACGTAATGTTATATTTATTTTGCCGTATGTTGCCCTAGTTCAAGAAAAGGTAATACTAAATTTTGTAAAACTCTTTTATAAAATTATTACTATATGCCTATGTATGTTTGTGTGTATAGGTTCAATCTTTATGTCCATTTGGTCTTAACTTAGAATTCAATGTTGAAGAATATGTTGGGGGTAAAGGAAAGCATCCTCCAATTCAACGTAAACGTAAATCGTCATTATATGTGTGTACTCTAGAACGAGGAGCTGGATTAGTTGATTGTATGTTAGCAAATGATGGACAATTAGGTGGCCGAAGCATTGGAATGATTGTAGTTGATGAATTACATCTTCTTGGTGAACAAAAAAGAGGAGCTTTGTTAGAATCAACCCTTACAAAAGTTCTACATTTTAATCGTAAGTACCTAAAAAAAAATAATATTATTGTATTAATATTTATTTTAATATTATCTAGATAATATTCAGATAATTGGTATGTCTGCTACAATTGGAAATATGCAAGAAATAGGTAATTTTTTGAATGCTTATGTTTACACAAGAGATTTCAGACCTGTCCAACTCATTGAAACCATAAAAATTGATGATGCAATATTTGTGATTAACAAAGATATCGATGGTTCTCTAAATTCTAAACTTAATAGAAAATTAAATTTTAGTGTATGTTTCAAGTAAACACTATAAATATTTCATATTTGCATTACATTTAACTTCTTTTGTTATACCTATTATTGTTTTCTGTAGCTTTTTTCCATAATGGTTTTTGGTTTCACTGCCTTAATTTCATTCATAACACTGTCCCCAGCTTAACCTTGGTTTTCCGTACAACCTTTTTATATTTAAGGTCTTCCTTAATAACCTACTTAACTGCCTACTAACCTTATAACGCCATGTATGGCTCGCCAGTATTAATCTAGTTTAGCAATCTATCTAACTTTGGCTTCTGGAACTGAAATTAAAGTTAACCAATATTATTATTATATTAATATTAGTTATTTATTAGCATTTATTAGTTTAGAAATCAAATATAACTCATAAAAATCAGTTGTCCACTTTCTTCAAATAATCTTCACAATCTCTTAAAGAGATTAATGTTTTCTATATATATAGAAAATTGTTTTTATAAATAATAATTTGTTTTCATTTTATAGGTTTACTCAACTGATATGAAAAAATTAGATCCCAGTGGTATAGGACTTCTTGTACGTGAAATTTTACCAAGTGGTAGCTGCTTGATATTCTGTCCTACAAAGAGCAGTTGTCAGAGTATTGCTAAAATTGTGTATAAAACTATAGGAAAGTAAGCTTATCAGAATTATTTTTTTGTTGTATCAGAATTATAATATAATACATATGTTTGTAAAACGATCAGAGAAGTAGCACATGTTGACTTGAAAAAAAAAGAAGAATTATATAAAGCGCTCAAAGTAGAAGGTGATGGTAAAGTGTGCCCCCTATTATCCAGAAGTATTTTCTTTGGAGTAGCGTATCATAATTCCGGTCATTATTTTTATACTCTTATTATATTTTAAATAAATTCTAGGTATTTGATGTAAATATAGTTAAAATTTCATGTTTTTAGGATTGACTAATGCTGAAAGAAAACTTTTAGAAGAATCATTTCTAAGTGGCATTCTTAAATGCATATGTTGTACATCAACATTGGCAGCCGGTGTCAATCTTCCTGCCCAACGAGTAAGATTAAACATAATGAATAAACTTAAGATTCTAAACAAAACACAAGAGGGGTACAAAAATTTCAATATTCTTTTAACTTATTATATTTAGGGTCCAAGGGCATAATATTAAAAAGAAATATTTATTGTTTTCAAATTTAATGTCCACCTCAACAGGTGAAGAATATCAGAACTGAAAAAAAGTCTATATTTTTCTTTTACATTTATAATAGGTGATAATAACATCTCCATATGTTGGACGAGATTTTATGAAACGGAGTACATACAGACAAATGGTAGGACGTGCAGGCAGAGCTGGATTAACAGAAAATGGTGACAGTGTAATTTTATGTCAAGAAAATGATAAAACAAAGGTTATTTATATTATCTTACAAATTATTATAGTGATTTTTGATTGAATACATTTAGGTTTCATATAATATAATCAAAAAGTAAAAAAGAAATTCTAAACCAAACTTACCTATGAGTTTAATTATAAACAATTCAATTTTAGATTAAAGAATTACTAGAAAGAGGTATTGAACATGTGGACAGCTGCCTTGGCACAGAAGAAAATGTAGTTTATTCAATGATATTGAGCTCTGTTAGTACAGGATGTGCGTCTAGTCAACAACAACTTGTAGATCTTATGAAACGTACACTTTTTATACAACAAACAGAGAAACTTAACAGCGAATGTACAGTTGCATCTGATCTAGTAGAATCATGTGTAGATAAATTGAGATCAATAAATGCATTTGATAATACAATTGAAAATAAATTAAAACTGACTCCAATTGCAAATGCAGCAGTTGCTGCCAATTTAGATATATTAGAAGCACAAAAATTGTATACAGAATTAATGGAAGCATCTAGCGCATTGATATTAACTAATAAACTTCATTTATTATACTTGGCTGTTCCTTATAAAGAATGTATGACATTAGAACGACAGAACGTTTTAGAAATAGTAAGAATAGTGTTATATCAAGTTTGATAAATCTTTGATTATTTTTTTTTTTTCCATAGATGACAAATTTACAAGGTGATCAGCAAGCGTTGGCTAACCGTTTAGGATTGACCGAGTTATGTATCTCACAATTTATTAGTTACGGGAGAATCAAAGTGAGATATTTTACTTTATTGAAACATAACTATTTTACATTGTGAACTACATTAAAATAAATAAATGCTATCTATAACTTGGTTTTTCATTATTTTTGTCAACCTAATCTAGTTAAGTAAAATTCATTAAATATAATTATTTCACAACTATAATTAGAATGTTTCAGAGATCATTTGGAATAAGTTCCTCATGAGTTTAATTTTGAATGATTTGTGGAATAAAGAATCTATTTGGACAGTCTCCCAAACATACAATTTACCAAGAGGGACAATACATTCATTTCTATCTAGAACTGCATCTCATGCTTCATCAATATTGCGATTTACAGAGGTAAAATTTAATATTATAATTAAATACAGTATTACGTGACCAGTATTAAATAAGTAAAATATTTTAGTCATTAAATGATAAAAAATTGGACCATTTTCCAATGTTATTTCAAAACATCGTTCCTAAACTCAATATAGGAATATTAGGATGTTCATCTGATCTTGAATCTTTAATGGGTTTGCCATCAGTAAGATTTGTAAGTGTATAATAATAATGTCTGTATTGGAATACAATTTAATATATATGCATCTTTAGGGTAGAGCAACACAACTGTTTAAAGCAGGCTATAAAACATTGAATGATGTAGCTAAAGCCAATAAAAAAGAATTATGCAATGTTGTAAATAATTTGCCATTAAAGGTAGCTCGTGAAATGATTGCTTCTGCTAAAGTAAGTATTCTGTTTATAATTATTATTATTCAATTTACATAATATAAATGTTTTCTTCAAAATAGCTTATGTTATTATCAGAAGCAGAAACACTCGAAGAATTAGCTGAAAGCTTACGAGCTGATCTGAACCAGTCTATGTCAAAGAGTAAAGAAAATATATTGTGGTTTTAAAATGTTAAAATTATTATTATTGTTATTTAAATTATATACTATGGCTAAATTTAAGGAAATTAATAGTGATAAAATATTTCAAAAAAAAAAAGAAAGTTATTTTTGTATATAAATTGTTTAATTTTAGTTGGCAAATTTCAAACATAATTATTTAGAAGACAAATCTTATTTACGTTCAGTTAAAATATTTATTAATTAAGTAAATATAAATATATGTAAATTATTTAATAATTATTTTATTTTTCTCATGTTGTATCAGTTAAATCAATAATATTTCAAGACTAAGCTGGTAATAGCAGCAATACGTTTATTTCTCTATGCTGCATTTGTATATAAATTAAAACTATAATTTACATAAATAAATATCTTATTAGACACTGTAAAACAAATGAAAATTATGTACCAGACAATTCATTTAAGAATATTATGTAATATGCAAGAACAAATATTTGATATTTATTATTGCAATATGGTGCATTACATTATATTACACATAACAACTAGGTTTTCAAAGTTTTGAATTTGGGTTAATAATACTTTCAGAACAACAAATACATATTACAATAAAATGAGCATTAACATGCAACAAAAATGATAACATATCTATGATTTCTGTATTTAATATAATAATATGCTATTTATAGCAGCAATGATAAAGAATAAAAAAAAACTCAATAGAATAATGGGTGTTACAAACATAAACATAAAAGTTAATGTAAATAATACAAATGAATAAATAATTTACCAGTTAGGAATGACAGAAAGGAAATTATGATTACAATTTACTTTGCAGGTGATATAGGTTTTTTCAGAGGAGTCTGCTTTAATTGAAGAATGATAGACCTCATGCGAGTCACATCCTTACTAGCACGGCTGGACTTTGGATTAAAATCACAGAGTTTAGAAATACGGTCCCATTCAGTTCCTGGCTCGATTTCATCTGATTCAGCAACAAATTGTTTTTCTGCATTTCTAGATAAACATAAAAATTCAATTATCATAGGTAATCAAAAAGAATTTTCATTAATAATGTGAGGCATCATCAATTTATTTAATTAATTATTAAATTGTGTTTATTACTCACATTGCAGATTCTCTATTCCAATGAAGCATTTAGGAAAAATAATATAATTTAAATGTAAAAAACTGCTCTTATAAAATGAGTATTATATATATTAACTTAATCTGTCTTGTTGATTTTAATACTAGATTATTATATTGGCTTATTATCAAACTTAAAGGTGAGAATATTGTTTGTGTTAACACGTTGATGTATTTTCAATATTTTAATTTTTAAATGAGAAAAGATTATTTTAAAATTGTAATACTTTACATATCCATAAATTACTTGAAAATAAAAATACCAAAAAAAAATCTAACGTACAAACATAGACAATGTCCTTTAGGTTTAATAATATACAAACACACCCTAATGTTAAAACTAACAACACACAATCGGTTTTCATTCACAAAAAGTTTAAATGTAACAACATTAACCAATTTTACAACATTTACTGTAACACACATACAGGCTGTTCTACAAAGATATACCCCTTGAATATCTCAAGAGATAATTAATATAATCAAATTTTTTCCAAGATCAAAATAGTCATCTTAAAATTTTCCAATAATAAAGTTATTTTTTTATTAAACAAAAAATATTTGTAAAGTCCTCATCCCTGTGAGCAATATTAAAAAAAAAAAAAACCGAATTTATTTATCTTTATTAACTCTGGAGATATTTAAAAGGTATATCTTCATAGGACAGCCTGTACATATACATAATCAGTCAAAAATAGAATTAAATAGTGTTTGCTAAAACTAAAAATAGTTGAATAGATAAAAATAATAATTCAGATAAATACTATTGTCTCTAGAAATCTAGATTTCATTACCAAATTCTAATTCTAACTGATTTCAGATATTTATTGCAACATGTATATTTATACAGTGATTCATTTAAGTGGCTGTATTCATATTAACAATTTTTTTTTTGACAATTTAAGAAACGAGCAGTTTTAAAATATTACATTAATATTATTTTTAGTTACTAAAAAAAATGGAAAACAAACTTGGAGTTGAAATTTTTGTTTTTGTCAATCCAGTGACAGCATATTTAACTTTTAATTTTAGATAGTGAAGTACTATTTGAACACTCTTATACTGAGCCAACACACTTTTGGTGTTCCACTACTTTCCTTTGCCTAAACTTAAAAGTAGAATATCCTGTGAACAGGACAATGGAAATCAAAAATGTCAACACCAGAATTTATTTGAATTAATACTCCATCAATGTGTATAAAATGTTTAGTATAGGTTATCATTTTAATGTCAAAAGTAGGTAGTCATTTCACCCCACAAATGAATATCAATACAACATATAAAAGCAGTTTGTTTCTTATGTAAAAAAAAATTGAGAAATTGAATACTTTTCAAAATATTGAATGTAGCCATTTTAATGGATCGCTTAGTAGTTACCTGTTAACATCTTTAGTTTTTGCGATTTGTTCCTTATGAATCTTATACCATTCTTCTAATTCTTTTTGGGCTACTTGCCGTAATTCTTCTTTCTTCTTTTCTTCATTAGCATCTATAGAAATAATATGTTAAAATGGTAAATTTAAACTTTTAAAAAATACTGTCCTAGGATAATGAGGATGGGTGCAGTCACTGTTATAGGTAAGAAGTTGGAAAAGTAGTATAGGGGAAATTTCATGTATATCTGTAAGCAACAATAAACCATTTCAAAGAAAAAAATGATTATAAGTAAAGTTCGATTGATAGTGTTGCTTTGTCAATAATATATAATATGTTAAAATATAGTAAAATAATCACATATGCATTATATATTTTCTTTAATAATATTTGTTATTAATTTATAGTTATGTTTAATTATATTTGTACCTATATTTCCGTTTTTTCTGTTTTTCCAATTTATTGGGAAAATTAAAAAATGATCCCCCTTAAGTACCATACCAGTCAAATTTCCATTTAGAAAAAGGTGCTATCGTTGTAAATTGGAGCGAAATTGCTGGTAGGAAAAAAACATAAACATCATTGTAAAACCAATATATTCTTCACTCCACTCAGAGTTTAAGAGTACTAAAGGTGTGTTTTGTATATTCTCATTACATTCCTTGAATGAATAGTGCTAATAAGTAGGTCACTATTATGTGTACGAGTTTGAAAGGTAGGATGTAAACATAGTACAAGGAAATTTAGTTTATATACTCTATTCAATGATAAATAATTCTAAACGGAGTTCAATTAAAAATTGTTTAATATATTTAAATTGAAAATTATAATGATTTGTAACTATGTAACTAACTTGTAAAAAAATAAACAAATGAATAAATGAGTCACCTGGAGTATTATGATAAGTAGATTATATAACCGGTTTTGAATTAAAAATTTATCATCCGGAATAATATCAGTCAAAATGTAAAACGCATCTGAATATTAAAAATTAAATGAAGGAATACATAGAATTAGTCTGTGTCTAAAAATAACCAATTTTAAATAATCTCTCCAATTAAAATAAATCATTTCCGGTTCGTAATATTAGCTTTTGGACACAAAAGTTCCAATTAGTTAAAATTAGAATTTTAATGTCTCAGTCCATAAAAATATTAAGTTAACATTAAATAATAGTAGAAGAAGTAGGAATTGTGCAAGATGTTTCAGAGAGTATCACAATTAAAAGGATTAAAATAATTAATAATGTGTACAATAAATAAAATTATCTTTTTACAAACCTATATTATTAAAACGATATCGACAGTGAGTGAAATTGTCATTTTTTTCAAATAGGACAGTTTTATTGTGTCAAAATAATATGTTATCATAATTATAGGTACCTATTAATACAACTCAGTTATGAGAACTCTGTATATTGACTCTCAGTATCTGATAATTTTGAAAGGAAAAACATGAAAATCTAATATTCAGTTCATTAAAAATACCTAGCTCCTTTGAATATCACTATAATTGGTTTACAAAAAATAAAAATAAAATAAAAGATGTTCTCTTTATTAGTTATCATATGGTATATTTATTTTGAAAGCGTTTTGTATTTCGAGCAATGTATTAAATATAAGTAATTTAGTTTTAAAATCATTTGAGTGACAGCTATCAACTATGCACCTAATATAAGTAATCATAATAATACTAATTATGAAAAATAAATATTATATGATAAGATAATAATGTAGTCATAAATATTATCAGATATACATTTTAATACAACTGGTTTCAGAAAATAAAAATCTAATAATTATTATTATTCATAAATAAAAAATATTACCTTTTTCTTCTAACCGTGTCTTTTGTTCTGCTCGCCATTTTTTTATTTTCTCTGGTTCCTCCCTTTCAATTTTTGAAGTAATAATTGGTGATGATGTATCTAATGTGGAAAAATAAAATAATATCGTTATATGGTAATAGGTACACTAAATAATTAAAAATATTATTTTAATTAATTTTTATTTCTTTGAACATTTTTAATTATTTAATACACACCCTAATTATTAATTTACTCACTGAGTTTTTTTGGCGATACCAATTTTACTGTATAGACATGTAAAAAATACAGAATATTTTTAAAATAATTATCTAGCAACTTTGTTGTGATTGTCAAATATACAATTAATCTATTAATTTCTATGTCTAGAAATGAAAATTGTATATACCCGCACATATTATTTACATATCATTGAATATTTAACAAATTGTACATATACGATATATTATAGATAAATAAGTACATTAAATATAATTTAATCAAAAAGTGATTTGTAGATAAAAATTGAGGAAAAGGCAAACTAAAGAAAATGTGAATGGAAATTATTTGGCAATTATAAGTACATATGGATTTTAAAATGATTTGGACGATCAGAATGAGAGTAGATATCCTAATTGTGTGAGATAAAGACTAAGAAGAAAAAGATTGAATATTAATTTATTTTATAATTAAATTATTATTATAACTATTAATTATAAAATTTAAAATAAGTTTGAACACATGTCATAAGTATTTAAAAAAAAGAATAAAACTGAATAATTTTTATTTTGCTCGATTAAAATTTGTACATCATTCATAACCTAACCTAGTCTTATTTTTTTTGTGTTGATAAACTTCTTTACGAGAAATCTAGCTCCCATAAAAAGCTTAATAAGATCATTCTTGTAGTTAGTTTTGATCTAGTTGGTGCATTGGGAAGGCCTTTTCGATTTTTCTTGACACCGTTGTGCCACTTAGCCAACAATATTTTCTCTACCTTTCATGAAAAAACAGGAATTTAAATAAATTGATGCCAATTCTAAAGCCAACTACCATCAATGTTATGGGAAAAAATAAAATGTTAAATATTAAAATTAAAATAAAATAATCATTATTTTTTTTTTTAGTACAAAATGCATAATTTTGATACAGAGTTGGGAGATGTCTATTACAATAATGAATATATACAACATTTAATAAGTAATTTTTATTTTTATATTATGTAATGTTGCACAAGCTAGATTTAATCTACATTTAGATTCCAACAAAAACAATATATTATGAAAATATCATAAATGTGCTAATCTGATAATGTTATTTACGGTGACAACTGACAAGTAACATGTGTTTTGTTTAAATTAAACACTCATTATATTATACAAAATATCAAAATATACACCCTAATTGGTAACGGTCCAATATGCGACTTACAAATCTTACTCAAAACTACAGAAATTGTGTTGATCTACAGGTTTCTTTATTCAATTTTATTTTTGATTTACAATACTTACAATCATTTATACTTGTCTTCGCTGTCCTCAGTCTGTAATATTAAGGGAAATAAATAATTTCAATGACGAAAATTCTGATAAAAATGAAATAGTATATAAAATAAAAATTAAGAAAATTGTATAGTAAGTTTATGGGTTTTTGGAATTGGTTGGAAATGGCCAGACTTATAATTAGAATGACAATTTTTTATCGTAGAAAAATGGGACTGAGAAACTCTTTTCCCAATTATTAAAAATGAAATAAAAACTGAAACAATAATTTATAGCCTATCCAATAGAGTGTACTTAACATTAAATCATCATGGATATATTAATCGAACAGTTCACCATTCAGAACTTTTTATTGACCCGGAACAGGAGCACACACCCAAAAAATTATAAAATCCAAATACAATATTAAAAAAATGGGGTGTGTTCTTTACTAAATAGAAAACTCCAAGAGGAATGGTGGAGATTATGTCAAAATCCAAAAACCATTTTTGATAAATTTTTGACCGATATGACAAAGACATCAATACAGACTGAAACAATATAATTATTGACAACACTAAGTCGAAAAAAAAAAGATGAGTTAAATTTATTTGTATTTTACACATTTATATAGGTTGTGTATTGGACCACAAATTAGTCTGTAGGTTGCATATTGGACGTTACTCCCTAATTTGATAAATAACCATTTACTTACCGTCATCACTATGTGTAGTTGTAAAACCATTCGTTAATCCGTTTTCTATTAAGAAAAAAAAAAATCGAAACAAAAATAAAACAAAACTAGCAAACAATATAAAAAAGCATCACAAATAAAAATATATAAATAATTAACATTATTTTCAACAATTTACAACAATATTAGGTAAAATTTTATTTAACCATTGGAATGAAGGTTATTTATATATATATATATATATATATATATATATATATACACACACAGTATTTCTAAATGTATTAAAATATTATGAAATTAAGAACTTTTTAGGTATATCATTTCTAGTTTTTAATGTATTAAAATATAAATAAATGTATTGTTTAATCTCACACATAAAACAAATGACTACACAAACATGCCAAGTACATTTTAATGGACAATGCATTAAATATAAATTTAAAAATTGACTGAAACAAAAATATCTTTATTTTGCAAGTTCTACAATTAATTATTTATTCAAAGTTTTTAATAATATTTATAATTAAATTATTATTAATGCTCAATCAATTAATGCAACAAAAATATGAATAGAAAAGTAAATCTATTATTTAATTTGTTTCTAACAAAAAATATATTAATATTGAACCCCTGAGTAATGAAACACGGTTCATGATTCTAACGGCATGGATATTTAACAGATTAATAATTTAATAGGTTTGATAGAATTTTTAATGGGACAAAATATCCTCAGTTCAGATTGCTTCATTTTATACCCAACATTACAATATAAATACTCAACAATAAAATAAAACAAATATTATATAGAAATAAATATTTAAAAAGTTCATAAATATGAGTTTAATAACAAATGTGAACTCTTAAAACATTCTTTATTTATTTACCTACCTTATATGTTAAATAAACCATTTGGCATAATGAATTTACATACATACTAGTATTTGAAGTTTATAATATAAATTTTATTATAAAAATAAGTAACTATTCATATTAAATAATAACATAGGAGAAATATAATTTATCATTTTAATAAAATATTTATAGAAATAGGTATTTTACTTAAAATATATCTTAACATTTTGGTTGAAGTCTAGCTTTTGGGTCCAAAAAAATATGTTAAAATATAGAAAAACCACTTCTATATTTTCTCTTTCTCTCCTTCACCTGATTCACATTATGCAATCAGAATATCAATTTACCGAAATGATATGCAAGATTTCCTTTCACATTATAAACATAATGTAAATTATTAAATTAAAATAAAGATCCATAATACATAATGTAATAATTAATAAACTATGTATAATAGGTCTTTATGCTACAAACTATTACACAAAAGTGTAAAAAAAACATAGCGATAATACAGCTGAAGAATTATACAGTACCGCAAAAAACGGTCAGAAAATTAAAAAATCTAAATTTTAACTACTTACAACTTATTGATATTTAAGGTGGCTATACAAATCAATAATCTATTGCTTTTCAATATTTTGTCATTTTGACGCCACTGTATTGATAATGAAAACATATAGTAGTCGTCATAAGACAGACATGTGTACAAATTTTTGTAAAAAGAAATCTCACATATTAATGTGGAAATTGGAAAAATGGATATTCTGACTGCATAAAGTGAATCAGGTAAGGGAGGAGAAAAGAAAATATAAGGGTGGTTTTTTCGATATTTTGACTTCTTTTTGTTTTTGAACTAAAGAGCCCGACTTCATCCTACCCAATTTATGTAATAACCCAATGCTTTTTTTTTTTTATTGAATGTTTAATCTTACAACTCACCATTTGCAACGTTTGTCAATTGATTTTCAGTGCTATCAATAATTTCAAAACTGCTTCCTGAACCTAATTGTAAATAAAATGCATGACATGCAAAAAAAAAAAATGAAAAACCAAAACAAAGTCAAAAAAGCTTTACAACACAAGCGGGAGACAATTATATTTTTGTAATTAAAATATTAGCAATTACCATTTGATAAAGTTTGTGTAACTCCGATGGGAACATTGGCTGTGTTGAGATCATCTTCTAATCCAGCTAATTGTGTTTGTTCACGAGCCAAAAACTCTGCAGCAGGATCGACGTCTCCATCGTCGAAATTATCACCAAAGTTGTCCATTTCTACTGAGAATGAAGAATTAAAAAGTAACAAGGTGCCTAATTAAATATTATAATAAGTACACGATTTTCGGACAAAACTAATTGACGAGAAAAGAGATAAGGTAAAATTACAACATATAATAATATAAGAGGCGTTTCAATAATACATTTTCAATGGGTCAACGATGACGTGTTAAAATAATAGTTATCGACTTACGATTAAAATCTGACTTATGAAAACGGGGATCACAGTAAAATTACTTTTTTTCTTTAGTAATTTTATCCAAATTAAAGAGATTTGTAAGTTTTGAAAAATGAAATGTTAATTTATAATGTTCTTATGTACATGTAAGTTGCGAGCTAATCCAATAAGTTCGGAAATATTTTCCTATGGTTTCCATAAAGTTAAATGGTTAGGTTAAGTTTAGTTATTTATCATTTATGATAACAAAATAGTCATAATATTCTAAAAATGCGTACAATAAATTTAGTTATTACATCTGGATGTACTGATTTTTTTTTTTTTACTATTGATTTATCGGTCCAGTGATACATAATTACTAAGTGAGTTTTAGAAGTTTTGAGTTTCCATATTTATATCCATGATAATTATTTTCTCATTTGAAATTTGGAAATTTAGATTTTCAAAAATTAAAATATTAGATAAATTTTAGAGTTTTCAATTTTCACTGCAAAATCACATTATGTTTTAAACCAGTGGTTAAATTATCAACTTTATATTAATATAATATTATTTTAACAACAGAATATGATCTTAATCCGAAATTATCAGTTAAATTATTAGTCATTATATAAAATTTAGTGAAACATACCTACAGTCTGTGTAAACGGTTTAATATTTGACTATTGATCACGATTGTGTTTTGATGATTTATTATGTTAATTAATAATTTCTACTAATTTTAAAATTTGTTCACATACATACTATACATATTTTAATATTTTATATGTAAAATGTATTTTGATCTATAACTAAATTCAATCATTTATGATTTCCAATTTTAACAGTTTAATTGTCCATTATCTACCTTCCATTATTCAAAATAAGTGACTAAATGGGTAATTAAGAGGTTTGTCCTCCCCGCAATTTCTGCCAACAATAGTGAATATTATATTTGATCACGAATAAATTCAGTACAGTAATTTTTGGATATGATTAAGTAATTTAATTGTAATCTATGTCTCTATTAAAACATTCAATATTTATTAAGTTTTCTTAAAAAGAAGGGAGAAGTCTTGAGTTGGTGAACACACTAAATTTTCCCGAACTGGGAGAACATATTTACATATCAATCATATATATACATTGTACATTAGTGTATTAATTATACTAACCATAAGTACTTTATATCACGGCTTAGAGAACAATATTTCAGAGGGCGAGACGTTGCGTTTTTCCATTTTCCCTGAATAGAACAGTCAATTGCTGTTTATAAATAACGACTTTTTCAACGTTTTTTTAATTCGCTAAAACAAAAAAAAAGTACGGCCTGCTCTCCGGAAAATTGTTCTCTATTAATTTCATGATAGATGCTTTTAGTTTTTTATTCCTATATCTTGTGTATGTAAGACAGAAACAACGAATGCATGTTTAACGTCATCTTATGTATCTTAAGTATCCTAACCTAACCTGAACAGAACTACGTGGACAGCTGATCCCTAGTAGTGATGCTAAAATGTTATGAACATTGATAACTCTTATCTTTGTTATTGTTACAAAAAAAATAGCAATTAGAACTAACCTCAGTCCACACTACTAACTGTGTAGTCAAATAATGGTAATGTCATCGTTTGTTCTTCTGTTGTGTGTTTTCAGCTCAAAATAATAAATTATTATTCATTTATTGTAACTTGTAAATTTAAAAAATGGTGGTAAGTTTTTGATTAATTTCATTATTCAATCCTGATTATACAAGAAAAACTTTCTTTAAAAATTTAAATATGTTTGGTTTTAAATTCTGTTCAATACTAGTTACCTAATTATTATGTGGTAGAACAGTATATTGATTAAATATCTACAGTAAAATACTAAAGTTTAGCTTTAACAGTAATAGTTTAGGCAATTTGATTTGTTGGAAAATTATTGATAACTATCCAATTTATATAAACTTTATTAATTATTACAATTTGTGAAACTATGATTGTTATACTGAACTGAAGGTTTTAGGAAAGTTATAAATGTAGTATGAATTTAAAAAAATAAATTTTATGTTGGGTATATATGATGATCATTTTACGTAGTGTATACAATTTTTGTCCATTGTATGAACCAAAAGAAGTCTAACATATTTTAACTGAAGTTCATTTGTTAGTTTAATAATATTATAATAATATTTCATTAATATTAATAATATTATAATAATATTTCATTAATTTATATAACTGTGAACAGAGCTAGATATCATACAATTTAATGAGTGCTTTTATTTTCTCAGAAAACCCTTAAAAATGTATGTGTGCCCCAGTATTAATCTTATATCAATTGTTTACTTATATATATTTATTTTAAAATTAATCAACAATACTTTATCGTTGGAAATATTAGGAATTTTAATTTGTTTTCTGACTATATAACAAACAATAAATATGGATAAAAAAATTAATTAAATTTTAAATTCTGAGTATAGCGATAAATATAATTAAAGATAATTATAAAATAAAATATACTCTTAAGTTAAGCTAGAACCTTTACATGGCTTTAAAGTAATTTTTGAGATAAATTTATTGTATGAATCAAAGTAATTAAAAATATTATCGCACTGGCCCATTTTTGTGTTTCATTCCAAAATATAGCACCCAGATTTTGCATTGAGTGCGGAACTGGCATATGAGCTATGTGAGACGAATTTTAGATTTCTATTGATAAGATAATATTAATAATACTCGATAATATACATTATTGCTATATTATTTGGAATGAATATTGTATATTGTATAGTATAGACTATGAATTGTGAACAATATGTAAAAAGTTAAGTTCGTAAATTTAAATGGTTTTAGAGTTATTGTATTAAATAACCAGTTTATAACAATTAAAGTAGTGGTGTGAATTTATTTTAGGCCTTTATTAGCCATTGTTCATATGACCATAACTAATGTTGAATTTAGGTACACTCCAAGGGTAGAAAATGCCCCCTCTAGAATTTCTTCATTCACCCCCCCTCCATGACAAATACAATAACAATATGAAAAAAATGTATTTATTAAATGTACAGTGCTTATCTACTTGTTACTATTTCCATTTTACATCAAAAGAACCAATCAATAAATTGTTTTTGGTAGATTACAATTTTTTGTGTTCCAGCTAAGTATTCATATGACGTCACTGACACAAACACTCGCACTGTACTGGGTGTTGCACTGTAAGGGTAGGTGAAAAACGCTATAAGTCTCCAGATGCTGAAATTAATTTTATCGCAATGTAATTTATCCATACCCATTGCACGTGAAATTTGTTAATTTGATGCATTTTTTTTAAATGTTTTATCATTAAGTGAAAAGTTTATGTATCCAGATAATGAAAATTTGACTGTACGGGTACTTTTCATGAGCAGGTTAAATTAAATGGATAATTGTATTATAAATATATTATTAGGAACTGGAAGACGATGTACAAATGGTATCTTCTGAATTAGATAGAACATTCATTTTTGAAGATGAAGGACATACATTGGGATCGTTACTAACATACGTTTTAGAAAGTTTTCCAGAAACAAATTTCTGTGCTTATTCCGTAAGGCATCCATCGGAAAATAAAATTTACTTTAGATTAAAAGTAAAGGAAGGCAATATTGTAGAAGAAGTATTCAAACGTGGCATTCAAGAGCTTAATAAAGTGTTGAATCATGTTAAAAAAACATTTAATGTATGTAGAATTTTCAATTATTGCATAATAATTAGTCTATTTAATGAATTCAATTTTTTTTGTTATAGAAAGCGATTACTAACTATGAAGGAACTAAGTAAAGACGCATAAAAATTAAAATGTATATTAAAATTAAAATCGTAGTGAATAAAAAGTTGTTTTATACTTTTAAAAAAATTGTATTTATTATAAAACTTTATATCGAGCTTTATTAACCATATGATGTGCAGAAGTCTGCATTTTCAATAATTCTTCTTTTATAAGACGAGTAATTTCTATTTTTGCTTTAGAAACTGCCAATTCATCAGTACTTTCAATGGCTAAAAACAGTTTACGTTCTCCTTCAGGAGGATTTTTAGGTGGCGGGTAATAAGTACCTCTTACTGTGATACCTGCCTCTGAATATTCTGATATTTGAGCTAACGCCTCCTAAAATTTATAATTAAAATATAAAAAATATATGAATAAATTAAATGAAATATTTTTACTAACCTTAGATGTAACTCTCCACCTAGCCTGCTGAGGAAAATCATTAATTTCTAATTCTTCTTCATATTTTCTAAATATTTCTTCCATTCCAGCTTCAGGACCATCACCACATTCACTTTCACCATCATCATCTTTTGGTTGATAATTCAATCGTGTATTTAATTTGGCTGCTAATTGTTCAGCAACAGTCTTAGCAGTAATAACAGGTTGAGAACTGGCAAGTCCTCCTTTTAATATGGCTTCTGCAGTTTGCTGTGAAGCACCTTTAGCATCTGGACCAAGGTTTTTAGCTATATGGATACGTGAAGCCAAGCGTTTGGCTAATTCTAGACGCTCTGATGCTTGAGGAGCTCCATTAACTTCCACTAAAAAAATATAATATACATATATTAAACAGTATGAATAATTTTAAAACATTTTTTTTATGCAATTTAGTTATTTAATTTTCAACACCACCATTTAATTATAATTATATTTTTTAAAGCAGTTTTAAAAAAGACTAAACATATTTCTAACAATGGTAGGATGTAAAGGGAAATCATTAATTATTAACCAACCTTATAAAATACTATAACGAATGGAGTTCGGTTAATTGAGAGACAGTAGTATTTATGATTTTGGTTAAAAATTTGATATTAAAATTCTTATAAAGATAAATACGACATAACGAACATTCGATTAAATTTTCAAGCAATTCTGTTTGTTTTAAAAATTGTTATAAATAGAGTACTTACTGAATAAAAATTAAGTAAAAAACTCGAAAAATTAAAATATTTTAAACATTTTAGGTCTAGAAAAGATAAATATAAGTTTTCAAGTAATTACAAGTATCTATGAATATTTTAACTAAATCACAAAACAAAAATTGAAATAATACATTTAGTACATTCTCCCACTTTTCCTAAGTTTTTCCTAATTGGTATAAAAAATGATTCCCTAAATTACCACCCAGATAAAATTAATTCCTTTCAAAAAAGGTACCACACTTAAAAATCAGGGCAAGATTTTTGGTAGAAAAGTTAACAGATTATAAAAAAATAAACATCATTATAAAACCAATTAAAATGTATATTAAAATTTAATGAAAATTAACCAAGTTAAAACAAGTTAACAAGTTTTTGATTTTTTTTTAATTGTTACAAATATGATTAAATTATGGTTATATTTCAAATTAAACAACTTAATTTCATAAAAAATAGTCTTGACAAATTTTGAAAAAAAATTGATATTTATATTATTCAATAAAAATTGTTTATTGTAAAAAAAATCTAGGTTAGCCATTTTATAGATATATAATTTTGAAACAAAATAAATAAAATATTGGTTGTAGTTTACAAAAAGATAATATAGAAGAATAAATGAACCATAGTGCAAGGCTATAGTAATTATAAGAAAAAAATATCGAATATAATACATAATAGATATATTATTTAATACTAATTATTTTATTATTTGTATAAAAATCTTGCCATTAAGACTATACTGTTCCAATTTTTTTTATTTAAAAATATCTTAAACCAACAACCAATAGTAATATATATGTATACAAATTGATAACTATAGGAAAAATACATACTTAGGCCTGTTAGGTTTGGAAGTCCAATAGTACTAGCTTTCACTTCTTTAACTATCCGCTTGGGAGCAAGCATCGTTTCAATTTGTTGATCAATATCTCCTTCTATGTCTTCATCATCGGAATCTTGGAGACCAAGAGCAGCTTTTTGTAATTTTTTTTTCTCATTTGCCATGACTGCCTCTGTTTCGTCAAATTTAAATCCTTTTCCACTAAAACCACCACCAGTATGAACTTGCTTTCCTTCCTAAAGAGTAAAGGAAAAATTATAATAATTATGTTGTACAGTTGTAAAAGTTATAGTTATTTGTTAAAATATTAAACATTTTCGTTTTGAGTAATCATTAAATAAAATGACAATGGAAACAGGATAAACATTCAAGAATAAAATATTACCATTTAAATCATACTACTTACTGCAGCTTGTTTTGCTTGATAACGTAGCCACATAGTCCTTAATGATTCCTGTACAGGTACATTGGATGTTTCTAAAGCCCTTATTAAATCACCGGCAAATCTTTCTTGATCAAGTGAAACTAACGTGTAAGCAAATCCTTTATTACCTGCTCTAAAATTTTAATTGTAATTTATTTACAACCATAATATTATTTATATATATATAAACAATATAGTTGAATATATAACTCATGTCATATATTAGTATAGAAGAGTAAGTATTCTAAAGATTTATTTTGATAGAACGCCACCATATCTGTCTTACAATCGCACAAAGAAATAAATTTGAATTCAGTATGATAAAAGTTATGCTGTTAATTTTAATATTAAGAGTGTTGCTAAACTTAAAAGGTAAGATTATCTGTGCAAGATCTTATATCTCACTTACAAATTGAAATATTAAACAAAAGATACAGATAATATTCTTACCTTCAAAATTGGTAATAAATCAATTCACTCTAATATCAAAACTAACAACACAAAATATGACTTATTTAATACAAATTTGATACACCTAGTGTTTGTAAGACAATTTGTAAATGTAGATCTGGTGTCCTCTTGATATTTTATTTATTACAGAAACGATATACAAAAAAAAAATATTTATAGAAAAATATAAGATTGTTATCATTATTATTTTGATTGTTTAATATTTATTACCTTCCAGTTCTCCCACATCGATGAACATAGTCTTCATAATGATTAGGGCAATCATAGTTAACTACCAATATCAAATCTTTGACATCTAATCCTCTGGCTGCAACAGATGTAGCCACTAACAGTTTGACTTGACCACTTTTAAAATCAACAATTGTACTATCTCTATCATATTGATCTATAGCACCATGTAATGACATACAGGGGTATGAAGCTTTTAATAATTTTTGTAAAAGTGAATCAGCATTCTCATGAGTATCTACAAAAACAATACAACTCCCTTTTTCATAATACATTCCTAAAACCTCAAGTAATTTCATGAATTTTTGGTCTTCTTCTACAATTATTACATGCTGCTCAACTTCTTTGGCCACGACACTTCTACCTCCAATCTATTAACAAAATTAAATAAATAAAATACTGTTTAAAACCAAAAGAACCACAAAATCATACTTGGACTTCAACAGGTTTTTGTAATATACGTCTTGCTAAAGCTTCCATCTGACGAGGAAATGTGGCACTGAACATAACAGTTTGACGATCTGGACGTATATTATCAATTACACGCATTACTTGAGGTTCAAATCCCATATCAAACATACGATCAGCCTCATCCAATACTACATATGTTACTCGTCTTAAATTAGTAACTCTGCCTATATATATAAAAATAACAATCTAGTTATAATATTCATATCAATTTAACTTAGTTCAAGAAAAATAATTTTAAATTGCTTTTATGTTTTACCATTATTTGCGGCTAGCATATCAATCATTCTTCCAGGAGTACATACAATAATTTCAGCACCACGTTTTAGTTCTGCAATTTGTTCAGATATTCCAGTACCTCCATAAACAGACACAACTCTTAACCCTAAGCTTTTAGTAAATTTACGTGCTTCTTTTCCAGTTTGCATGCAAAGCTCTCTTGTAGGAGCCATAACAATTGCTAAATCAATAATAACATACATTATACTATTAAAATTATCTTAATCTAATGGCCATTGAAAATAAAATAAAGATAATATTTTATCTATTTAAATCATAGACATAATAAGATATGAACTGCGTAGTTCGTACACCTTGCAATAGGTTTAATGAGTCAAACATTGAATAAAAGAGAAAAACAATTATATCTATGATTTAAATGTGAATAGTCTTGTATATTGAACATCACTAATCATTTCAAAAAATTGTATTGCTATTATATTTAAAAATAGAAAATGAGATTTAAGATAAAAAATTAAACTTAAGATTCAATAATTTTGGTACAGACCAATTGGTCCATCAGTGTCTTCCAAAGGCGGCTGATCCATAATGTGCCTAAACATGGGCAGTAAAAATGCCAAGGTTTTACCACTTCCAGTCTTTGCAATACCAATAAGATCACGTCCAGACATTATAGCGGGTATAGCTTGTGCTTGTATGGGAGTAGGTTTTTCATAATTATGTTTTTTTAAATTATCCATGATCTTTTTGCTTACACCACAATGAGCCCATACTTTTATTGGTCGGGGACATCCTTTACCTTTTACTCTTACACCCTCTAATTCCTAGTTAAAGAAAACAAATTATACATTAATACCTACATCAAATTTATTAATTTAAATTTAGGTACCTCTTTGTATTTTTCAATCTCTTCAGAACTCATTCGTGTTATTTCTGGCACTTCAACATAAAAATTTTTCCTAAATGTTATATAACTCATACCAGCATGATCAATTTTAGGTAATTCTTTTTTTTGTTTATTCGCCAAACTAGCTGCAGCTACATTCAAATCTTCTTGTTCTTCTTCTGATGAATACTAAAAACATTTTAATAAACACACAGGGTGAATACATTTTTATTATGAATGGTTTAAGATGTATTTTTATTATACTTCTAAGGCGTCTTGATTTTGTTCTATAAGTTCACCTCTGGTATTGTTATCCTTTTTCTTTGCCACTCCAGACACAATCACAACACCAGAACTAGTAGTATCAACTCCTAAACTTTGTTTAAGGTCATTAGAAGAATTTTTATCAGGTAAATTACTTCGATGTCCATCTACCTTATTAACTTTACGTACTTCTTCTTGAACACCCTAAAATAAATTATTTCTTATAAAAATTTTACTATTACACCATTATGGTTATCCGTTTATAATCATTTATTTATCCGTTTTCCTATAATTTCATTCATAGAAAATATTGGTAAGTTTTAGTTGAACTTAAGACATAATGGGTATAATAAATTGATTGCATACTAATATTTATACATATTTTTACCTGCATGAAAGCATCTAAAGGATCAATTTCTTCTTCCTCAACAAATTTGTCAGTGTTATTTTTACCTTCCTCTTCTTCATCACTATCATCCTCCAAATTCCATTTTTTAGATGGTATTTGTAGATTAGCTAAAATTTAAAATTAATGTATAATATTAGTATTATTAACTATTCTAGAAATGTATAGCAAATATATTTAAATATTAATACTTAAATTAAATTTCTAAATAAAATAATTGTCATTACTAAATATATTTAAAACACTTGATAAAAAACATTATCAACGCTTGTTTTTATAAAAAGAAAAGTAATCGCTTTTTACATAGAGCATATTATTAAGGTAAATTATACAATATTGAGATAATAATAATTATAAAGTAGATACTCAGTGAATTCTTTTTTTAAGCTATTATGTTAATAACTTACACATAATAGTAGATCGGACATCTTTTTTTACATTATCTAATTCTTTTTTTTTACGCTCTGCTCTCCAACGTTCAATACGTTCTCGACGTTTTTGCATTTCTAATTCAAGTTTCTTCTGTTCTGTTTCCTAAAATTTAACATATATAATTCAATTATTACTTTAAAAACATTTCATATTAAAACTATTACCATGTTATAAAAGAAAAAAAAAAAATGTTTGCTCAAATTTATTTTAGCCACCATTATTCAATGAACAATTTATCTGAACATTCATTTTTGACTGACTGCCATCGAACGATCTGTTAAAAATACATTTCAGTTTAAGTAATAAAAAAACTAATGTTGGCTAAAGTAAATTGTTGAACATAATTTTTTCATATCAAAAACTTCATTAATAAATTGTACCTTGTCTGGATTGGTCGGATCAAAAGGCACTTCTTCTGGTTTTCTTTCTGGTGACTTTCTTTTGCTACGAGGTGAACGTGAACGACGAGGAGATCTTGACTTTTTTCTGTCTCTCCTGTATTAACATATAATATTAATCGTAAGATTTTTTCCCATAACTTCCAAATGAAGCAACATCCAATTTCTTTTTTTTATCGTAAATACTTATGGTAATTACAAAAACACAAATTTAGAAAACTCAAAACTTAAAAAACAGAAGGTTGCTAGAATTGTAGCGAATAAAATATATCTAATAAGCAATTATAATGTTATTAATATTGTACATCCAATAATAGGTACATAATTATTTATTAACTTCCAAAAATCATTGCTAAAATTATTCTCCAAAAACCATAATTGTATAGCATAATTAGTTGATATTTTGCATAGTTTAAAATGTTGTTATATAATTAGTTAAAAGGAGTTTTTTTTTTTTTTAACTATTAATTTCATACTTATGCAAGTATAGAAAAATAGTCAAACAAAATATTATAATCAATGCATTACACCATTATTTTTTATTTATATAAGTTATACCAACCTTTTCTTTCTAAAACATAAAACAAAAATGTATTTTTAATACTAAGTAGGTATGTTACAAGCAGATTAAATGTTTATTTAAAATTCCTTACGATGATTTATGTATCTTATGGCGAGGAGATCGTGATCGAGATCTGCTACGACGATGTCGACGAGGACTACGAGAACGGCTTCTAGAACGTTTTCGATGAACTCTATCACTACAATAATAAAAATATAAATAAATAAATTTAAAAGATTGATGTTTAAAAATATTTATGTACAACATATTTTTATACCTTCCAACACGAACCATATTAAAATAATTTTAAGTAAACAGTAATTAGATTTAAATTGTACGTTTATAGTTCTTACATAAATAAAAAATTGTTTACACAGTTATTATTATTTAATACATTTATGCAATATGAAATTACACTATCTGGGGTTAGACCGAACATAGATCATGGTGTAAGTTTAGTAATTTTTTAATTCGTAGTAGTCACTGGTCACTGATCAGTAGACCACTAAAATAAAATTAAAATACAATAGATTGGTATCGAAATCAAAAGTTTGTTAATAATGAAATCAATGAAAATTGTAAACATTTTCATGTTCAGATTTGTAAATTATTCATAAAATATTATCAAAAAGGTCGCACTGACTTGTTATTACGATATACTGACTGCACTGCAAAATAACACATTAGATATATCACCAATCACTAGTCAGCATGATGAAGCAAATTTTTGTCTGTGCATTTTGCTAACTATTGTCCTAGAACTCTTAAGTTTATTCATTATCTTCTTAATATCCTATTATTTAGAATACAATTTTTATTAAATTGATTTTTCATTACCAATTAATATTACAACGATGTCTGGAGCAACAGCACTGTTTGGAAATACGACTGGTAGAAATCAGTCAAAAAATCTCGTAGAGTTTAGAGCTGGGAAGATGTCAATGAGAGGTAAAACTGTGTACCCTGACAAAAGAAAGGGATTAGTATATATACATCAGTCAGATGACTCTTTAATTCATTTCTGCTGGAAAGATCGTACAACAGGTGCAGTTGAAGACGTAAGTATATACATCCAAAATTAACTTATTATAATTTATATAGTGTTTTTACATATCTATTGAAATATAAATAATGATTTATAATAATACATCAATCTTAATCTAAATATTATTAAGTGCAATTTTGTATTATTTGAATGTTTTTCTGTTGAAGTTTGGCTCTTGGGTCTGGGAAAAAAATTTTAAAATATCGATAAATGTCTCATAGAATTTTTTATTTGTATGCCGCGTTTAAAAAACCTTCATTGATCATACTTTCTGATCAATCTTTATGGATATCGTGGATTCTTTTCAATATTTTTTAAAGAATGTTTAAATTTGGTAACCCTAAAAAAAGCCGTTTAATTAGTTAATAGGGTTGTTCCTAAAAAGAACAGTTTTCAATAAGACATATTAGTTTTATTGATTTGTAATTAATATCAAATTTTTAATTGTAGATACCTAAACATTTTATATAATTTTCATAATGCAATCGGTTACCAAATAACATAAAATGATTAAAATTACTAATGTAATATTGTATACGATAATTTACTTCTCACTTTTACACTTAAACTTATTTAGTTATGTAAAACTAATAATCGTGTTTTCACTACTAAAAATAGGTACCTACAAATATATAATTTCATAACAAAATATAACAATGTACAGTCTAAAAATGGTCTGTAAATGGAAAAATCTAAAATATGACCGATAAAGATTTTTCTAAGGCGTTATACAAACAAAATCTATGTACAATTTGTTGATATTTTTTTCTCGGACCCAAAAGCCATAGGGATTTCAACCGAATTATCAGTATACTGTTTATTATGTTCATAAAATTGAAATTGTTATTATTACAAAATTGTAAGTAACAGTTTTTTTGCTTCTCTTAGAATCTAAAGCAAATTAATAATTTGTCTTTTTTAATTATATAGTAATAAAATGTTTATCTCCTAATCTATTTTGGTTAATGAAAAGATAATAAAATCCTAATATTTATCTACTTATATTTATTCATATTTTAATAACTTAATATTAATTATTTTAATTCATATTGTATTTAAAGGATTTAATAATATTCCCTGATGATTGTGAATTCAAGTTTGTGTCACAATGTACTACTGGAAGAGTTTATGTACTGAAGTTCAAGTCATCTAGCAAAAAACAATTTTTTTGGCTACAGGTTTTTATTTTTATAATATTAACGAAATGTAAAATTACTGAGCAAAATATATTTTTTATTTATTTCAGGAACCAAGCAAAGACAAAGATGAGGAAAACTGTCGCCGTGTCAATGATGTAATGAATAACCCTCCAGCCCCAGGTTCAAATCGCAGTGGGGGCACTACTCCTGGTTTGTATAAGTAGCGAAAAAAAAGATTTATATGTAAATATATACCAGATAAAGTGTAATAGTCTCTATTTTTGGGAATATTTGACAAAAAGAACTTTTTCTCAAAATGTATATAGTTTTTGAAATATTGGTTTTCCTAAGTAGTATAGTATCTACTTAATACGTTATATTTATCTGGTCCCAAGGAAAATTTTTTAAATAAGTTCAACTATATTTTTAAATTAATTTTATTTAGATGGTGATTTGCAAAACTTACTTAGTAACATGTCTCAACAACAATTAATGCAGTTATTTGGGGGAGTTGGTCAAATTGGTGGTTTGTCATCGTTACTTGGAACAATGAGGTAATTTAATTGAATGATAACAGGTTAACTAGATATTTAAAAATATAATATTTTACATAAGATCGAGTCAAACTGGACGCTCATCATCGTCAACTCAATCATCTAGTGCACAACCCACAAATACCAGCAGTAGTACAAATACCAACACTGGTAGTAATCGGTCAACTAGCAATAGTAATTCACCTCCACCTACTAGTAGTACTAGCACAAGTTCTGCAGGTGACAACAAATATTATATGTTTGTGTTTTATAATATTTCATCTTATTAAAGAAAATGATTAATGTATAGAAAGTCAAGACCAAAAATTAGCAGCTACTGGTATTCAACTAAGAGATCTTCAATCTATGTTATCTGGTTTGACTGGTGCTCAAGGAACTACTGATAAACCAGCTGGTACCAAAATATAAATTTTGTTTTATGGAATACATTTTTTTTTTAATTAGTGAAAAAACGTAATAATACTGTTGATTGATATTTGTATTTTAATCTAAAATAATTGTATTAATTTAGTGGATTTATCAGCTGCTATGGACTTGGAAAATTTGGAAAGTGTAATTGACAATAAAGGTGCAGTGAACCAATTAGCACAACACTTACCTACAACAGAAAGTGATCCTGATTATGACCACGGACTAAGCACACGAACAACACCTGATGAATTGAAGGAAACAATACTTTCTCCACAGTTTAGACAGGTTTGTTGAAAAATTTAACCTAATTTATTATTCATACAAAATATATTTTCAAAAAAATGTTTTGTAATTAAATATGACTATTAATCAAGTTTAAATTCATGTTATCCATTTATATATATATATATTCCCATTCTCTGGTTGAACTACTAAACTGATATATAATTAAAATTATATAATAATAAGTCATAGATTGATAATACCTTAAATTTTGTAGTAGGTACCTATATATTTAATTTCAAATTATTTTTCAACTAATAAAATTTTTAAAAAAAAATGTCAACAATTGTGAAATATAAATTAATGTCTTGACATCTCCTTACCCACTTTTTTTACTCTACATCTTACACAGTTAGATACTTAGGATTATATATGGCCTGACAAATTTCCTGTATAGACGTGTATTTGGCAAAGCCGCGCGACATTAATATTTAATTTTTACATAATTTGAGACTAATTTACTGTTCACTGATGTAAAAATCAAATAACCATGCCGCATATTTGCTGTGCAGCACAAGGCTGCCAAAGGCCGCACAGCTAAAATTGCTCTATCTGGACATGCCTTTACCAACTTCTCTTTGAATCATTTTTGTTAGCAATTGCTTTTCTTTGCGTCCAAATATAAATTTGATAACTTTATGCATCCTACCTTACCAACTTCCTATCTACAATAGTGGTTGTCTATCTCCTGTATCAGCTCTTTATATTTATTTTTATTTTATTTTTAAATTTTTTAATTAAATATTATATTTTTAGGCTGTTAGCATGTTTAGTAATGCCTTACAAACAGGCCAACTAGGATCTGTGGTACAACAATTTGATTTAGGAGCTGGAGCTGTAAGTGCAGCAAACCAAGGAAATATGGAAGAGTTTGTACGAGCACTTCAACAAACAAACATTAATGCAGAAGAATCAGAAGATGTTAGCCCGGTAAACCCAGAAAAGCGCAAAAAACCAGATAATGATGATATTGGTTCAAAGTAATATTATTTATTGATAACATTTTATGATTTATTTTTAATAATTAATTTAGGCATTTATTAAAGCTTTCTTATTCAATTTATAATATCCTTATAATAAATAAATACAAATTTATTCAGATGATAATTATTATATTTTTTTTTAAATTTTAATTGTTAATAATAGTTGAATATTCTTTGGTCAAGCTTCCTTTTATCAGTTTATTCTCCAGTCATCATTTCCATAAATTCTAAAAATCCAAATGTAATATTAAGGGAATGTTTTTAATATTTATATATAATTATTTACCATCAAAGTCAACTGTTCCTGATCCATCGGTATCAATTTCAGCAATGATACCATCCAAGTCTTCTGGACCAAGTTTGTCATCCAATGCCCCTAATATTTCCCGAAGTGTAGCAGTTGTAATGTATCCATTGCCTTCTCGGTCATATAGTCGAAAAGCTTCTTTTAGTTCTTCTTGCATTGCTTCAGCATCATCTTCTTCAAGAAAATGAGCAGCAATTTCACAGAACCCATCAAAATTTACTTTTCCTGTACCTACAGTATAGAATTACAAATACATCTTCAGGTATTAACTTAAATAGTACTTTACCATCTGGATCAACTTCTTCTATTAGTTCTTTTAATTCTGAGTCATCAAATAATTGGCCCATGGTATTTAAGATAGTACTAATTTTTAATGTATCGATAAATCCAGATTTAGCTGTGTCAAACATTTGAAATGCTTTTCGCATTACTGAAAAAATATTTTTTTTAAATAGCAATCAATTGAAAAAAAAATAGAAAATATGTAAGTAATGCAATGAAATCCAAAAATAGATACTACCTATTAATAAACATATATAATACATACAATTGATAGGGTTATTATATTTATGATAAAAGGGAATGTAATATAATCATATATACAGAAAACAAGAATAGTAATGGATTGTGTCTGTAATATAAAAAAGTATTTAGAAGAAACTTATGAGTTACTTAGTTCTCAATTCAAAACCATGCATTTTGCCAGGATTTAGTTTCCTATTGTATAATATATATCATCTTAGAACTACTATTCTTTCATGTTCTAATGGCTGTATTGTGAATCTCAGATTTATTCTTAGTAGTAATCTTCATTCTGGTTCCGATATCAAACATGCTGTTATAGGGCTTTTAAAACTCTTGATTTTGTCTTAAAAGTATATAAACATTTCCAAGGTTCATCCTTATTGTGCTCTTCTACGCCCTATTGTGGTGTATGGTACCGTTATTTGGGATCTTCGCACTATCAGTAACTCCTCGAAACTTGAAAGAGTTCAACAGACATTCTTGAGGTTTGCAAGCTTAAATTAAATATCCTTTGTAAATCCTTTAACTATAAACCTGTTGCAACGTAACTTGTTTGGTTTCCTTGATAAATTGAAGACCTATTTTGAGCATTTATGTTGGATGTATTATTACGAGGTAATATTGACTCACCTGAATTACTTTCTTTAATATGTTTTAAATTACATAGACTTTCTTAAAAATGAACCTATCAGACGTATAATTACCAATACCAATGTGGACCAAGGGCATGCTATATTTTGTGGAAAAGTATACAATATTGAAACTTTAGGCTGTTGTTAAAGAAGAGAAACAGAATTTAACAAAAACTTAAATTAATTTAAAACCCCAAAAATGGTCTTACCCAACTTTGTTACTTTCTTTTATATAAATTAATTACTTCTTGGTTGCATAATGTTTTGTTTACATTTCGCATCATACAATAATCCAACAAAAAATATTTCCCTTCAAACTTATTATAGAGTTTTAATTATAAAAAAGAAACTTCATTGATTATGACATTTTCTATACAACATTATCAGTGTTTTACCCTACTCTAAATTACTAAAAAATTTGGATATTCATAATATATATTAATATTTCAAAAAAGGTAGATGTAATTGTCTCATAAGTATAGTTTCATACATAAGTAAATTCCCTATCTATATTTGAATCATTATATGTGTTTAAACTCGAAAACGTCTTTTAAAAGACTTTGTTGAACATTAACATAATTTTACTAAAAAAATTCATTAGTAAGTATAAAATTAATATTTGTTTGTATATTAAATTCAAAATGATTGTTACCACTAAAGGACATTTTTATATTAGATGTATTTCAAATATTCAGGTAGAATGTATTTTTTGTATCTTCTTTGAAATAAAAATATTTCTGTTTAAATTGAAGATCATCACACAATAATATTTTATATTACATACCTAATAGGAAAGTGGCAACAAATGTAATTTAAGAGGACGTTATACCCGCATAAACTGTCTCAATCCAACTAATGGGCAATATAACAAAATCTTCTTTTTGCTGATTACGTATAACTCACTTAATTTTGGTTTTAGAGTAAAAGCACATATTATAAAATCAAAAGAGGATAATAATTTAAAGAGCAAGATAATACATTTCTTTTTAAATTCATTTCTTGAAGTTTTACAATAATTTAAAAATGATGAATTAGTTTTTATTTCTAAACAATGTATTGAATGTTATAAATGGAATAATTAGAATAATGAGAAGAACGTATTGTCTTGCCTTCCGTTTTTTTAATTTTATAGTAGGATTAGAAAAGTGTTATAATATTAAATATAATTAAGAGTATTAATAGTATTTAAATGCATGAACAATTAAATTTGTTTAGTATAATTTCAAATATTATATTAAGTAACTAAAAAAAGTTGAATGAATAAATTTTAGGTTGACTTACTGGCTACTTTTTGGTCATCTTCGTCCTGCAAAATAATATATTTACAATAAGTACCATTATATATCGATTAATTATTTATTTGATATATCTCACTTACCATTTTTGTGTCTGTCTGTGGGGTTAGTTTAATATAGTGATGCTGATGAGGTTTTAGTCTGAATCCCTGTAGGTAAATAGATATTTGTTGCCTGTGTTTTAATTGGAGGGGAAAGCTTATAGAAGACTCATGAAAGAAATATGGTAAAAATAGATAGGCATGCCATTGGCCTATTCTTACACCTCTATGAATATGAAAATTTATATCTCCTTAGCTGTCATACTAGTGAAAATACTTAACGCCAATTTACACATCACAAAATATCCTCAAAGAACTTGCACATTTCAAGCGGGTAATGAAAAAAAATCCATTAATTTAATTTAATATTTATAAATTCCAATGAAAATTAACAATTTAATGGTTTAGAGTTCAAAAGTAATTTTCCGTTTAGTTGACTTTTAATATACATACTTGTAAGATAAAATACTTACATTCAAATCATATGATGCATAGCATATATAGGTACATCAATTTTAAAATGTATATATTTTATTTTATTATGTAGTTCACCCTTATAGTTTACATATAATGAGTTAATGTAATTATTACTACTGTTATCTAGTCATCCAAGTATCCCAGAAAATAAAAAAAGAATTGTATCATGTTAATTATGAAAATAGGTGATGTAGTGCCACAGCTAGGAATTAGTCAGACGCCCACAACAAAACATATTTTTATACCATAATATATGGTATTGATATAAGATATATACTAGATGACAACTAATTTATTTAATTAGGTAATACCTTTTAGATTAAGGATAACAACTATAAAATATACCATTATTAATACCTCTAATATTTCAAACATTAGAGAATGTTATGATTTTAGATTCTGAGTATGAAAAATATTTTTGAGGTAAAGTTAGGTTAGGTTTTCTTCAAATACATTTTTTTAAGTATGTACCTAACTAAAAAATCCTTAGAATATTTTTCAAAAAACTTTTCTGTAAATTAAAAATAGGACAAATGTCAATAACTCCTTAGAATTAAAGATTAACTATATACATTATGTATTTTTATAAATGCCTACTTACATAGTAATATATTTGTATAACTGTATTTAAGTAGGCAATCTACTTTTTATAATTTAAAATAAAAACCATGAGGTTCATATATACTATGTAGCTATAACAAGGGTGGAATATAATAAAACTTGTGTTTCAGCAGCTATCCTTGAGTTCTTTCCAATATTTTGAAATTAGTTTTGGCGTAAAATTAAACAAAAAGTAATTTTTTTGAGGTCAAACATAAATATAATATGACAAATTTTAAGTAAAACAAATGTATTTATAGAAAAATTAACATTTTGCTATCTTAAACAAATAGAAAATGCCTATCTAATGAATTTTGTCATTTAAATGATTAACATTGTATCCATCTTCAAAAAATAATGATTAAAAATTGTATAAATATCATGCCAAGCAACCAGATATTTACAAATTAAATATTAACAATTTAACATATCAATAATTTAGATGTGTCGTTAACTGCCAGGTTTAATGACAGTAGGTATTTCATTTTTAAAAAAAAAAAAAAATTAGAAGTTTGTGCCAACTATCAATGGTACAGTGTATGGTATGATGATTAATTATTATTTCTTTTTTGTTATTATTATGCCATAGGTAAGTTTTATATTGATGGCTATTTGGCTCATCTCATAAAATGTGCAACTTCTCTTTACAAATAATACGCATGGCGCTAGCGCTTGACGAATCTAACAACTATTTTATTAAAACCACTGTGAAAATATTTTTAAATTCTGGTTACCCACCAGCTACCATCACACTATTGTCAGTCAAAAATGTTTGTCGGTCGAAAACTTGGACTGTTTCCATGTATTGCTTTTCAAATATTCGTTTATTACCTACTAGAAATTCTGCATAAGTAAAATACCTGTTTACGTAGCATATTACCTACTGCGTATGGCGTATCTATCGTTAGGTACCTACATAGAAACATTTTATTTTGTAAACTAACTCGTTACTTTTCTATTTATATGTTTTTAACATCATAACTGAGGGAAACCCGAAACCAATTTAAAAAATAAATTTAAGTTTGCAATTCTATAATAGTTATCAGTATGGGAATTAAACTGCACCCGCGGTTAAATCCTGTAACCCCCTATGACCTACATATGTATTCTGGTTAATATCTATAAAGAAATGTAATTTTTTTTTTTTCAAATAAACTACATTTGAATTTGTAGCGTGGGTGTAGCAAACTAAAAATCCACATAGTTTTTAAAACATATTGAGTTTTCTAGACAAATTCTACACAATCTACTATGTTTATATTAAAACTGGAAATTGTAAACAATAATGACGTGGTATATATGTTGATGCAACTGATATAAATATACTGAGCGATGCCCTGTTCACCACGTAAATAATATTATGAACTGTAGAAAAACTAGAAACTAGAGAATGTACAATTCATTGGAAAAGTTAATATCTCCATAAATGTGTACCTAATTAATACTTTAATAGGAAAATATCAAAATTATTGATAAAATCATCTATATTTCAAAAGATGTCGTTACACGCTTATTATTTAAGGGGTTGTGTATAGGCAATTTTGGGAATATTTCTAAAATCAAATTTGATAAATTGAGTAATATTTAATAAAAGGTATATTACACAAAGGTCCACTACATAAATTCACAATTAAGTCATTATCATAAACCAAAATCTCTGCTCACAAGCAACGTTTTATAGTATTGTTGAATTTAGTTAAAAAAATAATTTACTTCATGAATCCCGTTAAGATTTTATTTATTCAGTATAATACCAACCTATAGTTTGAAAAAATACTCATCTATATTCCACTACAAAATCCTACTTTCTTATTATGTACAATTAGTTTTATCCACACTCCCACCCTCTGACTTGAGTACCAGGATTCAAAAAACTGTCTTTATGCCGCCACTGGTTGAATTTAATATTTATGAGGAACATTATTTTTATAACGGCACAGCACACTGCGTGTGTGATTCAGAAATTTTCTGAAAGCTCAAGTTGTTTAGATGGTACTTTAAAAAGGTCATTTTTTGATTTTTGACGCCATTTTTTAAATAAAAGCCCTTAAGTGGGAAAAAACGTAGAATTTTACGATTTCATTATTTTATTTTAAAAAAAGACGACGTTTTCTACCGGAAAAAATGATTTAATCGAAAAATCACGATATATATGTTTTGTTGCCTTATTGATTTACTTTCATACGGTATCATTGCCAAAACATTTGAGCCACTTTTGAATTTTTAATGTTTGGGAATTCGTTTACTGTAATTCGGTTATAAATACACATAGAGACTTGAAATTTGGTAATAATATTTATATTAGACTTACCTATATGTGTTAAAATGTTCAAAATCATCAGACGACTTTTTTTTTTAATAAGCATTTTGGAATTAAATTTAAACGAAAATCACAAAAAAAATTACAGCACTTCTAATTATGTATTACCAAACTGAGCTCGAAATCATATTTCGTCAAGCAATGGTTTATAGTTGCTTACAGATATAAATTAAATAGCCTTATGTATCCTATCTTCCCAACTTCTCACCTACAACAGTGGTCCCTCCCAACTCCAGTATCAGCTCTTTTTTTAGATAAAATTTGAAAATGTAGTAAATGAACCAGACTTACTGACAAATTCGAACAAAATATAGATTTTTTTAATTAGAATATTAAGTGTAATAAAATATAATTCTCTTTTATTATAATATACATAAATATAAATATTTTATACTATAAGTAGGTACCTATAATCTATATGACATATTTATGTTAACATAAAAAAACATAAATAAATCTTTTTTATATGTACCTATATATTAAACTTTCGTTTTGAATATTTTATACTTTTCAATATGTATTACATACTTAATAACTTAGGTAGTATTGTTTTAGCCAAAAAGGGAAGGGTACGATTTTGATTGAAACGGGACTCGCCCATTCTTGCTTTTTACTCAGGTATTAAGTAGTTCGTACCAGTCGTACTATTTCTGAGACGGTGATTATAACAAACAGTAAGTAAATATTGTGTTGATAGCTACAATATATCTAATCTCTTATCAATCTCTTAACAATTTTTAGATAACCATTTCCGTACAAAAAAATTAACATTTTTTAAATTTTTGATTAATGATCATTAAATAAGTAAGTACCTGATACATGAAACAAATTTAACGATGCCCAGGGGGGATCATCCCAATCGCTTCTACCCTTGTATATGCCTCTGAGTAATAGTAATATAATAATTAAAGAACAACCTGTTGACAATGTGTATAAAATAAAACCTGTTTACAAAACCTGTTTTAGAGCTTCAAATTAATTTGTGTATAAAGGGTGGTAAGTGTCCCACTGTCCGGTGTCCGCTATTTTCATTGTAAAATCTGAGAGCTAACAGTATTATTATCGAAATTATTTGTGTGTACAATTTACTATTTAATTCTGTTCTATTAACTTAAGTTATAAAAATGTAAAATAATATTTTTTATGCTATTGTTTTTTTTTAAAGTATTAAACATTTAAATATGTTATATAATATATTAAAATATCTGTATTAAACATTTTAGTTTTTGTAAAACTATATTTTAATCATCATTTCTATAACATATTTTGAATAATTTTTCCTAGTAGTCATTAAAATTGAAATTTACATTTAATAAATACTTAAGTAGGTACCTATTTATTTATTATTATAGTTAGGGACCCTTAATTAGGGTAACACTCAAATAAAGTAACACTCGAATAACTGACATTTTGATATTATAAATTCAATTTATCTCATGTCATTTATTGAGCTAGAAATAAATAGGTATCTGTTTACTATATTATAATTAAGAATTTAAAATACCTAATAATAAATAAAAGTAATTAATTTAAAAAATAATATATTACCTATATTCTTATTACATTATCTACCTATAAACATAATATTTTGTTTATAATCATCAGTACTTATGTCATTAGTTATTATCAATATTATAATTTAGTTTTTTCACATAGGTATGAACTTCCTTAATTTCTATTCAAGATTTTAAATAAATAAGTAACGTTTGTCATTAATAATTCATTTTGCTAATAACTGTATTTATTTTATAATTATTTGTGTTTTTAAAGTGCATCCATAATAACTAACTATACTAACTAAGTACATTATTTAATCTAAAGAAGTACATATTGTTTGTAGATATTGATACAGGAATATTAAAATATTAACTAGGTAAAATATTTTCTATCATTATTTTATCAATAATGCCATTGTAAAGCAGGTAATATATTTTATTAAATTTATCTATCATTGAACATTTAATAATTTTTTTCTGATGGGAGTTATTAATCATTTTTCTTTTTTAATAGGCATTGTATTTAGAAAACAAATCATCACAATATATACTACACATCGGTACAGTAACATAGACTATACTTTAAAATATATCAAAATTTAATAGCATTACGAATTCAAAAATGTCAAACAATAATTATTTATCACATGGTTTCGGTTTACTTCTGAATGCAGTGACTGGTGAAAAATATATGGTTACGTCCAATAAAGAAGTATGTTTCCTGACATTATAATATAATGGTTTTAATACAAATTGTATATTTTAACAGTTTATCATTGGCCGTTCTCCTACATGTTCACTAATAATTGATAAAATCTATATATCTCGACGCCACTGTATCATCAAAAATGAAAATAACCAATTTATTATTTATGATAATGTAAGTAGACATCATATGATTTATTCAGGAATACTCATTTATAGTACAATTCTAATATGATTGGTTTTTTTTTTCTTAACTTTGGGTAATTATGAGCCTCTAGCCAAATTTGTACACAACTCATACATTTATGACTTAGCTTGATCTTTTTATAATAATTTTGTGTAGGTACAAAAATCTTATTTTATTTTTAGTGCTGATCAACAATCAATATAGGTACCTAATTTAAGTTATTGATAGTGTTTTTAGTTTCCTGGTATAGCTGTGGTTAGGTATGCAACAATACAAATTAATCAAACTTCTTAAAATGGTAAATATAAATTTCTATTTACAATATTTATTATAAATAATAAGTAATAACTAATAAATATGAAATATTAATATGTATTATTATTATTTTTTTTTTATTAGATGAAAAATTAAAATTATAATCTGTAATATTTATATATAAGTAAATATGGTAACTTATATAGGTATTAACAATATGAATAGACATCAGGAGGGAAGACCACTAGTGTAGAAACCTTCTAACTTTGGGGGAAGTTTATAAATTAAACTGGTCAAGATTCAAAACAGATTAAATTGTGTTAAGAACCTTTCTTTTAGTTTTAAGGTGTGGACTCCAAATTAGATGCTTGTCTAAAATTAGATCTAAATATTTGGTTTGAGTTGTAGTTGGGATTTGGTAGTTTTGGAAGTAAATTTTAGGAAGGACCTTTCGTCTTAAATTAAAAGGGGTATAAAAGGACTTGTCAGAGTTGATTTTGATTCTCCACTTGATAGACTATTTTGAAATCTTATCAAGACGAATTTGGAGGTTTTGGTATGATGTTAAAGGGTCAGAATGTGATGAGAGAATTGCCATGTTGTCAGCATAAGTAGCTATCAAAGTATTTTTGAAATTAGGAATATCAGCTGTAAAAATATTGTAGAGGTCTGGTGATAAATTATTTCTTTGGGATATCCTGCTCGGATTTGGAATTGAAATGATAGGTAATCGTCTTAGTTGACGAGGAATGAGTGATTTTGTAGATAAGATTTGGTCAACAAGCAGAATGGAGCTGGAAGGAACTGTTTTAATTTTAAGAGCGAGCCAATGTGCCAAACCCAGTTGAATGTGAACGCTTGTGATATGTCCAAGAATATTCCCGGATATACATTTTTGTTCTCAAACAATGGGGCTATTTTGTTAACAATTCGATGGATCTAGTGGGTTGAGGAGTCGTTTTTTCTGAATACAAATTAAGTATTTGTTATAATTTCTTGCACCTTAAGAATGGGTCTGATTCGTTTTACTATCATTTTTTCAAATAGTTTCCCTAGTATTGGTAATAGATTTATTGGTCTGTATGAGGAGGGTTCATTTATTGGTTTGTTGGGTTTATGTATGAGAATGATTACAGATAGTTTTCATGATAGATGAAAGTAGGGCAATTTCAAAATAGAATTGTAAATATATGTGAGAAGTATAATTGATTTTTTAGGAAAATGCTTGAGTATCTTGTTTGTTATTTGGTCATGGTTGGGTGATTTTCTGGCTTTTAGCCTTTGTATCAAATTTTTTATTTTTTTGGGAATGTATTATTTATGGTTTAAAATCAAAGATTTTTAGTATAATTACACTATAATTATTACAAACAGTTTCGTATTCTTTGAATATTAAAATTGTCTGAAAAATTCTACTTTATCCATATTGTTATCCAATATTAGTTATTTAACCATTAAACACTAGGGTAGGTTAATACATAAATCTAGATATAATTTAGGCAGATAGGTGTACCTACATAATGGAAATGAGTCAATAATAATGGAAAATAAAATCTGTATTAGGTACCTACAAAATAACTTAAAATTTATAAATTCTTATGACATATATGTTTAGAAATATCTATTATTTTGTTTTCATACGAGTATCAATTAAAATTTATATTTTTTTTTTTTAGAATACATGCTCAGGTACATTCTTAAATTGTGTACAAATACCAAAAGGGAAAAACAATTTTGTAATATTAAAACATGGTGATCTTATTGCCTTTGGTGATAAAGGAAAATCGGAGTTTATATATAAGTTTAGCTTGTCTTCAAATGTTGAAAAAAGGCCTAGGTAAGAAAATTATATAAATTGAAATAATATTTATATTTGAGATATTAAATTAAAACTTATCAAAATTATAAATAATGGCACCATTTTCATTTCATTTTTCAAAATAGTTTTAAAAGCATACAAGAATAAAGGACAGTGAAATATTTTAACTTTATATTATTGTTGTTTAAAATTGAAACATGGTTTTTAATGAAATCCAATCAATAATACCATAATAACACAATATTAGTCTGTGAAAAATCAAAATCATATTATATTATTATCTATTTATTTACCATTAATTGTTTTAGATAAAATTAAACAATATAAATTCGTAAAATTAAACAGGAAAAAATGGTTGTTAATTAATTATGATAGATAGCTAATTAATATCAGCTAATTACTTATCTCTACAGAAATATAGTATTATTGTATTATTTTCTTCCCAGCATATGTGTAATCTAGAAGGAACTACCTACCTTACTGTAATCTTTCAATACAGACATTATTTCTTGTAATAAAAAACAATATTCATTTCTCCTAAATAATCCTTTGTTCTTCAAATAATGCGATTACACCTCCATTCTGAATTACCTATCTCCCCATTTGAAAAATATTGAATTCGAAACATGACATCTGAAATGTCAGGAAATCTTAATTTATTGTTAAATATTCTATAATAAACTACAATAATTGATATGTTTCAAACCAGTAATTGGTATTCAAATAATGGTATAGAATTTAATATAAATATTCTCTAATTATTTGTTCTCATAAATAACTATTATCTTGTAGGTATTAAAGTATAATTTATCAAAAATTCTTATTCGATGTGTTTCAGTAATCGATTTTAAATTGACTAACAAAAAAAAACCTAAACATCTTTAACTGGTGCTGTTTTGATTTCAATGACATATTAGCAATAAAAACTTTATATTTCTCCATGGTTCGTACCCTTGGAGTCTACAGTTCTGATATTAGTGTGTTAACACCATAACTATTTAACACTATATCTTGAATTCATCCAAAATTCATGCCTGCACTTCTTATCTTTTAAATTTAAAATAGAAAGATCCTAGCACATCGAATACAATGGTTTTTTAGATTCTTAAATATATCTACACTTAAAAATAGAAAAAAAATAACTGAATTTAAAGTTCTTATTAAAGACTATTGAAAAATAGAATACCTACATTATGCACATGTACTAAAAAAAGTAAAAATACAATTTTAACATTAATATACTCGTAATAATAATGATACATTCTTAATACCTAAAATAAAAACTAATTACCCTCTTATATTTTCTGATATTTACAACTACATTTGTATTTGTATTTATTGTTATTATATTGGAATTTATTTCCACACAGAAAAAATAAATAAAAATGTAAAATATATAATTAGTATATAAGTATAATATGATGAATTTGTTATTTTTATCTAATTAAATATGTAATTTTTAACTTTTTATTTTTAGAATAGATAATTTTATTAAAAAAGAAGGTACTGTTCCAGAAGTTATTAAATTGGATGATACAAATTATAAGAAGTTCTTGACAAAACTAGATTCTAAAATATTAATTGTAAGTTTTAAATCATAAAGTACCTACATTAATATACATAATAATATCCATTAATAAAATGTTCAGTCATAGGATGATGCTGCTTCTGTTATCCTTGGTAACTTTGTGCTTTCTCAAAACAGCAAATTTATTTTTCTCACAGATATATAATTGTATAATTATACAGTATAATAGGTTATATTTTATTATCTGTGATTTGTCTACTAACTGCTAATTCATTTAAGTTTTTCAAATATTTAAAAAGTTTATATACCTAATCAATTACCTATATTTGATTCACTGAAATAAGATATCTTATGTTCTATATCCCAGTCAACACTCTTCATATTACATTTTCCAATAACATTTCCTTAATCTCTATTTGCCTCGTTTTTTATAACTGAATGCTTAGCTATATAATGAACTACAAATCATTTTTAACAAATTATTAGGTATTCGTAATTTTGTCATTTGTTCCGACTCTAAATCTTGTCTCATGGCATTAATTTCTTCCCCTTACGTTTATGTCTCCTATCTCATACTTCAAATCCTTTTGATTATCTTCTCCCTTTACAATTTTGGCTACTCAATCCATTTTGTTTGGGTTCCTAGTCATTCAGGTATCATAGGGAACCAAATTGTGAACCAGCTTGCTACGTCATGTTCCTATTCTATCCCTTATTTAATTAAAATCCCTTATACCGACTTTCCAACAGCTTTTAAAAAAAAAGATCCATGTCTATACCATGGACATACAGGCTGTCCCACGAAGATTTACCCCTAAAAATATCTCCAGAGATAATAAAGATAATCAAATTTTGTTATTTTTTATATTACTCACAGGGATAAGGAAAACAAATATTTATATTTGAACTAATTTTTTTTTTTAGTAAAAAATAACTTTATTTTATTATTTTTGTAAAATTTTACTAATTTATGTGAAAACTGATGGTATCGTATAACAGGTTATTATAGATGACATCGGTTTTCACACGGATTAGTAAAATTTAAAACGACTGTAACTTAGGAACACTATTCATCAAATATAGATGTGTGTTACATTAACATTTTCAGGAAAAAAAAACCCTACAGAATGGCCATCTTTAAATTTTTTGATAATAATAAATTAAAGTTATTTTTTCAATTTTTTCACTAAAAAAAAAATATTAGTTCAATTATAAATATTTATAGTCCTTATCCCTGTAATATAAAAAAACAGAAATTGATTGTCTTTATTATCTCCAGAAGTATTCAAGGGGTATATCTTCGTTGGACAGCTTGTATAAACAAATATTTATATGCTTATGCCCTAGACTCTAGACCATAAACATTTAGTTAATATGTCTATGCTCTAGATAACCTATAATTTAATGATGGCCTGTTGCGTCTATAGATAATATAGAGTGATTATAGATTTATTAATAATGGTTGCAGCACTATATTTAATTTTTTATGAATTAATAATAGATATTTTCCTTCATAATTCTGAATTTTAACTATAAATTAATCCATAACATGAGGCCTGTGGGTTATGTATGTTACATATATATGTATTATATATTGGTAAGTATCAAAAATGTAAATATATACTGTTGTTTAAATTTAATAGATTTATGCATTTTATAATATTAGTCAAGTATTATTATACCTACCTACATTTGTTATATACCATCTAATATTCCTTTGAAACACTAAACTAAATTGTGTATAATTTTAATCTTAATCCTATTTTTTGTGCAACCTATGTCATAGATATGTATAAGTACAATAATTATTTATGTTAATTGTCATGATTGAATTACAGCTAAAAGTTGAATATTTAGCGTTTAGTAATAAAACCAAAATGCAAATTTCAGAATTTCTAATATTACTTAATGTGGCTTTAGAATGGGCAAACAAATTGAATACAGAAATAATGAAAGTAAATAAAATAATAATAAAAAAAATGTGTACAATTTGTATTATTATTATTATTTTTTAGCATAAATACTTTATTCAAGAATTTAATAAAAACACCACAGAAGAATTCCATAGTACATTAATTTTGTCACAAGGTATATTCACTATTTAGTATTCTTATATTATGCTCAACCATACATTTTTTAATTTGTTTTAGAAGACTGTGCATTGTATACATTATATTTTACTATGTGCAATTATTCTTTTTTTTACTGTAAATCACTTGTGGACAACTTTTCTACCAGAAAATTTGCTCTGATTTACAATAATATCACGTTTTCTAAAAGGAAATCTGATTAGGGTGGTAATTTACACAGGTTATTTTTTGATTTTCTCAGCTGTTTTCATTATAAATTGGAAAAATTTGAGAAAAAAGGGAAAAGTGTATCTACAATGTAAAACAAATATATAATGCACATGTAATTATTTTACGATAATATGACATATATATTGTTAACAAAGCAACACTATTAAAGGAACTCCGCTTAGAATCTTTATTTGTTAGCAATGGTTAATTATTGCATACAGATTTACTAAATTTCCCCTCTACCTTTCCAACTTTTCACCTATAACAGTAGCTCACCCACGTGCAAAGGGTGTCTGTCTTTTATTATTTTTGATTATTTAGATAATAAAAATACACAAGAACCACCCAAAGAATTAATGAAAATTCAAGTTAATAATGTTTTAGAAAATATTCCCCTGGATTCTGTTTACAAGGAAGTAATGAGCAAGGTATACAATTATTTATTTATTATTTTTTGTTCTTGTATATAATATTGAATTATTAATATATTTTAAATTTTACTGTATGAGGCTAATCATATTTTCTATATTTTAGCGGTTTTCAACATTTTCATATTCACATACTATTTTCACATTTTGAAATTTTTTATGTACCACTTGGTATGATTATTAAGTTATTATTTTTAGATTCTGAGAGGAGCGAGGAATATATTGGTTTTATAATGATGTTTATATTTTTTTCTTATCTGTAAGAGTTAAAATTGGAAAATGGTAAAATAGGTACAATATTAAACAAATATTATTAAATAATGCATATGTAATTATTTTACCATAATATGACATATATATTGTTGACAAAACAATACTATTAATCGAACTCCGTTCAGAATCGTTTTTTTGTTAGCAATGGTTAATCCTTGCTTACAGATGTACATTAAATTACCTATAACAGTAGTTATATCCATTCCCTAATGGGAAAATTCCTAGAAAACTATTTTACTCTTTACTTATCATAAAATAAAAAATGTATATTATTTTACATTTATGTATTTATTATTAAATTTACCCACATAATTATAAGTATTTAACATAAGTAAAATTAAATATGCACAGTTATTATTTTTTTTATTATTTATGGATTAATAAACTACATTATTATTATTGTTTATTTCTTTGAAAAAATAATGGGCCTCACTAAACAGGTTCATATTATTTTAATAAAAAACATTTTTTTTTTTTTTTACTTATCTATCAAAAATTTCTTTGCATACCACCTATACCACATAGTTTGAAAACCGCTACTATACTTTATATAAATCTTGCAGAATATTCAATTAATAGTATTCAAATTTTAATTATTTGGTAGGTACAAGAATCAAACTTTAAGATTGATAAAGAATCTCCCACGAGTTTTTCAGATGAACTAACTGATTTCTTTTCATCATCAGAAAATGGTACACAATATGACCTACATCAATTCTCAAAGTCCAGTTTTACTCATAAATCAAGATTGATAGATCAGCAATTAGTAAAAATGCTTGTTAAAGAATATCATTCATTTAAAATCATAGAAGATACAGAATTTAAACATTTAGTTAAAATGTTATGTCCCATATATTTGATTCCAAACGAAAAAACCTTAACAGAAAATGTATTGCCTCAGATCTATGAAATGATTCTTGATCGTATGAAAAATAATTTAAAAAATGTATCGGCAGTATGTTTATCAATTGACTCGTGGAATTCATTGAAAAATCAATGTTTTATTACATTAACTGCTCATATTATTGATCCTCAAAATGAATCTCAATTATCTTCAATTTTAATTGGTTTTAAGATATTCGATGAAGAATATACAGATGACAGTTTGGCTAGATTTCTCAAAAATACAGTGGATGAATGGAACTTATCTAATAAACTGACAGGTGTAATAAGTGCCAATTCTGTTAAAATAAAAGCAGCAATTATAAAATGTAATTGGCAGTACTTATCATGTTTTTTAAATTCAATAAATTTGATGGGACAATCTTGTTTGAAAAGCATAGAATTTATTATATACAAGGTGAAAGAAATTTGTATGTATTTTAAAAACAATTCACATGCTTTAATTAAATTAACAAAGCTACAAGAACAAACAGGTGGATCTTCTTTGAAACTAAAATTAGATTATCCAACATGTTGGAAATCAACCTATGATATGATTAATTCCATAATTTCATTGAAAAAGCCTATAATTGCAACTCTTGCTAGTTTAAATACCTATTTAGACATCCCAAGTCCTCAAGAATGGATTATAGTGGAATATTCACGAGATATATTAAAAATGTTTTATAATGTTATAATGGAAATAAGTTTAGAAAAATATATATTAATTTCCAAAGAGCTCATTTTTGTCAATATATTGAATAAACATATTTTAAAATTTTTAAATGACAAAATGTTACCAACAGAAATTCAGTCAATGGCTAAAATATTAAATCAGCAATTATATTCAATATTTGGAAATATAGAAGAAAATGTCTTGATTAGTCAAGCTACTCTTTTGGATCCAAGGTTTAAAAAATTTGGATTTTCCTGTGAAGAAACATACAATGCAGCTTTAAAATATTTACGAACAGAAATCCAAAGTATAATTATTATCAATCAAAATGAATCACAAATAATACAACAGGGAGATTCATTGTGTACTTTAAGTTCGACAATATGGGAAGAATTTGACAAAGCGACAGTCAATATATCTATAGGATCAAACAAATTGATTACTGAAACTGTTGAGGTTGATAACTATTTAAATGAGCCACTGGTCAATAGACTAGAAAATCCTTTGGCCTGGTGGGCCAAGAGAAAAAATATATATCCAAGATTATATGAACTTGTTAAACGAAGACTTTGTGTCATTTCTACTATAGTTACATGTGAAAAGATATTTTTAAAAGCAGACCAATTAGTAAATGAACAAAAAAATAAATTATCATCAAATAATATTTCACAAATCTTATTTTTAAATCAAAATATGTAAAGTTCATGTAACTGTATGTAAATATTATAAATTATTAAGTAAAGTTATGATAAAAAAATCATTATTAAGATATACTATGTCAAGTTTTATTTTTACAATACCTATAAAATAGCATAACTATACAATTGCTCTACATCTTATCTTTCTACATACAAAAATATCTTTATTACACTAGTCATACAAATGTATCAAATTTTGTTTTTAAACATAAACAAATCATCTTTATGATTCTGTCTAAGTAGATTTTACCATAAAAGCAAATGCAATCCAAAGTAGATGATTTTTAAAGAGTTAAAGTAATTCATTTATATATTTAATACCTACCTACCTACTGAATTAATTCAAAATAATACATTTTAATTGAAATAATAAATGATTAAATATTTATAGTTAATAACATGAGTTTTCTATGAAGCTTAATATTGATGTTCAATTATTCGACTAGGTATAGGTACGCATATTTTAAAACCCTATAAGTAATTAGTAACAAAATTAGAAGAATACAATATAATACTTTTTATATTAATTTTATTAATTGCATAGTAATATAGTGGACAACAAAGACTGAATGGACACATACTTTAAATCTCATGAAAATCTCTGCACTTCTAGGATTTCCAAAATACGTAGTTGCTGTGAGCCAGGTGAAATGATTTGCCTCGTTGACATACCTTCTTTAAGTATTAATAGACTAACTAGTGAAAATAGTTTTAAGTATTATCAACTTAGATGACTTGATTAAATTTTGATTTTCTTCATATTTTTAGCTTAAAGAAAATCGCAGGTCTACAAAAAATATACATGTCACATTAATTTTTTGAGTAGTTTAAGCTCTTATATTAAGTGTTTTGAACAATAATGACTACAAAAAAATAAAATATAGCTGTTTCAAAAAAGTTCAAATAATTATTATGTCAGTCTTCGAGGAAAACTTTGAAGTTCTGTTTACAGATTTATGTGAGAATATTTATTCCTTATCAATAACCATTCATGTTGGTCATTATGGTTTAATAACCATTATTTAATTCATAACTTCTTTTTTGTGCTTTTTGACACAATTTTTCAACAATTAAGCTAAGGACCTACTAAAAAACCAACGTCCACCAAATTATCATTATCCAATGACACCATTACATATTGATAGATTAGGTCCGCAATGGTAAAAAGTATAAATAATAAAAATACAATTTCTTAAAATGGAAAATATACATTTCTGTTTAAAATATTTATTATCAATATGAAATATTAATATGTATTATTTATTATTTGATAAAAAAGATTCTTAGAATATTTTAATCTCGGTCAATTAATTTTAATTTTATTATTATTTTTTAAGATATCTCCATATTTTTGATAATTATACTTGGTATGAACTTATTTAAAAAAATTCCACAATATTAATATTGTCGGCCAACACAACTAGTAACAATCAATAATCCCATATCAATTTGGCTAAAGTAAGTCCGTAAATTTTATCAGCAGACAGTGTCTTTAGCATCTTTTGCCAAATGCAAGTAAATACAAGTTTGTGTTCCATAAAGTGTTAACCCCTATTGGCTATTACTATAAATTTAAAGTATCAAAAATCAAACTGAAAAATTTGATAAATTACACAATTTATGTTCAATAAAAAATTGTCTATCAAATGACTTTTTGAAATTTTTAAAATATTGTTCTAGATACAACTTAAAACTAATAACTAAGAATCTAAAATTTGTAAATTATTAGCAAAATATTTTATTCTTTATTCACAAGTAAAAATAAAAATTCATCAGTACATTATTATTTACACTAACAAAAAAAAAAAATTATATTATTTACCTTACAAACAAAAAGAAAAAATTAGGGTCGCTAAATTTTACTAATAAAACATAAAATATATCAATTGTAATATAAATAGAAAATATTAGCAAAATTATTATCGTATAACATAATTTTAGTTTTTATCAGTACTACTATTTATAATGGAAGAATTTCGAACCAAATCCAACCGCCCTGCTTGAATCATATCTTTCTCCCATTTAATAAGTGCATCATTATACTTATCTATTTCGTCAGAAGCTTCTTCCAAATACTTATTTTTTTTGTCAGAGTCCAGTTCTTTCCATTTTTTAGCAATGGTTACCATATATTTATTAACAGGCTCATCTCTATTATATTTTAAGTGTTCGGTTGCAAATAAAATATATGCAGTAGGAGGTTTGCGAGGTTTGCCTAATTCTTTTAATTCCTAAAAAAAATGTATTTATAAAATATTTTAAATTTAAATATTTTTATTCAATAACTGTACTTTTTTAAGTTTGCGTTTTGTTTTTTGTTCTAATGCCTCATATTTTGCTCGGAACAACTCATTTTTTTGTTCATCTGTTAAGCTTTCTTTGTAGTTTTTCATATTTTCTTTGTATTTGACCAGTTCTTTACCATATGCTTCAGTCATTTTTTCTTTAGTATTTACATCAAATAATTTCCACATTTCACTTAGAATACGAAAAGTATCTAATATAAATTAATACAAATATTATATAACCTAAACATATGGAATAACCAAAGTTTTATTCAACTTTATAACTAAAATCAAATATTGATTGTTCAACAAAACATTGATGATAAATTATATTTAAAAATTGATATCATAAAATTGAACTTTTATAATTATAATTATTAAATATAGAATGATCAATCTATCGTAAGAAACTTATTATATCTAAAAAACAAGTAGGTAGCAGTGAAAAGTGAAAAAGCAATATAGATAGAATTAGAGGCCCAATATGGTCGCTCTCTGTACAATTTTAATCAAAAATAATCATCGGTTTATTGAGCAAAATTCATGTCAGGTAGATAACAAGAAACCTAACAGATCACCTAAGTAGTCGAAAATGTGTAATGATTTCCACAAAAAACTTAATTAAACTTTAATTTTTAAAACTTTGAAATATATAAGTTTCTGGAAAAAATCCGAAATTTCGAGGAGCTGCTAAACTAGATTTATACCAAAAATTTTATATTTGTAATAAATTAAACTACAATTTTACTTGAGTTCTCATAACCTGAATAAACACATTATTTTAAGTTATTCACCTGTAATTTACTAATACACAATTACTTTGGTATTAATATGATTAAACCCTAATATTAATAAATATATATATATATATATAAATCATTTTCAAGTATCCACAGTTAAATAAGGTTGGGATTAAAGTATCACGAAGTCAAAAATGAACGTCAAAAAGACATTGGTCTCGAGACCTATTAATTTGAAAAACGCGCTAGCTTAACAGGAATGCCAAAAAAATAAAAGAGTAACGTCATAGGGTCCTATCACTGGATAGCTTCCCTTCTCATTTTCCCTTCCCATCATAAATTGTTCTCATATTTACTTATTGTATTTAATTTATGTACAGATTGTAAATGTCATATATATATATTTTTTTTTTAATAAATAAAAAAAAAAATATTTAAACTAATTAAATCATTAAAAAAAATATGTATTTTGTCATTGTTACTATAATGTCTAATTAATACCTAATATTACCTTTTGTTCTTAAATTATGTTCTCCAATTACTTCAGACTTTTTTTCATGTATAAATTGAAAGAATGGAGGAGTAGGTCTTTTTGGTTTTAGTGGTAAATTAAATACTGTTTTTTTAGCATATCCTATGATATGGATTTCCAAAACAGAATTTGAACATCTAATAATAATAAACAATTTTACATTAGACATACAAAATTAATATAAATTATTTTGCAAACCTGTTAATAAACAATTGATTTGTTTTGATTAATCGACAATTGCTCGTGAAAAACTGTTTGAAACTCATTTTTAAATAAATTTTTAGTATTGAGAATTCAAAATTTCAAAAACAAACTATATTAAATTGCTAATTTGTATGTATGTATTGGTAATTTGTGAATCGTGAATTAAGATACACTTGTCTAAGATATCTTGACTGTGTTGGGAATAAACTGTTATCAGTGTTATGGTTATCTATGATACATACACGAGGGCGAAACACGTAATTTTTATTCTGTGATACCAATTCGACAGTAAACGGTTAAAATGTATCTACAAACATAAAAAAGCTCCCAATCAAGATATAATAAATAAATATAATATATAAAAAATTGTTGGAAAAAACTATTAATTTTAAATTTATAATTAAGTAAGGGGTGAATTTTTTATAACTGACATTTTTAAATTGAAAAATTTTTGATTACAATGATTATAAATCCAAATATGCTATATATTTATATAGATAAATAGATTAGTATTCATTGTGGTAAGGGATAAGTATCTATTATTATTTTGTTATGTATTAATTTACAACAGCCATGTTTTTTCTTGATATTATTCTAGGCTCGGTCATTTATTTTCCTAGTACCGTTTAAGTAGCTATCAGAATCATAAGAATAATTTATATGAAGGCACCCTGCCAGACCAATATGGCAACGTTTCGTTTATTTGAACGAAATCATTATATTTTTATCACATTTTTAAAGACACTGGTTAACGGTTTCCGAGGTTGGAATAATACTGTAAATATCAAGCTACCGCTAATTATTGGATGCGTTATCTTTGGACGCAATGGTGTTTGGGCGTGTTATCAAAAATATATCAATAACAAGGAAGTTTTTTTCATAGACTTATAATATATTACAAGGTCTATGGTTTTTTTGATGCTTGTTGATCGCAATAATATATTTTATTTTAGCGGTTTATATTGTTGAATTATTATATATTTATCAACTGATCAAAAAGATTATACTTGTAACTCGTAATAATAGGAGTAATTACTCGGTTAGGTTAAATGATCAATATTAAAACTTAAACAATTAAATAGGATTAAGAAATTTCGAGAGGGGGTGGGCTAAAACCCTAGAACCCTACCCCACTGCGTAATTAATTACATTCTTACACAATGATTTCAAATTACAAACAGCTGACGACCACGAAGTAGCTAAAAACCACTATAAAAGATCATTCAACAATATCAATACATTAATTAAAAACATGTCCTTTCTCACTTAGCCACAAAATATTCTCCGTTGCTAAAAAAGGAAGTGGGCTAGATTTTGTTATCTACTTAAATAATACAAAATATAATAGAAATAAAAAATATCCAAATTCAAATAAAATATCAAACTTAATTTCTGAGTTCAAACTGTTCAACGAGAAATGGAAAAAAAAAGTTTTCATTGCAATTATCAATATATAATAAACTCGATAACCACGTATTTATCCAGAACGCAATTTGAAGCAAACTAGGAGTACTTTCAGTATAACCACAAATAACAATAAGTACTATTGTACTATCTTATTAGTTATCATATTTTATGCGTTTTATAACATATTATTGTATAGTGGGAATATTATACTAAAATATTTATATATTATAATATAATGAAAACTCCTTAACTCAAATCGATGGAGGACAAATAAAAAAAGACGTCCTAGGATAATGAAGACGGGTGCAGTCACTATTACCTTTAAGTAATTTAATGCATGTCTGTAAGCAACGATAAACCATTGCTAACGAAAAAACGATTTTGAGCGCAGTTCAGTTGATAATGATGTTTTTTCAACAACATGTAAGTGATATTATGGTAAAATAATTAAATAGGCATTATATATTTTTTTTAATTATATTTGTTGAATATTGTATCGATTTACCCGTTTTACCCCGGATTATCACTTTTGCTAAAAAAATTCTTGGAAAAATCGAATAATAACCTCCCTTAAGTAGCTTCCCAGTTACACTTACGTTCAGAAAAATGCTATCATTGTAAATTGGATCAAAATTGCTGGTAGAAAAGTTGTACATAGAAAAAAAAGGTCATAATATTTTTTACTAATACCTACATTTCGTACATTTTCCGTTTTTCCGACATTTTATTCCTGTTTTCTCCAGTTATTATGAAAACCAATTAAAAAATCACAAAAATGACCTCCTTAAACCCTGGAGATAAAATTTCCTTTAAGAAAATAAACTACACTTAATACATAGGAACAAGATTTATGGTAGAAAAGTTTGCCCAACAAATCAAGGAGTATTTTTCGATTAAAATCGTCCAAGCAAGCGATAGTTAGATTTCTAGGTACATTTAAAATGCAATTGTTTTTTCCCTATTTAAGTGAAAGGTAAAAACAAAATGCACAACATTTTTTTTTGAACTCTGGGATTGAACCTGCAACCTTAGGATGTACAACCATTTGAATACAACATTGTTTAAAAAAGAAAATCTAGAGTTATTTAACATAACTTAATGTAATATTTAAATGATATCAGAACTTCAAAAAGCTATTATTACGAAAATTATTCATCCTGCTAAATTCTAATTTCACCATCGTACTTAAGTCGGGAATACACATATGTTCAAAAAAGAAAATCGAAAAATTAGATTTGTTCCACATAATTTTTTACTTAAACAATTCTCGTCAAATTTAATATTAAAATTCCTTTATAAAAACAAATACTACATTAAACTAATTTTTTTTACACAAATTAAGACTATGAAGCTCCTGTTGTATTGTCAAGCATTTCTGTTAAGTCTAACAATTTTACCACAGAGTACCTATCGAATAAAAATTACGTACAAAATTCGCAAAATTAAAATGTATATAAATTGTTTAATAATGGCTTATTTTTTTTGAAAATTTTACCACATCTAGAAAAGGTAAATATAAATTTTCTGTCCGAATTTCAAGTCCAGAGACTCTATACTAATATTTTTAATTGAATCTCAACAAAAATATAGCATATTTTTTAAAAAGCTTAAAAATAGCTCAAATGTTTCAAAAATTTGACCATACCTAGAAAAGGCAAATCTAAGTTTTCTGTCCAAATTTCGTACATGTGCCGTATTTCTTACGTTTTATCCTGGTTTTTCCTAAATATTATGAAAACTGCTTGGAAAATCAAAAAATTACCCCCAAAAGTACCACCTGAACAATATTTCCTTTCAGAAATGGTATTGCACGTATATATCGAAGAAAGATTTCTATTCGAATTTTCGTACACAGTATAATACAAAAAAAAATAATAATAATAATAAACATTTTAGTAAAACCAATACATTCTACGCTCCACTCAGAATCTGAAAAATTAATTCAAGTTATCGAAAATTCGGTTTAAAGAATTTAACAAACAAAATATGTGTTCGTTAGTGGGCGGATTTTTAGATTTTATATATATATTTATTGGCTGTATGCAGCGCAACAAGGATGACAAATCTGGACGATTTATCCATTACAGAGTTCATAGAAAAAAAAATGTTTTGTATATTTTAACATATTTTGAAGATTAGAGAATATTCAAATATAAATTATATATCGTATTATAAGCACCTTGTAATATATATGTAGAGAATACATTTAAATATTTTATACATTATACAAAACAACTAAACACAAAAACGTTGTTGATAATATAATTTATAAAATAAATAACATACATACAAAATATAAATCTGAGATTAGAAATTGCACGCTATCTTGCGGCCAATAGTTTCGTTAAGTATTTTTGAAACTAACCGGCCTCTCTTAACACGTACACTACGTAAAGACATACAGTATAAATTAGGGCCTCTGTATATTACTCTGCATTTATATAATGAAGGGATAAAAATCCTGAAAACAGATTTGAATTCATTGACAAGTGACAAGTCCACTCTTGTGGTCGACTTTCCCACATTTTTGTTAATTTTCATTATTTTCTAAATTCTTAACGTTTTAAAATATAATCATTCCGCATATTTTGTTGTCGGTCGAGATGTTGGTGTAATAGATGAGCACGAACCCGTGACCATACGTTCATGTAGCATATACTGATCGACGCGATAAGCGAACGGAACGTGCGAATTATACGGAATTAATTCGGAATGCAACGGAATAAACAAATATGTGCAATGTATTGAAATGCTGAAACGAAACATGACAAGACGAAGTCGTCGTCTTCGTCGATTACTTTTCCTATACCCAACGTACATACTACAGGGAAATATTAGAATTATTTATGAGTTTTATGACGACCGAGTTACCAGAACATTTCTCCTACCGCTGCCAAACGGTTCGGCGAAATGTTTGATACGAACAGACGGCGAGACGGCCTGAAAGCGAGACGAGAGTTGCCTGTTGGCTATATAGTTAACTCGTATCAGTGCCCAGTGGTGTTCGACCGGTCGTTGGTCAATGGTGTGGGTAACACCATATTATTATTATATTATATCGTGCGTTCACAATTATAAAGTAGAAATTTTTAAACGGTGTATCCTCTTCAATTGGATATCGCGTGTGAAAGTTTTGTTTCAAGGTTCGTCATTGTACCCAGTCGGAATTTGAATGATATAACCCCAAGCGACGAATTTAAAGAGAACTGTAAAATTTTTGTTGTTTTATTGCAGTTAGTAGGTATGCAATGCTTTACTGCTGAGTCTTTCTATTGAGTCTACTATTATTTTCTCGTCATAGTATTTCAAATTCTAGAAGGACGCATAACAAAACGATTTCTTAATGGCTTTGGCGTCTGAAAGTAAAGAAGTTATAATCCTACAGAAAGCGCAAAAAAAAGATTTCACTTATGTAATGAAATCTCTGTTAGCCGGAGGTGAGATGTAATAAATATTTGTTTGGTTAATACTTATGGTTATGTTAATTTGTAATTAATAGCATAATATGAAATTTTTAATTTGTTTTATAAGGTGTTGCTGGTATGTGTTCAAAAACTGCTGTTGCTCCATTGGACCGAATAAAAATATTGTTACAAGCCCATAATAAGCATTATGCAAATTTTGGTAATTATTGAACATTTTAGATTAAATATATTTAACTGGTTGTCCCGCACCCGGCGTTGCCCGTGCCAATTTTTATTGTTATTATTTTACTCATATTCATTTCAGAATTGAATAAAAACAAACAGGTGGAAAGTAGGTAGTCTACAAATATGTTCCATTGTGCAATTTGAATAATTTAAATAATAGTACTAATAATAATTATAATAGTTTTATTTTACGTGACAACTTAATCATCATCCATAACACCAAGGTAACCCATGAATAAACAAAAATCAATAAATAAGCAATTAGATATCTGTACCAAATATATCTAAAAATCCTTATTTTACCCCCTTAGCTTAATTGAATTTTCAAAAATCCTTTTTTAGTGGATGTCTACATCTTAATATCTTTCTGTGTACTAAATTTCAGCCCAATCCTTCCAGTAGTTTGTGCTAGGCGATGATGAATCAGTCAGTCAGGATATGTTATATATTTTATATACATATAGATAATTATAAATCAATATTAAGATATAAACAATGTACATTTTATACTATGTAGTACAATATTGTTCTACTATAAGCCTCAATTAACACGTGCAACTTAAAAACCAGAACTACAAAAATATTGGTATGAAATCAGTATAAAAATAATAAGGATACATTTCACTCTAACCACTTTGAATTGTCAGTTTTAATAGCAATCTTATCATATGGATGGTATCAAATATGAAATTTTGGTCATTGGTGGTTGAGTTATTTGTATTGTGCATCAGTGCAACATATTAACCACTTTCCGACTACTCATTAAAAGCGTATTTTGTTTATTTTTATATTGTTATTATCATTGTTTTTATAAATTATGAATTGTAAATCAGTGGTCAAATTGGAAAAATAAAAAAAAAGGATCAGAAAAAATAATTTACCTTGTAATGATTTAACTCAATCTAATCTGTGACTTTACTCCTACAAACATTTTACACAACTCTTAAAACATGATTCATAATTTAGATCTAATACTCCTGGCTAATTTTTTCTTGCATATTAAATTATTTTGGATAATATACCTATATATATTAATATTTATAATTTATTTCTGTAAAATAATTAAATAATAAGAGTGGATGGGTCCACTCATATGCTGTATCTGTCTTACAACCATATAACATAAAAAATTTGCATTCAGTAGGACAACTGATGCTGTTAGTTTTAATATTAGAGTCAATTGACCTGTTATCAAATTTAAAGATAAGAACATTATCTATGCAATTATGCTGATTTTTTTTTCGTTTTAAATATTTCAGAATTGGCCCTTTGTCCCTATAAAAATAAATGAATAATTAGTAAAGACATAGTAAGAAAATTGAGGAACACTCCTTCCATCAATTCAAGCATTGTTTTTAAATTTATAATGGATTGATTGAAACTAACTTGTAGTGTTCAAACTAAACATTACACTCTATTTATGATCATCATATTGTGAAGTACAATAATCAAAATATATTATAGTATTCAAATTATTAAAAAAATAATAATCATCGAAATTCAGTTTATTTTTGATAAAAGTCATTATGTTTTTTTCCTGGAAGCTTCTTTATCCAGATAAGACCAACATAAATATTTATGTTGCCATAAAGTTATTAAAATTTATCTAATATATGTATTTTATACATTTACTTTTAAACAGCATTGAAAATATTTGGTTTTAATTGTTGGATAATTAAAAACTTAACTAGTAAATAATTGGTTAATTTCTATTATTTGTGATTCATGATTTAGGTACTTAAATCATATGATTAAAATTATTTTGTTTATACCCATTATAGCCATTATAAAAATGTACAAAGTTTAATGCTTATATTTAATATATTATGTAATAATATGTGTTATGAAATAGAATATTAATTAGTTTATATGTATTATTTCAGGAGTATTTAGTGGTCTAGCTGAAATCATTAAACGTGAGAGTTTTATAGCATTATACAAAGGCAACGGTGCCCAAATGGTGAGAGTGTTCCCATATGCTGCTATTCAATTCACATCATTTGAATTCTATAAAACTGTAATAGTTCTATTAACTTTTTTAATTTGAAAATGGTATATTTTAAAATAGTATTTTTATTTTTAGCTTTTAGGATCTATTCTAGGTAGTGGTTCACATATTGGAAAATTTGTAGCTGGTTCATCAGCCGGTGTTACAGCAGTTACAATTACATATCCTTTAGATACAATTAGAGCACGGCTAGCATTTCAAGTGACTGGTGAACATGTATATAATGGCATTATACATACAGCAAAATCTATTATGCAAAATGTACTTTGACAAATGCATGATATATTATGTTTAAAATATATTGATAATAGTTTTAATAGGAAGGAGGAGTAAAAGCTTTATATCGAGGATTTGTTCCTACATTATGCGGTATGGTCCCTTATGCAGGCTTAACATTTTTTTGTTTTGAATTTATTAAAAAATTTTGCTTGAAAACACTACCAACATGGTTTAGTAAACCATCTGATAAAGATTCTGGTAAGTTTTTTATAGATAGATGAAAGCTTTGGTGAATTATTATTAATCTTGTTTTAAATAGGTGGGGCCGTACTTACTGTACCTGCCAAATTGCTTTGTGGAGGATTGTCTGGTGCACTTGCTCAATGTGTTTCATATCCATTGGATGTCACAAGGAGAAGAATGCAATTAGCCACTATGGATCAAACCAGTGGAAAATTTGGGTAAACAGTCTAATTTATATATTTTATCAATACAATATTTGTTTTTAGTTTTCACTTTATATTTGAAAATATAATTTAATACTATTATTAATCTAATCATTTGATTATATAAATATATTCAGATGTAAACAATGAGATAATATAGTTAAAGTTGTATACTTTTAAAAAGTATTTGTACTGTACATTTTATTTCATAGCATTAATAATTATTTAAATAATTCAACTTAATATAATTAAAAATGATTAATTTTAATATTAATTTATTTTATTATTTCAGGCATGGTATGATTAAGACATTAGTAAATGTTTATCGCACTGATGGTGTTACTAATGGTTTGTATCGAGGAATGAGTATTAATTTCATTAGAGCTGTTCCTATGGTAGCAGTGTCATTTTCTACTTATGAACTTATGAAACAGACTCTAAATTTAGATACTGGAGTTGATTCCTAAATATTATTTTTCATTATTATTGAATCTATTTTTGTTTTAGTTTTAATATTTCTTATGTTATGCAATATTATAATTATTATGTGTTTTATTTATCAAATTGTATACGTTGTTGATATAAAAATAAATTATTTTTATAGAACTTGTTTTTTAGGTCTAGAATATTAAACAAATTTACTATTTAAATAAATCATATAATTTGATAACCAAAATAAATTTTTCTCACGTAAAAACAGTATAAAATAATTAATAATTACTTGAGACTCATTTTACATTTTGACTGTGATATACCTGATAATGAATTTTTAATTTGAAATTGGTCGTATAATACACTTATCATAATACTCCAGGTAACATATTCATTCATTTATTTATTTTTATTTTGTTTTTACTTAAATATTTTATCTAGCATATGAAAAAATAATGATTTAGTGCAGTGATTCTCAACCAGTGGTATGCAAAGAAATTTTTTGGTAATTGAAAAAAAAGGTTATTAGTCATAATGTAGTTTATTAATCTATAAATAATAATAAAACAAATATATATATATATCTACATATTTAACTTAACTTTTGCGTATTAATTGCTTATAATTTTGTAGATTTAATAATATTAAGTGCCATACATGAAAAATAACTTGCACATTTCATTTTTTAAAAAGGAAAAAAGACTGACATAATTTGTGTAATGGATGAAACACTATTGTTGGTGAGATCACTCAGTGCATCAATGAAACTGTCAAAGGGACCGAAAAGAAAAACTAAATCCAACCCTGTTTTCCCTGTGACGATTGTACTAGATTTCTCACCTACTGTTGTATTTAGTTCCTGTTTTGCAGTACCTTTGGTGGTTTCCTAGATGCGCCGAGCGATCGCCCGGTCCGTGTGGATAGCACAGACCGCCATGGTACTAGGTAGTGTCTAAATGCTTACGCACTAAGGTTGTATCTGGTGAGTTTAAGGACTAAGGGTCACTTTTTCTCTACCACCTGGTCGGTTGAGGGACTGCTCGCGTTGGGTCTTCCCGTGGTATGTTCACGGACAGTCCACTTACCCCTGGCTACAAGGATTGTGTTATCAATAGCGATTCGGGAGACGCATGGGATTCCCGGTGTGGGCTCGCCGCTTATTTCGTCGGCCACTAAGTGTCAAAATATGTCCAGCACTTGATTTTATGGTGAGGTTGGGTGTTCTTCGCGTCCACGGTGCCGAATGAAGACAGGATCGGCCGTGAATTTGTTCTGCTGTTGATGCCATGCAGTAGGTTTTGACCGGACCAATGAGTTTCGCTAGGCGGTGGTTAAAAGCCAGGGGCAACTCACCTATTGACGCCGTTCCGTGTGCGATTTGAATAGTAGTAGCTAGGGACCACGTTTTGATGCATCGAATTGCAAACAAAAAACGATTCTAAGCGATGTTTAGTTATACATGTGATTAATAGCCTATTAATATTTACGATTTTCATCATATTTAATACTAAAATTCTTATAAAAAAATTATACATTATAAACCCAATTTTTTTTTTCTACCACAGTGACTTATATTGAACTTCCTGTTACATTTTTAATCATTTTTGTTTGGTCTAACAGTTTTAACACACAAAGTAATTACCGAATAAAAATTACATACAAAAAGAAAATATCTATAAATAGCTCAAAAATTGCTAAACATTGACCACGCAAAAGATAATTAATATAACTTTTCTAACAAATTTTAAGTGTACGAATATTTTTAATTGAATCGCAAAAAAAAAACTAGAAACTGAAAATAATACATTTCGTACATTTTCTCAATTATTATGAAAACCGCTAGAAAAATCAAAAAATGATCTTAAAATACCACCCATGTGAAATTTCCTTTCAAAATAGGTGCTACGTTTGAAAATTTGAGCAAGATTTCTGGTAGAAATGTTTATAGATCAGAATAAACTTCATTGAAAAACCATTACCTACATTTCTTGCTCTGCTTAGAATCTAAAACTTAATAACCATATCAAGTGGTATGTGAAAAATTTCAAAAAATGTGAATGGTACGTGGATATGAAAAGGTAAAGAACTGTTGATTAAGTGCATTTTTATTTAAAATGTACGAAATATTACACAATAATTTAATCAAAGTTTGACCAAATAGATAAAAGATAATAGATTTATCCTTGTAATAATATTTTTGATAATTGTACATGTTTTGAACTATTAATAATATTGTGTTCAAATTCTTCTTTTGTATTTGGTTCATTTACAGATACACATAACTTTGTAATAGCAGCAGCAGCTTTGAATAATTTGGCTGTACGTTGTTTATCCATTTTCTTTTTCCACTAAAATATTATAATGTTGAAAAATATAAAAAGGAAATGTTTTATAGACTTACTGTTTCATCTCTTGAGGGCAATGAAGAGAGAAATGAATCTTTGTTTGGATCAGCTATTGCTAAAACTGATAAACATCCATCTACTGTGGCTATAACAACTGCCCGTCCATCTTCTGTTGTTTCAATCGCGCTTAGTTCTGCTGGCACTCGATAATTAGCTAACATCTTCGCATCAGTGAGTCTGTTTAGAAATTAAAATTACATATTTTTTTTGTATATTACTTAAAATTAAAAACAGATAATTTTTAACTAACCGAAAAACCCTCAATGTTTTTTTCCCACTATGATAATACAATACATATTCATCAGTTTTGTTAAACATACATATAACTGTAAAAACACCTTCAGCAACTCTTGGTATAAATGTCTTCACAGAAGTTCCTTTTCTTAGTTCTAAAAGCTCTAAACCTCCTCTTGTTGGAGCATATAATCCATATTTGCCGTCTTTAGTACAAATTCCCCCCCATTTTGGAACAGATTTTAAATATTTTTTTGTACGTATATCAAACAACATTCCTTTATCTGGATTAATTACAGCAACTAAATTAGCTCGATGTGGCATTGCTACTATGAACATTATATCCTAATAAAAGAAATATTATTGTCAGTTGTACAAAAAAACGTACCCACTTAGTGTTAAGAAAATTTAAGCTGTAATTTTCTATTACCATCAATTACACATACATGTAAACATAGGTATTAATTTAAATTCTATTTGCAACACAATTATCATTCTATTAATAGGTACAATAATTATTTTGAAAATGGTTTAAATTTTACAATAAGTAATTATTTAATTTAAAGGACGATAGAATTACGGGAAGGATAATCCGAATAATTTAATAATTACATATAATTAATTTTAAACAATGCAGGTATCTTCAAATGATTAATTCATTATATATTATTGATACAAATGTAATTTGTACAGAAACCCCTACTCTATTTGCACCACTGCAGATGATTAAAAACATTCAAATTATTCGGATTATCCGCATAATTCGAATTATCCGAATAATCCGAATAAAAATCATTTTAATATCCTGTTTTAAATATCCGGATTATCCAGATTATATTGAAATCCGAGTATGTTTGACATCTTCACTAGTATCTACCAAATAAAAATTATGCAAAAACCTCGTAAAATTAAAACGTCTATAAATAGCTCAACAATTTCAAGTTAACGAATGTTTTAAACCGAATTTTATTAAAAAACCAATTATTTTCGTACATTTTCCCGTTTTTTTTTTTTACATACCTGTTTTTATGTTTTGCTCAAAATCGTTAAAAAAACTACAAAGAAAATCAAAAAACAACTTTCTTGGTACTAACAAGATTAAAAATTCTATTGGAGCAATATTTCAGGTAAAAATGAAATGCGTACAAATTTAAAATAATGAAATCGTCCCTAAATTGTTCAGGTTTTATTTTACGTTTTTTTTCAGTTATTCCTAATTTTAATAATAAAAATACAGAGAACACGAAAAAACTAATAACTTATTCATGAACTAGAAAATTCAACAAAATCGATCTCTAGTCATTTTTTTATTGGATCAATATTTCTGGTAGAAAACAAAAGTTACAAAAATAAAAACAATGAAATCGATAGGTAATGCGCGGCGTTGTAAATTTTCTTTTGAGTTTTTCCCATTTATTTCGAAAACCCCTTGGAAAATTAAAAAATGATCTCTCTAATGCACTAACTAAACATTATTTTATTTCAGAAAAGGTAATGTACTCTATACATCGCTATGCTTCGAATCTAAAATAGATATTTAATTTATTACTCATCAGGTTTAAACTTTAAACGATTATAACTTATAAACAATAAATCTGATATTAGTATTATGCATATAAAAATTTCTAGAAAAATATAGGCACTAAATTCAGTAAATTGGTGTTCAAAAAGGGGAGGTTCCTGTTACAAGGTAAAGTACATTCTTATTTAAGATATATGTAATATGGGTTAATAATTTAAAATGCAGCCTAAATGATTCCACAATGATTAGAAAAACAGAAATCAAATTCACTTATAATCCTCCAAGATAATTTGCTGGTTCACAATACAATAAAAAAAATTATATTTTTAAAATCATTGAGTATCGCCGAACGATTGATGTGTTAGCAATAGAACATAACTAGATTTCTATGTGACATAGTAATCAATAAAGATAATTAATCACTGGTATTATTATAAAAATTACAGTTTTTTTTACAAGTTATAACTTATAAATAAATAATTAATGAATGGTTAAATTTACTTTCTTTAATTATATTATTATTTTTGAATGACAGACAAATTACCTTCATTCCAGATTGTTTAAGTACAATTTTAGTAATATATTGTCCATTAGTTGCATTAAAAATATGAAGTGCTTCTCTGTGACCTTTATCACTAGCTAGAGCTATCAAATTAAGTCCATCTGCTGTGACAACAAGTTCTTTAAAGTCCATACCAGTCACATTACGTATTTGATAATCAAATGAATAAATAATGTTTCCATCTGGAATGGATCTTACAAATGCTGTTGCATCAATATTCTGTTGTGTTTCTGTATTAATTTCTTCTTGTTTCGAAACTGTAAGGCATTTAGTTGCTTCATCTAAAAGAAGTATTTGCCGAATACCAGGCTGTTGTTGTTTAAAAATTACTCGACATAAAATACGATTCCAGATGAGTAAATGACCAGATTCAGAGCATATTATGTATTTTCCATCAGGTGTTATTAGTGCATGAGTAACTATAGCTCCTAATAAATTGTCGGCTAGTTGTTGTATCAATCTCCCTGTGTTAATATCCCATATTCCGACACAACCCCTTGTTACAGTAGCTGCTAAACCAGAGTGTTGAGATAAACTGTAAATTTATTATAATGCTTTTTAGACTTTCATACAAATATTATTTAAATTATCAATACCTTATAGAATCAATTTGTAATTCATGTCGATCTATTACATGTACTTGTTCAAAAATATTGTTAATATTCCAAACCTTAACTGATCGATCAATAGATGAAGTTATTACTGAATTCCAATTTCCTGTAGTTAATGGTAAAAGCGATATTATGCGACCAAAATGTGCATCCAATACTTTAATTAATTTTTCAGTTTCCATATTCCACACATATAACATCTTTCTAAAAATATTAAATAACATATTATACAATAATACATATTTAAAATTGTTAGTACAGGTAATTAATAGATAATAGCATTAATCAATTAATGCTAATAGATATTATGCCATACCGAACTCCAGCCACCAAAAACCGTTTATCAGCCGATAGCATGCATGAATTTGACTGCATCATGTTTACAGTAATGTTACGAACTCCATGTGGTAAATGTAATACTTTTGTATCATCGGAAGATAAATCCCAAGTACAAAAACCATTTGAAATTGTACCCAAAAGTGAAGATGAGTCCTCAGATAATTTAATTTGAAGTACTGTGTAGTTGCCAACTGAAATTTTTATTATACCTTCTTTTAAAATAACAAATTCAATTATTTTATAAATTAATTTTTTACTAGATTTTAAATCTTTAATCATTGTCCACTCATTTTCAATGAAATCAAATTGAGATATATCATACGAATTGCTGGTTGGACAACAATACAATCTAGTTTCATTCTTATTTATAGCCATAGCACTATGAAAATAAAAATGAGGACACGAAATATTATCTTTGTTTGTTTGCATCATCATTCTAGTGTCATCCATTCTACCAGACCAAAATATAAATCGATTGTAAGATAAAGTAGTGAATTGTACAGACATTAAAGTCCATTTATCAGAATCCTTATTTGCTGTAATCCTGTAAATTAATTTCAATCACATTAATATTTAATTGATAATTTTAATTTTTAACAGAAAAATAAAGACAATATTTATTAATATTAATAAATATTATAAAATACAAAAACTAATAGAAATCAATTAAATACGAAAACATTAATATTTTATTAAGTACTTGGATTCCAAGTTGCCTCTTAAATCATATCTACATAATGAATATGATCCATGGACAAATAAATGAGTATTCAACATGTTAACGCCCGAAACTATTTCTTCATTATCAAAAGGATTTTCAATGACAATAAATTCACTTGTAAGACAATTCAGTAATACAGTCTGTGTGCCATATATTTTTAGATATATTATATACTAGCTCTTATGTGAATAACTATCTTTTTTTATTTACTTGGTTGTTGTTAGTATAAGCTGCAGCGTAACGGTTATCAGGACTCAAGCACAGAGCTTGCATAATTCCCTCTAGTCCTGGATTTACATTTCGGGTCATATCACTTGTCGATAAATCCCATGTAATAAATCTGTTTGATATAGATACAATGTATCTATAATCAGATGTTACTTGAAAATCAAATACAGCAAACTGATGACCTTCCAGAGAGTACTATGAATTAAATAAACTTACATACAATAATACATTTAATACATTTAGACAACAAAAAATATTACTTTTAATGGACCTCCAGGAGTGTGTAAACAATGATAATAAGGTATAAGAGCACAATTTTCTGGTCCAAATTGATCACATTCTGCTAATAAACTTTTTATATTTGGATTTGATCCAATTTCAGGTAATAAACGGCCAATAAGTTGAGGAGCAAGCATATCAGGAAATTCTCCAAGTATTGCCCCACCCAATCTTAAAGCATCAGCAACAAGTATCAACTCCCTAAAATTTAATACTTAACTGAGTTTATATTAAATAAATATCTTTTATTCAGGATTGATGGCATCCTAGACCATTGCCATGTCAGATTTGGCACATCCTGTTATAGGGACAAACACATTTAATTATAAAATCAAAACCTGACCTTTTCATAGATTTCATCTCATCAATGCTATTTGAAATTTTAAAATAAGAATATTTAACAAATATTGAAAACAATTAAGAAATAAAACTTGTGGTTGAAAATTAATTGTACCTTGTTGCATCTCTGTCATCAATATTTGCACAAGCATCCTCAAAGTCACTTAAAACTGCTTGTAAAGGGCATGAAGATAACTTCGCATGCAACCATCGATAATTAAATAAGACATTCTTATACAAATCTTGAAAACGGTGAGCTCGTACAAGATGATATGGTAACTCTCCAAACTATAAATATAAGTACATACCTATTTATTTGTGGGTTTAAGAGTATACATAAGATTATGAATTTTTGACTTAAGTTTTCGAGTGGTCATAATCTTGGTTTGTAAAAAAAATTTTCAGTTACTCTCAAATCAGTTCCAAATAAAAAAAAATTGTCATAATTTTTCATCTCTTTCTTCGTCTTTCAATTTTGCAAAAATTGTTTATTAAATAACTAACATATCTATTTTTTTTTCTGTTTTCTAAAATAACATTCACTGTAATGATTATAATAATGATAATCATTTTTTTTCTATTGAGCAATCTACAGAAGTGGTCATAAGTCGCGCAACGCCTACCATCTTGTATGGAACGCGTGTTACGGCGCAGTTTTTCCCTCCATGTCGTTTCCGTTACGTCATATTGCAACTTTAGTCTCGTTATCTTGTTTACGTACAACAACAGCAAGGATTATAAAAAAAAAAACATATTTAACATAAAACACAACAGTTTCATAAAAACCGTGTTTCAAATTTGTTGCGCGACTTTTGGCCACCTCTGTATGTAGTTGATATTTTGGTGAGAAACTGAATAAAAAATTATGTAGGACCCTACACTAAGAAATCCACGACAATAGTCATAAAAATTAATTGAAGTTTTAAAGTTTTTGTAAAATAGGGAAAGAGGAGAAATTATTAACGATTTTAACAATATTTAAATTCTTAGCGAGTTTTCGGTTATTGGTTTGTACCGGTTTTCTTTTTCTGTTTAAACAACTTTTCTACCTGAAATATTGCTCTAGTTAAAAAATAACATAAGTACTTTTTTGTAGAGTTTTGGGTCTAATTGATCATAATTTAATTTTCTGAGCAGTAATCATAATAATTGAGAAAAACCGAAAAAAAAAAGAAGATATCTATAGGAAAAAATGATAAATTTATAGCATTCAAAATTTCATTTTTTTTCGATTTTTTTTTCTACCAGAAATATTACATCAAAATTCAAGTTAAGCATCTTTTCTAAAACAAAATTTTGTCATTTTATTAATAATTGTAGGCAAGACGGTAATGTTCACGGCATTACCATTTTCATTTTTCATTAGATTTGTTTTTTTTTTTGTAAATTGGTTTTAAATAATTGTAGAGACTAGAGACCTCAAATTTGCATTGAATACTTATATTAGCTTTTTCTAAACGTAGTAAAATTGTAAAAACTTGATTTTTGAGCTTTTTATAGGAACATGATATTTTCGCGTTATTATGGAAATCAAATTATTTTGTCCTAGGAAAAATATTTAAAAATTTAACATTAGTTGAATTTGTTAAATTTTCATCATAAGTTGTAAGTTTTAAAATTATAACATTTAAAACAAAATTCCCACTTAAAAGAGTCAGCTAGTATCAGGTTTTTTTTTCATTATTTGTGACTTATCTAGGTGCTACCTAAAAATTTTTTTTCCTAAACCAAGGTAAGGAACACTGTAATAAGTATAGCCGATGTAGGTACTAACTTTTCTTAAATTATATCTTGTAACTGTTCCTTCTTTTGAGTAAAATACCAAAGGTTGCACTGGTACTTTCCTATCTGCTGAACCTTCTTTGTTTTGTAAATTAAACCTGTGTCTTTGAATTTCAGTATACTTAAATGGTTTCGGATTACCCCCACCCCAAATTCCTAAATAATAATCAGCTATAGAAGAATGGAAATATGTCACCATATTCATATTTTTAAAGTATCTTTCTCGTGCTGCGTCTCTAAACTGCCTGTAAAAATTGATTGAAAATACATTTTTTGTATCTGTTGACAATATTAATTACTTATATTAGTTGTATTAAGTTAAACATTATTGTGGTGCCTATTTAAAGATTAACAGAAAGTATTGTATGATATACAATATACAGTACCTATAAGTACCTACCTGTGATACCAATTCAGTACACTAACACCATCAGCCTCTCTTTCCGATAAATAATTTGGTAAATCATTTCTAATTCTAGTCCACAGTAAAGGAGGGATTCTTCTTACTGGTGGTAAATGATATTGATACACGTCATCTAGCACTTTATCGTCTAATGATATTAGATCTTCTAATTCTGATTCAGATAAACCACTCTTTGAAGCTGTTATATAAGCCAAAGCATGAAAGACTAGTAGTCGACCGTGTTGTTTTTCAATTCTTTCAAAAAGCATCATGATTGAATCCATTACATTTGATGCCAAATGGGTTTCTTGTGGTTTTGTATAACTGCGCCAACGACATATCTCTGCGAATACTAGCTTTACAAAAATTGGCAAAGAACATTGATTGATAGCGTTAGATACGAGCCTCCATTGACAATTAGTCAAATCCCGGTGTGCTGTTTCCATCCATTTCCTAAATAAAATAATAAATTAGAAATACATTTAAAAAGTCCCTACCTATACCATAAAATATAAGATTTGTAGGTACCGAATTACTTCTTCAGCTAGTTCTTCTCCGAGCGCAGTAACTTCAATAAATTGTTCCTCGTCATCGATCATTCTACGCAATACATGATAATCTCGAGAGACATCTGAGTTACCTTCTTCTTTCGCTACAGATACTAATAACTAAAACGTAAAATAATATTTATTAATAAATAAAAAATTTAAAAAGTAAAAAGATTGGAAACAATGGGGGATTGACCAGCTCTATCAGAAAAATTCCCCGAGTTCCCTAAAATTTATGTTCCTATTGCCAAAATACATCATTTGTCCGCTATATGCTTTATGTGTTGAATTAGAAACAAAACATGAAACATTCAAGTAATTTGTATACATATATATATAAAAGTTATTCTAAAAATTGTACAAATATATTAATGTAAATACTATTTGGTTTATTTATGTATATAAATGTTTATATTTATGTATAGGCTATAGCTCTGTAAGCACAAAATAAATAGATCACCGGCACTTCACCGCTATATTTTCCCCACGAGACTTATTTTCCGTTTAAAACCTAACGCTGCTGTTTTTCAACGTACAGTATTTATAGGGGAATGGTGTTAACGCCAACAAATTTGACTGGAAACCTCACACAAGTTTGATACTATAAAATCTCTACCGAGGAAACTTGCTTGGAATTCGTCCAATCATCATGAAACTTTGGAAACGGTCTCTAGATCATCTGTAGACTATTCTCACAAAATGTATAGTATCAATCGAAAGGAATCAGAAAAAAAGATTTTGCTCCAAAGTGGTCAGTAGATCAATAAGTGGACACTTAAATATACAGTGCCTCTAATAGATCAATAAATAATATTGAAAATCAAACTGGCATATGTTGAAAAACAATCAAGTTACGACGTTTAAATGCATTATGGGATTCATTCGTTCCTAGAATTTCCAAAATTCATTTAAGGTACATTTTTTGAAAATAATGTTAAGAGTATGATGGAGAGTAAAAGAGTTTTCAAAGTTCTAAACGAAAAATATGTCTCGTGGTAAAATAAACGGCGATGAAATAAACCGCGGTGAAGTGCATAACTGGACCCCTATAATAGGTATCAGTATATTGTATATAATATAAAATAACACGATGACAATCAAATAAGGCTTGGATCATATTATGCGTTTTGTCATTTAAATGGATATCTGGAAACGATTCAAAATAAAATAGATTTCAAAACAAAAAAAATTCATTATCACGATTAAAAAATACTAAAATATGATTGGCTCTTTGTTGTTAAAATTGAAATTATATTTTTGATATTTAAATTAAATGTTTACTGTAAATTAAGTTTATTATAATTAATAAATTATTTTATATACTAAAATCAACTTTTCTTTTAATAGAAGACTGACAAATAAATTATAAGTTACAGTATTAAAATTAAAATAAGTTTATTGTTTATGTAAAGGCCTTTTATTTTATACTATTAGGTATACACACTTTACAGTTATTGGGCAGTCTTGTCGGTAACCACGATACATTGTTGGTATCTTGAGTGCCGGTCAACTGATCCACCGAATCCAGAAACAATACCAAAGGCTGATCTCGAGTTGCGTACGTTAATAAATGTTTAAAATGAGCCGTTAATGGGACCAAATCATCAGGTATGTCATCAAATGGTAACATATAATTATATGATATTTGTTGACATATCGATATTAATGCAGGTGTTAATGTACTACTGTCTGGAGTCGTACCTAAAAATCTTATTACGCAAAGGGGTTTGGTGGCTGTTTTATTAAACCATGACAAATAACTTAAACCTGCAGCTTTTGCTAAAAGTGATGTTTTACCACAGCCACCTTCGCCGTAAAGTATCATTGGTTTTTCACAGTTACTTTTCATATACTGTTCAATATGTATCAAACTATCTTCACGGCCATAAAAAACCTTAAAACAAAATAAAAATCAGGTATATTTTTAAAAGTTCTTATTTCCCTGGTATTGCTAAATTACAGACTTTAACAGAATTATGACAAGCGTGTAAATGCTGCAATATTTCAGTCACAATTTGCCCTTGAGGACTTGAATCTTCTTTTCGCATTGCTCTATCGACTAACTTGGTAATATTCTTGTAAAAATGCATTATAAAATTTTGTAAATATTCCTGATGTGTTTCGTTATCTAACCCTTCACGACCAATCCATTCCACAGTGTACCTAACAGAAAAAAAATAGAAAAATAAAATTATATAGATATTCTTATATATTACCTATCTACATATTATAATAAATTATTTATTTATTAATTTATACGGACTCATGGCCCTTTGAACATGATTCATTTATATAAATTACAGATGACATATTATAATATTGATTATTGATTATTGAAAAGTTCAATATTAAGTGTAAAAAAAGGGTCCAATTATTAATAGTTAAAAAACGTCTAATAGGCTCATTTTGCATGTAATTTGTGGTGTTAATGGGAGTGTAAAAAGAGATTTTGGAATGGGTGGCGAACTAGAAAACTAATTATTAAAAGGAACTCTGAAAAAACTATATTATCAGACAATGTTTTTTTTAAAAATGTTAAATTCAATGCGTGATGTCTACAATCCACCAAAAGGTATAATTTCTAAAGTTTACAACCATAGGGGCATAGTCATGTTGTAAATGTTGAATATGAATTGAAGAACCAAGATAGGTACCTTAAAAACCTACCTTGGATACGTTCTAATTGGACACAACTACCTGATGTGTATAAATCCAAAATCACTAGTCCATACTTAATGACTGAACAAACCATATTGAACCTTGAAGTGTCTTTACCGACACTTGATGCTAAATTCTTTGGATATTCTATTTATAAAACTCAACGCATACAATATTGCAAAGAATATATGGATTGAATTTGTGCACTAGAATTAAGAGTTTTAGTAAGCTTGAAGCTAAGATCATTAACAAAGTAACTAACACGAGGTAATTTCGAGCAAGACATATTGTAAGACCATGTGATACGAGTGATATATTTCGTGTATGTAATGACCTTACACTTTGAAATTTTAAGCGAAAGTCCAACTATATTAGACAATTCAATAAATATATCAAACTCTTTCTGAGGTTACACATGGCCAAAAAGCATATCTATTTTTAAACATAGTCTCATGTAGTTGGCAAAGCATAAAAACTTGCAATATTTAAAAGCTCGGCTTAAATTATTTACAAATAAAGGTAATTAATAATGGTGATAGATGGCCACTCTGAGGTATCCTTGATAGGACGAAAAATTTAGGAAGCCTAACCCCAAACACTTTGACAAACTGATATCGGCTGTTTATATAAGCCAAGCTCTAAGCCAAGAGAAAAACTGTTCGTCGAATTCACTAGCCTCTATTAAATTGATTAGTATTAGATGATTAGCTGAATCGAGTACTTTTGCGAAGTCTAAGTGTATGACATCAACCTGCAAACGCTGTTCAAAAAATTAGAAAACATAATTATTACTAAACACCAAGTTGCAAATGACGGTAGAACTATCTTTTATAAAGCCATGCTGCTCATCCATTAGTATATTATTAACCGGTCTATAATTCCATCGAGAATTTGTTAACGATTCAAACATTTTCAGGAGAGGGGAAAATAGTACGGTTGAATTGATGTAGGTCTGTAGTTGGAGATAATACCTACATTTTTTGACTTGGGGATTGGTGTTCTTGAACTTAGTTTTAACTTTAGTTTAATAATATACAATTCAAATAATTAAATTTATTATTACACTGTTCTTTAATTTGGCGTTATACTTAGGTACCTAATAAATATTGTATAAGTAAATTAAATGGGAATAGTCAATAGATAGAGATTAGAAGAAAATGATATACTAAATAAAAATATGCTATAATAGCTAAAAGATGCAATTTTTAGGATAACATTATCTCGGTACCTACCTATTGACATAATTATTATAATTTAAAAGATTACTTTTGATAATTAGTTGTTTCTATTTTTTGTACCAGACGTTCATCTCTCAAGTTTCCCAGTAACCGAGACGCTTCTGTATCAATACTTCTGTTGACAATGTCCAAAAAGTTAGAAGCTTTTTTCAAATTTTGGAGATTTATGTTATTTATGTAGCGTACATATGCCAGACAGTGGTTTTTTGTGTTTTTTACTTTTAATATACCATTTATGACCTCTCTCTCTGTCACTACATGGGGAAAGTTAACATAAAATCAATAGGTATAATTATTATATTAATAGGTATCTACTATTATTATAAATAAGTTTTAAATTTACTTCTTTTTACCTGACATGTAATAGTTGTGCATAGTATCTTTATCAATTTTACCACTATTAAATAAACTAATCGAAGCTTTTCTAAACAATTTTTGCATCTTGGCCAAAGTATCCCACCAAATAGCTTGATCTTGTTGTTGGAGTTTTGGTATTCGCTAGAAATTAAGCCATAATATTTAGTTGTATATAATATATAGTTTTTATATATTAAAAAAAATTATTGTACTTTATTATTGAAATTGATAAGTATCGAAGAAATTGGTTGAAGAACAGAAATCGGAGGTACAGCATTGCTGTCTTTTCTATACCATGTATCCAATAGCGTTACATCTGAACCAACATTAACCAATTCTTCCCTTAATAATTCCAATTCTGATGAAATAATGTACGTAGGTATCGGACGATACCCATATTTTTGTCCAAGAAATACCTATAGGTGTACGTGGAATGCAAAATAATTAAGGATAATAATATACATATATAGGTACCTATGTAGGTGCGTATACAAAACAAACTATGGATGGTTAGTTTGGAGGTTGGAGAGATGGTTAGATTTTAAATTTAAACCACTAATATTCCGTTAATTTATATTTAACAATTTTTCTGAAGTGATATTAAAGTATAATAACTAACCAGCACCTATGTTAATTTTAATTTTTATTTGGGGATATTGATATAGTCTTTATTTATACCACAAAATTTGGTCCCATCGATAAACGCTGACAGTTTTCTATTTCTTTCATACAAAGTTCAGTTGTCATATGATCATCTGTAGCTTCATCACGAACACCCCATCTCATGTCAACCACCTAAATTTACACAAATTATAAAATATTAATAGCTTACCAGCCGTACCTGGTACGAAAGTAACACCAAGGTCAAATAAACATACATATATATGTTATATTGATTTAATATTCTAATATTGTTGGTAAATACTTGTAAAGTTGTAAACACGAATGTTATTTATATAAAAATAATATAAACCTAATAAAATAATACAATAACAATAAATTCAATAAGTATATAGGTAGTAAGTAGGACATTGGCGATATTGCATGTATGCTGAATATTGCTCATCCCTTACTTATGTTGAAATAATGGATTTAAACATATTCTGTTTTGGGAAATATATATACTAGATACTTACATACGTACCTATTTAATAAACTATATTATACTATATAATATAGTATATATTATGATCATAAAACCTATAATTTTTATTTCAATAGGCACTTATTATTTTATATACATTTATCATATTTTGCAATATCGGTGTATTATATTGTTCGACATATTATCTAAAATGTATTTTTGTATCGAAGTCACAAATTCTATGATGAATTATTAAGGAAATAAAAGTTTTTCTAACAATTTTGTATTTTAAATAGGTACCTACCATAGATCTCATATATAAGTACATCGTATATGTCCATAGTACCTACCACTAACTACCTATATACATATATACACGAGTCTAGGCCAGGTAAAAATGGCCAGAGGAAAATATAGCGAAATATAAGAGGCCAAAAACAAAAATGATCAAAAATTGGACATTGTGTGAAATTATTCTTTTAATTATTGCACATTGTGCTAATTTATGATGATAATAATAAGTAAAAATAATCGCAGGTGATAATGGTCGAGGAAAAAATGTGGAGTTTTTATCCAGTACGACTTAGTTTTTTAAAATGTATTTGTTTAGAATTTCAAAAGGCTTTTTATAAAAAATTAAGATGACTAACAATTTTGTTGATTTCTAGGTACTTTTCTTTAGTTTACTATAGATACTATAGATGTATAGGTTACTGTTCTTAAAAACACGAGCTCTGCTAAAATACATTTTTTGATTACAAAGATTTATTATTGCTAACACTGTTTCAATACTTATTTACAAACTAAATTATCCTATGCTTTCGTGGTAAAGCCGCTTTTCTGGCAGAGCCCAGCAAAATAAGTAATGCTTAGGTACAGCCTTAAAAATAAATTGGTCCAGTACGACCTAAATTTAAAAAAAAATACATTTTACGATAACGGCTAGTTATTCGTTTAACAGTTGGGTAGTTTATTACCCATTTGTAATTTACATGCAATCTATTTTTTTATGTGTATAAGGAAGTCTATTTCTATTTTTTATTTAATGTTTAAAATTTTACTTGATTAAATATTGATTATTATTATATTTAGTAATACTTAAAATAATAATTGATACTGTGCAGCAAGGAATATTGGTTAGAATATGATGGATATTTTCATATTATGCTGTATAGCTCTTCCCTCAAATATATCTTCTGGCAGAGAAATCATGTTGTATTAATGAAAAACTAAACGAGCTAAAAGCTCTCGGCGGTCTGACTATTTTAAAGTTTAAACACAATATCGACTACACAATTTTACCATCATAAAACTATTTTGGGCATGCAATGAATTTTGACCACGGTTTAAGTACCACTTTAATGCATCATTTCGACTAAACACAAATTAACAATTGGTTTATATTATACATTACAATGGCTTTACCACCCTCCCTCCCTATCTATAAATTAGGTTTAGCTAATCATTTTACCTGAAATTCAAGTCCATGTTTTTCTCGACAAAAATCCTTCAGTTTAGGATAACATTGTGCCATTAATGTATTCCTTTCCATCGTTGTATCTGAAAGTATATGTTTGTTTTTTGTTTTAACGGCTATTATAATAGTTTATAAATAATTTATTATATAGTGTAAATATAATCGACATGCCTGTAAATGTAGAACTGGTGAAAATTCTGACAATTTTGGAGCTAACGGGAGGCAAGTTTTCAAGGGATCCGGAAAAAATTAAGTCTACTGTCCTATCGTCCATATTGTCAAATTAATCAAGCTCGTTTTATAGTTTTTTATATTATTAATATATTTTAGACGAGATAGATTAGTTGTACCCAATTGTATAATTTTATAGACATGTAATTCACAAAATTAAAAAATGCTCAACGCGTGTGTATTATTTACATAATGTTTGAACTTTGAAAACAAGACTAAGACTGCGTGATTCGTTTTTAACCAATTTGTATAAACTATACATTTTCATATATACCTTTATGTATATATTATATTATTATTGTAGATAGGTATATATACAAATGCAATAGCAACCGTTAACCTATTTGTTTGTTTATACAGAGTGGTTCAATTATTACTTACCGTTTATTATTGATCTATAATTTTATTTATGACTGTGGTTCAAATATTAGTTATTATTTTAAAATATACATAATATATCCGTTTGTCATAATATGAATTAATACTAAACTACTTACTCTGTATAATTATATACATATTCGATTCGAATGGAAAGCGTATGAATATTAATCTTAAACTTCTGATTAAAATTAGGTAAGACGACATCTCATCAACGATATTTAGTGATTTTTTTTATATAAACATATTACCGTAAAACATATTATATTTTTTAAAGATTTTAAATGTGATAAACATGTCAAAAACAAATGTATAAACGATCCTATTCGCGTTTTTCAAAATTAATACCTAATAATCATAATAATAAGTAGCTTTAGGTACATATACTTACAAAGATATTTTAAAAATAAATGTGTATTCTTATTTTTGTATTCTGCATTATATCAACTTAAATGGCTATACAGTATACATATTTCTTCTTTTCTTTCGTTTTTATTCTAACTATTTGGGATTAACCACTATGATACTAAACTTCCACTTGACCCGATCCCCCACATCATCCTCGCAAACACCACCCATTACCTTATCATGCACTTATGTGTATCTCGTATTTAGTGATCATCAGGAATCGAGACTTCTAGCACTAAAAACCATAAAAAATGCACTATAATATGCTCAATAAAAAAATTAAATATGCTCTAAAAAAATAAATCATTGCTTACGAAAAAACGATTCTGAGCGATGTTTAGTTGATAGTGATGCTTTGTCCACAATACATATATATGTAATATTATACTAAAATAATTAAATAGGCTTTGAATATTTTCTTTAATAATATTTGTTTAATGTTGTATCAATTTTCCCAGTTTTCCTACGTTTTCCCGTTTTATTCCGGTTTTCATATTTGCTAGGAAAACTCATGAGAAAATTGAAAAATGACCTTCCTTGAAGTACTTCTCTACGCCAATTTCCTTTCAGAAAAGGTGCTACACGTAGAAATAAAAAAAAAAAAAAATTAAAAAAAAACATCTTTGTAATACTATAAGCTTCTTCGCTTCACTCAGAATCTAAAATATATAATATATATATATTAATACACAATTAGAGATATTAAATACTTAAAATAAAATTTACATTATTTCAGTTTTTGAACTATTATATATGTACAATGAAACAAAGAAAAATAATTTTAATGATAAATTATTTCTATGTGAAGCAACCAATTGTATAATTTTTTCTATGTATTCCTTCCTTTAATTTTTTATTTTCAATCTCGTTTTAAATGTTGACTGTGATATACTTGATGATGAATTTTTAATAGGAAACATTTCGTATAATACACTTATCATAATTCTCCAGACAACGCATTAATTCATTTATTTATTTACTATATTTGTTTACGAGTATTAATTATTTTAATAACTTTGTTTTACTTTATTATTTTTATTATTTATACTTATATTTTTTGATGTTAAATAAATTGTAAACCATTAAACACCAAAGTCTTGCTCCTCGGCATTTTTATTCTGAAATATCATGTTTGTATTGAAAATATTTGACTTTCAATACAACTACAAACTACATAAATTAAGTAACGCAAACAAGATAGCTGGGGGGACAATTTTTAGCCTGAGCTCGACTGCTCACGTGTTCTTTTTTAGGTGAATTATATATATATTATATTTAATATTTATTATTAACAATTCTTTGTTATTTTTAAAAATAATATATTTTTTTGAATAAATTGCATTGTAGATATTATTTTTTTGGAAGTTACGATAAAATGTTTAAATTATTAGAGCTTTGGGTATTTCAACAATACAATGAGGTGGCTATTGGCATGACCTGTAAATATTTTGGATAGCCTGGCCAACCCTTAGTTACGTGCCTCAATATTTTATTAGATTTAAAATTTAAGTCATACAGTGGATACAATAATAATGTCATGATAAAATAAAATATTGTCATTGGCGAAAATAATAAATACCCTCGTTTCGTGGTATCAAAAAATACACATACCTATTTGTTATCACTGAACGTATGGTTCACAATAAATTATATACCTTAAGGTATATTATAGGTACCAATGGTATAAACTTCAAAGATTTTAAAAATCAATATAACATTATTACAATTCTAATCACAATTAGAAATAATGAGATGTATCAAAACAAGTCAACAAATAAAGTTGCATTTAAAATATACGTATAGTTTGATTATTTTATTTGAATTTCATCACTAAATTCAATTATGAATACCTATTCTTAAAGGCGTGTTTTAGAAATCCAAAATCAATGATTTTTGAAGATAATCAAAATGTCATCAAACCAAGGGTAAGATTTTAAATTAGTACTCATTATATTTAAAATAATAATTTATGCTATTCATATTTTTAATACCTATCTACATTTTGTTAAAAAACAAATTTGTATTAACTTTTATATGCTTATATTTGTCTATTATTTAATTTTATGCCTATATAAAATGTATACTTTTGTTTTATATTCTATTATATCTCTTTAATAATAATCTATTACAGAAGTATTTTACAGAGTAGATATCTAGGCATTTTACTTAATTGTTCCAGAACTAAACTAAAAAAAATACTTCTTAATCAATGCTGTCTGATTATGAATATTATAGATACAACTAGACAAAAACTAAGAAATTTTGTTTTTATTATTAAAAACTTTGTTTAAATTTAATACCATGATCGACATAAAACTATTAAAGATTTATAATTCTTAAAACAAATATTTTATTTTATTAATCGTACTTATAGGCTAAAGGTTTATATTTGATAAGTATAAGAATAAAAAAAGAATTTGGAAATCTAAAAATTCAGTGTAGATCCTATGTTTGATGAGTTAAACTTAAATACTCTTATATAGGATTAACCTATATTTTACCATATAAATATGTATGTGTTGCTTTTATGTTTTAAAGATACAAAAAGAAAAAAATAAATACATAATAATTAACTCAGGTTATATTGGTGCACTATCCATCAGTAAATTAGGTGATCTATTCATATTTTGTTTAAAAATACAATCATCATTTAAAAAAAAAAAAAAAAAAAAAATAAAGTTTTTCTTATAAACCATTTAATAGTTATAATTAACCATCTTTTTCTGGTGTATAGTGTAAAATAATTTGTAAAATTCTTTTGTTCTTAGAATAGTAGAGCAGCTCGACCTAAAGTTGTATATCAATGGACGGTACAAGATGTCCAAAAATGGTTTCGGCGGCATTGCTACGATTATTATGTTTTATATGGTGAAAAATTCTTGCAGGTAGTTAAACACAATTTTTTAAATCTAATTTAATTTATTAATGTGAAATTGTATATGTTCTTAATTTTTATATTATTAAAAATAGTCATATTAATAATAACAAAAATTCGCATATAAATAAATAATAATATCCACATAATTTTGTAACATACAATTACAATGATATTTAAAATAATGTTAGGTTTATTTAATATTTATGATAAATTATTAAATTATAATTTATTTTTAGCATGAGATAATTGGACGAGCTTTAATAAGAATTAATGAAAATCAATTGTATCGTATGGGCATTACAAATCGTGACCACAGTCAAGAAATTTGTCGTGAAATACTAAAACTACGTCTTAAAACATACATTTTAGAGTTCAGAGATCTGGAGCGCAATAATTTTTATGATTGAAAATGTGGTAATTAATTTTATTCGATATCTAATAATTGCATCATATTTAATATATCTTCAGTTTCTCTTGAAACTGAACCATCTATATCTGTTTGTAAATTTTGTAAAGACAAATTACTTGCATTTCTACTAAAATTTAAAATATTGTCTTCTCGTAGCTTTTCTTCTTGTACTTTCCTAAAACAAATCATTTATTAAGTTTTTAATTGTACTATTTTCGTAACTAAAATAAATGTACACTTAATTAAAGTCTAGTTGTGTTTTTGTGTAGTTTATTTTCTAAGAAAAAAAAAAAAATTGAATATCAATTTCCTTGTTCATATTGGTTTATTATTTAGTTTACAAATAGGTAGTATATAATTATAATAAAGATAATATTATCTATACTCTATTCAGAACACGAGCATACAGGCATGTATAAGTTCATATATGCATGATTAAACATTCGCACGCTGCCTGACTGGTTGAATCCCCACAACTACATGTGTGAACTATGACATATTTTCAACCACCTCCGGCTGAATAGAGTATAATGATTTAGTGTATTGCATGGATTACCCCCCCCCCTGGGAATTTTTTAGTAGTATTTAACCATGGTTATAGCTTTCTTTTTTACGGTATTGGCAATACACCCGCCACCTGGAACTATCTTGAATCAATACTTCAGGTAACGGCTATAAGCTTATAGGTAATAAATTACAAACATACGTATACGTACCTGGTAAGTATTATAATATTTTAACAGCCCCCTACACTATTAATTAAGCTCCAGCTACGCCACTGCCTGGTTTGTCATATTAAATCAAAAATCTATTACAATCTATTTTAATTGTTTCCATCTAATATTGCTTTTTAAAAATTTCAAATTATAAATTGATATATTTTATTAATAAAATTTATTTTTTATTTACTTACAACTAATTGAAATATGTCATGACAAAATTGTAAAAATAAATAATTAAATGTCATCAGTGATTCACCTTTTTTTTTGTGTACTGATTAAATTAAATACAATTATAAAAAAAACTATGTATATAATTTGATTAATGTCTAATATTTTTGTTGCATCACTAATTATTTATCAGAATAAATATTTATTGTATTTATTATTACTTGTCAATTGCATTATTTAACGAGGTTTCAAATATTTCAAGATCTAAATTATCAGTTTCTTCATTTTGACTACCTCTCCCCATTAACTGAGTTAAAAAAAGATCCATTTCTTGTTTGTATCCATCACGACCAGTTTGACCATAAAATAGCGGATCAAATGTTTCAGTTGGTCCATTAACATTAAATCTATAATTTAAAAAATTATAGGTAAAATGTATGTTTTTTTATTTTTTCTAGTTGTTTACACTGAACGGCCAAGTGTAGTGATTCGAGGACTATTAGGTTTTATTGAACCTACTTCAGTTTCTACTTTGTAAAATGATATTGGATGAAATGAACTGATGTCAATCAGAATACCATGTTTATCAAATACTCTTATAACACCTGGAGCTTCGCATCCTGTAATAAATTGTAAATATAATACTCTAAAGAATTGAATAATAATCATTATTATACTTAGTAGTATTATTTGATATAATTTTATTACCAATAAACTATTACAAATATAATAATGTTTTTTTTTTTTTTTGTCAAACTTTATAAATTCAAATTAATTTTTCTGACTACCCTTTGTAAAGCATGAAATATTGAGAACAATATATTTCTAACTAGAATTCAACAAACATTATTTTTTGGTTAATACATTACTTGCTAATATCAAAACACTTTTGTTTGTTATGAAATAATATATATTTTATATTAATGTTTGAGATAACAATTTTATTCGTTTTTATAATTTAAACCTTAACTAATTTTGTTTTATACAATTGTTCTTTTGAGAAACTATTACATTACTATAGGTTTGTAGATTTGGTTTTAATGATTGAGGTGATCAGATATCTTAATTTCTTATCAAGCATAATCATTGTTATAATAGTATTTATATTTATTTATTTTATTGTATATTATCTATGTAATTATTTTATGAAAACTAAACAATTCTTTTTTTCTTTGCAGTTGTAAAAATAAATTTATATTTATTTGTAGTTATTTTTATTTTAATCTATGTTTTATTGAACGATTCAGAAATGTAATCAAAAATATATTTAATTTTATTGATTGTAGTTTACACTTAAATGTTACTTTTTCTTTAAGCTAAAATATTTTTATTTTTGTAACAATACATTTAATATTTTTAAATATCAATACTCCTTAAACCTTATTTTTGAGTAAGTAATGCACACCAAATTTTAAGTATAAAATTGATGCTACTATTTGAGTTAATCGTCCCAAATTTTTTAATATTTACATTAAATGCTTCGAAACATTATTAGTTATTAAATGGTAAAGCACACTTAATACCTATTTTTAATGGGCGATTTTCTATGTACAACTGCAATAATAAATAATGCATACTTATTTATTTTAATACTAAACAATTATTCATTCTAAATAATATGTATATGATCTCATACATAAATGAGTAATAGAACTTACCATATGGAATTGCCCATTTTTCAATTGAAACAAATGACCCGTTGTATCGCTGTAAACCTTCTTTAATAAATATTGTTACTTTAACACGTATATCTTGCAAATAATTTAACATTGCATATCGTAATCTAATTATTTCACCATTTGTCATTTTTTCAAAAGTCTAAATTACTCAGATATTACTTATTACAAAATAGTTATTAGTTATTTAATAAATTACTTGATAAAAATTGTGTTGAACAAGATCTATGCTTTGTTTCAGTTGATTTGTACATGCTAATTCACGGATAGAATCTAAATGGTTCAATGTTAATAACAATACTTGCCTTGGACCATTAGTTGAGAACATTTGCATTTTAACAGAAGTTTCTATCAAACCTATTAATTTATCCATGCTAGATTCGTTTAGTCGCATAATTGAAGAATGTACTGCTCGACATATATTTTTATTTAAAATGTCTCTGTTGATAATAGATGTCGGAGAAAATATAAATGAACAATTAAATGATGCAGAAATTATATCATTTAGAACTGCAACATAAATCAAAAAGATTATTAAATTAAATAATAATTTTGTAAGTATTAACCATATTATCTATACTTTATTATAATTTATGTTAATTATAATTCACATAAAAATGTGAATTGTGTGTCAAAAAAATTATAAATTTAGTTTAAATGGAAATTAGTAATTATAACAAATTAAAAAGATTTTTATAAATTTATGCAAATAATAACAAATATAATATTAAGTAGATAGGTACCTAATTTAGATTTGTCAAATGGGATCTTTTGAGTTTTTAATCTTTCTGCCACAATATAAATCATCTCGCACATTAAATTTATATATAATATTGAATATGTTTGTAAAGCCATAATTTAAAATATAATCAAGTATACAATACCTAGTACCTACTTTATCAAACAACTAACATAAATTTTAATTCAATAAAAAAAAAAGTTGTTATGGTCTCAAGATACCATGGAAACCATAGTAGTAATAATACACGAAATCGCATGAAAATGAATGAAAAAATTATAACTATAAACTTTATACAATAAGGAATAAATTCATAACCTTGACCTTAACACTTCATATCATATATTGCTAAATATATATAGTGAAATAAATATTTGTTCATATATGTCCACGTATCTAATTTTAAGACACTAAAAAAATATTAAACACAAACAATATCTTAGATACTCAGCAGTAAAAAGATAATTCAATGACCAAGTAGGTAATAATAATCAATATTGAAAATATACTTAATGTTTATAAAAACTAATACTGATTTTAACGTTTTAAGTATTAATAATTAAATGTTTACTTACATAATTTGTATAAGTACCTATGAACCAGTGTATAATTTATACTATGCAACATTAATTTTTAAACCGTTAACTATTTATAATAGCACATAACATTTTAAAATTAATTTAATTAGTTATTTATGCAATTTATTATAATCATTTTTCAAGTGTAGACTTCATAGTATTTTCAAAAATTGGTTACATAACTATGATCAAGGCTGTATCTAAGGGAAGTTTAGGGATTCACCTCCCCCACCCAAAAAAAAAAAAAATTTATCTAAAGTATTGTTAATTATTGTTAAAAAAAATGCTAATTATTTTAGTGACAAAAATAATAAACAATTTAATTTAAAACCTTTTCCAAAAATTTGATCCAGCTATGGCCTTGACTGGTTATTACGGTATCTACACTAACAAATATGGTACTCACAAATATCGATAATGCAGTAGTTAAATATGAATGAATTATTTAAATGCAATTTTAATCTGATAATAATAAATATAGGTAGCTTAATTTAGGAAGATAACTTTGTAAAATAATATTCAAATAACTGATTATAAGTAATATTACAAGTCATTAAAAACATGACAACAGTTTTCCAATTTAATCACTTTAAAGTTTAAATCCTAAGTGCATTGTGAAATAATTTATATATTTTTAATTTTGTAACAGAACAAACGTAATAGATTATTATTTTGTATTTATTTATTACATATTAAGCAATAATAATAATAATAACAAAAGTTAAAATAATAATTGTTAACAGTTGAACGCACAAGCCACAATAATGCAGTGTCAGAGCCAGAGTCCGAGTGATCCAGTAAATTCTTACTTACGTATTACGAAGTGCCAGTACTTTACTGCTTTAACAATAATTTGAATAATAAATTATACGTGTAACATCTGGATATAGAAAAACCGTGGACGTCATAACATTCGTATTTTACCGCGACAATTTTTTTATCGTCAGCCATTTTGCAACAGTTGTTGGTAAATCACCTGAGGCGGTGTTGTCGCACTTTATTGATAAGAAAATAAATTGTTAAATTTTTTAAAAAAAAAATTTTCAAATAATTCGAAGAGACATTTTGGGGGGACATTTGGGAAAAGAGTATTCGTTGGTAATGTAAAGTTTGCGTATAGATTTTTGTCGGTTGGTTTTATACGGAATTCCATTGAAATGGCGGTTAGTTCCGGCAACGTGGCTACCACTAGATTTCTCTCATATGTCCCCTACCCGCCGCTTCCCACCCATCGGGTTCACCTCAACAAGCGGACCGTCTCCCGCACTAACACTGATCGGTAGCCTAACGTTTGTTTACACTTTGCGTTGCAATTCTGTCTATCTTATTTTATGAAAAGTCTGTTTTGTTCGTATGCTTTTTTTGTTTGTTATCGTTCGCCACATCCGTTGTATCGCGGTTTTCAGATTATACAGCCTTTGCCCGTCGAACATTTTGCGTTTGTAAGTAATTATCGCCATAAAAGCTTATAAGCCTAATAATTTCATGTTAACATACATGCACGGATTTAGTTTGTACGTGATGTTAATTAAACGGACTAATGTGACGAGAAATGAAACGGCATTCGGATGAACTCATGGCGTCCGCGGACACGGTTGGAGCATACTCCACCAATACCAATCGTTCACCACCTAGGTCTAGGCCTAACTTGGTAACGATATCTAATGTTCAAACAAATTTTGTTACACAAGGTATAAATAATTCGAATATACAATTCAATACCGTACAGCCGTTCAGTACACCAACAATGCCAGTCCTAGCTTTAAACGATAAAATACCAGGCTCACTACCTGGTGGTTCTGTAATGCCAGCTCTTCATACAATACAAACACAGCATTCTATTCAACAGATTAGACAGAAAGTTATACCATCTTCAACAATAATTCAACATCAGCAACAACAAACCCAATTTCAGAGGCTCAAGGTCGAAGATGCTTTATCCTATTTGGATCAGGTGAAATTTAAATTTAGTAACCACCCTCAAGTGTATAATGACTTCTTAGACATAATGAAAGAATTCAAATCACAAAGTATAGATACTCCTGGAGTGATTACACGAGTCTCAAACCTATTTAAAGGTCATCCAGAACTTATAGTAGGTTTTAATACGTTCCTACCCCCTGGTTATAAAATAGAAATTAAAAATAATGAACTTGGATTTCATGTTTCTGTATCAATACCACAAAGTCCTGCAATTACGTCTTCCCAAACTATAATTCATTCGACAACTCAACATATAATGTCCAGCACTCCAATAGTTACTACTCCACCAGTCACTTTGACTACCACACCTCCAGTAGTAATTAAACCAGCTGGACATTTACCTATAAACCAGGTCAATACTACTTCAGTTGTAATAAATCATCATACAGTTCATAATAGTGTGACACCAACTGCACCTTCTACCAGTTTTCATCCAACACAAATACCTTTATCTGTAGCGAGTTTAAGCCAAGTTGCTGCTTCTAATATACCTCAAGTATCGATACCTACTACACAGGAATCTACAAATTCACACAATCAACCAGTTGAGTTTAATCATGCCATAAATTATGTGAATAAAATTAAAAATCGTTTTCAAGGGCAGCCAGAAAAATATAAACGCTTTTTAGAAATATTACATACCTATCAAAAAGAGCAAAAATCTCAAAAAGATAATATGGTTCCATTAACAGAAAAAACTCTAACAGAAGCTGAAGTTTATCAGCAAGTTGCCAAATTGTTTGAAAACCAGGATGATTTACTAGTTGAATTTGGACAGTTTTTACCAGATGCTAAAACACCTGATGCTAAACTGGCTACAGAAACCATTACTGTTCCCAAGAAGACTTCAGTTGTTACTAGTATACCACCTCCTATCATTGTGCCTCCCGTTAAAAAAGATGTAGTAAATACTCCAATTATTAAAGAAAGTATTAAAGAAACAAGTGTTCAAAATATATCTTTAAAGAGAACTTCATCGTTTTCATCCAGTCAAAATTTACCACCACCAAAAAGACCAAAATCCCCATTCCCATGTTTAGGAGATATATCTTATGTAGAAGCATATAAGTATGGAACATTAACAGATTTTGCATTTTTTGATCTTGTCAGGAAGTCTATTCATAATTCTTCTGCTTATGATGATTTTTTAAGATGTTTAGTTTTATACTATAATGAAATTATTTCTAAATCAGAACTTTTAAATTTGGTTCAACCTTTTCTTGGAAAATATTCAGAATTATTTAGACGATTTAAAGATTTTATTGGAACTAGTGAAAAAAGTAATAATGCTACCACGGCTCCAACGGAAAACAAACTTTCTGGGCTACCACATCTTTCATTACTTGATCCCGGATCTAATCGACAAGATAGATCAGCTGGTGATCTACCTACTGATATAGATTATAGTATATGTAAAAGGTTAGGTGCAAGTTATTGTGCTGTACCCTCAGATTATAAAACTCCCAAATGTAGTGGTAGAACGAAAATGTGTTTTGAAGTATTAAATGACACATGGGTTTCTTTTCCCACGTGGTCTGAAGAATCATCTTTTGCAACCAGTCGAAAAACTCAATATGAAGAATACATGCATAGGTGCGAAGATGAACGATTTGAACTTGATCTCGTAATGGAAATTAATTTGTCAGCAATATATTCTTTAGAAGAAATACTTAGGAAGACTAATAGAATGACTTTTGCCGAATTAGATAGATTTAGATTGGATGATAATTTAGGAACTCAACCTAGTTTAATGTCAACTAATGTACGAGCTATTAGAAGATTATATGGAGAAAGGACAAAAGATATACTCGAAGGACTCAAAATAAATCCGGTAAACGCTATTCCAGTAGTTTTAAAAAGGCTGAGATCCAAAGATGATGAATGGAAAGAGGCACGAAATACCTTCAATGAATTATGGAAAAATCAAAATGAGAAGTATTACCTTAAATCATTAGATCATCAAGGTGTTAATTTTAAACAAAGTGATATGAAATTTCTGAGATCAAAATCATTATTAAATGAAATTGAAACTATATTTGATGAGCGTAATGAACAAAGTGACAACAACAATGGTCCGCATATGGTGTTTTCATATACTGATAAATCAATTATAGATGATGCTGCTAATTTGTTGATTCACCATGTTAAGCGACAATCAGGTATTAATAAAGAAGATAAACAAAAAGTAAAATCACTTATTAGATCATTCATTCCTGATATGTTTCATCATCCTAGACAAGAATTAAGTGATGATGAACATGATGGTCTACATGATTTTTCTAATAATAATTCACCCGAATCATCAAAACTATCTTTACGGATCTCTGAAGAAAGTAATTTATCTGAAGTAAAAACGATAGATAGTGATAAATTAAAAGAATATTCTAATATAGAAGAATGTTATACACTGTTTTTCGGCAATAACTACTGGTATTTGTTCCTTAGACTTCATCATATCCTTTGTGATCGACTTACTCAGATATATAAAAGGGCTACACAGTTACTCCATGATGAATGTATTTATCAAGTGACTAGGTCTGAGTCTGTAGCAGCAAAACTAAATCTGCTTCCTAAATCAGATATTATGGTGGAAGATTACTATCCAGCGTTACTTGATATGGTTAAAAATGTTTTGGATGGCAATTTAGATGCCATTACCTATGAAGACACGTTAAGAGAAATGTTTAGTATTCATGCATATATTGGATTTACTCTTGATAAAGTTGTTGCTTATGCTGTTCGTCAGTTACAGAATTTAGTAACTGATGAATCATGTCAAGAATGTTATAATATATTTCTAAAAGAAAGTAAAAAAAATGGAACAGGAGGCCTTTGTAGTACAGCATGTCAAAGAGTTGCTCAAGAAGCAGCATATCAACGTAAAGTTGAAGCAGCTTTAAATAAAACTAATAATTGTTATAAAATATATATATATAAATCAAATTGTAAATTAACATTTGAGTTGCTGAACAATGATCCAGATGATAAGGATAATGGAAAATGGACAACTTATGATAATGAACCATTATCGGAACCTAATGATGACAAACAAGAAGAAAATCAAAGTCCTAATAAAGATTAAATTTTCAATGTATAACATTTTCTAACAAAGTATTCTTTATATTTATTATTAATTTTTTTTTTTTTTTTACAAATTGTTTCTACCTACGATATGATGCAAAATTGTATTCTACATTGATTCCAAAGTCACAAATGAACTATTACTTTAAAAGGTAATTCAATTTATTCATTATTTATGATTAAGATTATATTTCTAATATGTTGATGTTAATTTCAGTTTTACTTGAAGTCTGTACATAGCCACTCATTAAAAATTGATGAATAGTGAATAAGCGAGTGGCCTAGTATATTATTTTCATAGAGGTAAGAATACATTTTAATTAATTATAGGTAAATATGGAAAAAAATTTTACCATATGCTTAAATTTTATTTTACTTCTTGGTCAGGAAAACTTGTAAAGAATCTTATCAAATTTTCTTATTAGAAAATATATGCTTGCACTTTAAGAGCATGATCTGGCAGTAAATAATTTAGCGTCTGTTACGCACAGCCCACTCCATATTGGCTCTGGTCACTGTCGTACAGCTAAGTGAGTAAGTGAGAACGAACGACGGGTGCGGTGGACGAAGTGGTTCTGTCTGTGCGACTGGTCCTGCTCTTAACGTGGGGCAAGTATAGTATATAGATTTTGACAGAAACCAGTGTTGCATAAATATTCCCATTTTTCTAATGATTTTTTTTTTTTTTTGTGAGTTTCCCATTATTAAGAAAAATACAAGGAATATATAAAAAATAAAAAAAGAGCTGATACTGCTGATGGGTGTGCCACTGATGTAGGTGGGAAGTTGGGAAGGTAGGATATATAGAGTAATTTAATATATATCTACACGACGATTAATAACGTCATTGCTAACGAATAATGATTCTGAGCGAAGTTCGGTAAAATATGTTTTGAAATGCTGTGATTCTCATAATTTTTAACAAAATTTGAACTTAAAACGCTTATAAATAAAAAATTACATATCACTCAATTTTTATTATTGACTACAACTTGTACTTGTATCAAATTTTCAAGTATTTTTGCTGGATCATAACAATTTTATCTGTATAACACTAAAAATGGTTATAAATAGCTAAAAATATGTCAGAATTTTTTGAAAATTGCACTATTGTTTAGAAAGGGCTATTATAAGTAATAAATGGAAGTTTCAGATCTGTACAATTATTTTCAACTGGATTACAAAAAAAAAAAATTGTTACTGCGTATATTTTCTTGGTTTTCCCCAATTATTAGAAATACAAAAAAGATATTCTAAAAGTGACATCTCTAACAATTTAATAAAATTTGCTACCAGAAACCACCTCTGAAATTGAGGATCAGCTACGCTCAGAATCTTTATGATTTCTCAAATATACCAAACAGATCCAAAATGCCATAAAAATATTATTGCAATGAACAATAATATTTTCGGTTCGTTTTAATTTTTCTGGTCAAAAATCAAAATTGTGTTTATACAAAAATATAAATAAATCTTAGTAAAATTAATACATTCCTCACTCCGCTCAGAATCTAATCTATGTATTTTCCATATTCAATCTAATTAATTATATAGTTATTTAGTTTTTGTTTTACTATTACTAGAACTTCTATTCTATATGCATATAGCTTTATTAAATTATACAATTAATTGACTTGTTTTAATTTTTTTCAGAAAATATGAAGTGAAAATTATCAAGGTTTATGAAATATTCCAGGAATAATTCAGGTAATTAAAAGTATATTTAAAAAAATATAATAAAGTATTTAAACATTTTTAAATTCTAACTTTGAGACTAAGTATAGTGAAAAAGATTAGTTTTAAAAAATTAATAAGTTTTTTCTCAGAAAATAGGTTAATAACTGATTTTTATAAAGATATTACGCAGTACCTTAAAGATGTTGAATGATTACTTGTAACACTAACATTTTAAACAGTGATTCACTTCATAGATGATATTTTTTTTAAAAAAAAGGGAGATCTAATCTATTTGGTTTACTATGATATGTATTTAATTGTTAGTACTTTTTAAAATTATTTATCTGTCTATTGTTCCAGTCTAAAAACAATACTAGACCTTTTTTGTTGCATTTTTGAGCTAGTTTGTGTGTAAGGTGGTTGTTTTTTTGATTTTCAGTGTAGTTAATAAAAGAGGAAAAACGTAGAAAGAACGAGAAAGTTTACAGAAATTATAGTTTCAGTATTTTCAATTTAGTTTTCTTTTTTAATTCAGTTTAACAAAATTCAAAGAGACTTTTCTAGACGTGGTAAAATTATCAAACTCCTGAACATATTTTTGAGCTATTTATAGACATTTTACATTTTCTAGTTTTTGTATGTAGTTTTTCTTTTGTAGGTATTATGAGGATAAAATTGTTTGACCTAACAAAAGAGCTTAACAATTTTAAACAAGGTTTATTATCAGTTGTACTTAGGATTTAAAAAAGTTAGTTTTTTTTTTTAAGAGTTAGGTTTAAATTTTGAAGATCATAAGAATTACAGCTTTTTTAAACATGTTTAACCAAACTTGGCTCAGAATCGTTTTTTTCTTTAGCAATGGTTTATCATTTCTTACAGATATAAAATAAATAACTTGATGGAACCTACCTTCCAAACTTTGTACCTACAACAATGGGGCACCTATTAGCAATATCAGCTTTTATTCTTATTTTTTTATCTATATACATAATACTACATTTAGATCTTAATAGTGTAATGAAACAAATAAATTAGAAAAAATTGTCTAAAAAAAAAGTTGATTTATAGATATAATTTGGTCATATATTTTATAAACCAAGTTAAGAATATTTAGTAAAAGTATCTAATTATTTTTTATCAAAATCCAACTAAATTCTAGATATATCTAAATATCAACTCTACATATCTTTTTACTATTACATAATGATGTATTCCAAAAAAAAAAAAAAAAGCTTATGTAACTAAATCTTAGTAAATATAATTATCAAACATTGAAAAGATTCATTTTGGAAAAATTAAATGCCTTTATTAGTTTAAATTATTTATAATTGTTTGTTTTCTTTTTCAGTTATCAAATTATCAGATATTACAGCAATAAGTGTACATTCTATATTGTAAATTCAGAACATTAATTTGTTTTGTACATTTTTACTATTGTTTATAAGATGAATATTTTGTATAGAAATGCTGTATGTATGTATATTTTTTTTTATTGATAAATAGATAAACATTATATTTTAATGAGTTACCAATGGATGTTTTTTTAGAACACCAATAGGAACAATTGTGAGTATTGTGAAATTAAATGTTTCACTGTTTAGAACAAATAACCAAATTTATTACTAACTAATACTTTTAATTTGTGAATGTAGGGATGTTAAAATTAAATTATAGTTTTAAATTATAATATCATGCAGCAAAGGCAAATAATGTAAACAATGTTCAAAAATGGGTTCTTTCATTGTGGATAGATTTTTGTTAAAATCTGTAAACAAAAAGAAAAAATATGGAATTATTTATTTTGTTACATTTTTGTACTTATAGCCTATTTTTAATAGTGTAAATAATTTATATATTTTTCATTGTGAACTAATTTCTTAACATGTAAAAATAATTGAATATTGTATTATACAGGCCATAGAAATGTTCATATTTATTAAACAAATTAAAAATAGTATTTTTAATGAAAATGTAAAATGAATTATTCTTTTTGAATAATGTCAATAAAATTGCCATTTACTTATTTCATTGTCCTTGGTTGCTTGTAATATTAATTTATTAGTTTTATAAAGAAGTTAATTAAATTGTTTGAATTTTGTAATTATATTTTAAGTTTGTTTTAAAATTATTAATTTATTTGAGAAGAATTAAAGTTTTATTTTATACTTTTGGAATTTAATTTTATAATATTATGCCTTAATTTATGTGTATTATAATCTTTGTTAAACAATTAATCAAATATTGTGAATATTATGAAATACTATTTTGACCAAAAAGTTATTTTAATGAGTTATATACATAATTATTTATTTTACATTACTAAAAGAAATGTTTATTTAAATTGAGTATAAATTAGTGAATAAATATTGACATAAGGTTTTTATCAATACTAAGACTGAAAGTAGATTTATGACTTATCCCTATGTTTAATGGTTTATATTATTGAGATCATGTTTATCAAATATAATAAACCATTTTTAAATGATCTGATTTAATATACTTGTAAGTATGTTATAATTATTTTTAATACAATTGACAAAATGTAAACAAGACATTTATTATATTTATACAATTTGTATTATGTTTTAATTACTTGTTTGATAATTATTTTCTGCCCTAAAAAGGTACATTTTGAGAGTTTATTGTTTTTAATATTATTATAGTTTAAGTTCCTAAAAAGTATTGTGCAATAAAACTCAATTTAGAAATTTAATTATTTCTCATATTTTTCGATCATCAGATATCTGAATCCAAGTCATAAGTAAATAATATTAATTTTATATATCTAAATTATATCATGAAGTTCTTAAAATTATGAGTTCGTTATATTGTCCAATGCTCACATAGCAACTAGCAATTTGTTACTGGTCATAATTGATATTTTCTTCAAAATTTATAAAAAAAATTAACTCAAATGTTAAAATTATGATTCAAAAATACATTTATTATTAATAATCTGTTAATATTATGTTTAAAAAGCCAAAAAGTGTCTTATGTAATGTCTACCACATTACAATTGTATGATTTTATGTAAATTGTATACACATTTATAAATAAAAACATACAATTATTTCTAATTGTAAAATTTGGATATTTATTACCTACTTGTATATTTTTCCACATAACCTTATACTATCTTAAAATTATGGAAATTTAATTTATGGGAACATGGTATTAAATTTACAAACTTATATATTTGAGTATATTTATTGTTATTTTTGTTCTATTGGTTAAATTAAACTATTATATATTTTAAAGGATAGTCTGTTTTAATTTTTATGTCTATTATATTTACTATTATTTATTAAGCTATTAAAATAGAAAAAAAAACTTGTGTTGGTTATACTCGATAATAATTCACGATTGTGTTTTGGTTTATTGTCCGACGATTCTTTTTTAAATTTTCCTAGTTTTTAAACTAAATGTTTCTAAAAGGTATACCGGTTAATTCGTGCGGTTTTTTTTTCGAAAATTGAAGCTTTATTGTGAAAAAATGGTTACAAATTTAATATTCAAAGTATTGTCCATCGCTAGCTATGACCTTTTCCCATTTTTCTGGCAATTCACGAATACCCTTTCTGAAAAATTCGGCCGGCTTCTCCGCTATCCACGAATCGATCCAATTTTTGACTTCTTCATAATTGGAGAAGTGCTGGTCAGCCAGGCCATGTTGCATTGATCGAAAGAGATAGTAATCGGATGGCGCAAGGTCTGGACTATACGGCGGGTGGGGTAAGACATCCCATTTGAGTGTTTCAAGGTAGGTTTTGACGACCTGTGCAACATGTGGCCGAGCATTATCATGTTGCAAAATTACATAATCGTGTCTGGTCTCAGTTTCTGGCCGTTTTTCTTTCAATGCTCGGTTCAAACGCATCAATTGTCGTCGGTAGACTTCCCCTGTAATCGTTTCATTCCGNTTGCCCGACGTTTTGGATTATCGTAATGGACCCACTTTTCATCGCCAGTGACAAGTCGATGCAAAAAACATTTTCTTTTGTGCCGTTGAAGCAGTTGTTCACACGCGAAAAATCGGCGTTCGACGTCTCTTGGCTTCAATTCATACGGCACCCAATGGCCTACCTTCCGGATCATTCCCATTGCTTTTAGACGATCGGAAATGGTTTGTTGAGCGACGCCAAGTGATTTTGCAAGTTCTTCTTGCGTTTGGGATGGATCTTGGTCGAGCAATGTCTCCAATTCGTGATCTTCAAACTTTTTTGGCTGTCCGGGCCGTTCATCGTCTTCCAAGTCAAAATTGCCACTTTTAAACCGTGCAAACCACTTCTGGCACGTACGCTCAGCTAGAGCATGCACACCATACACTTCCACCAAAATACGATGACTTTCGGCAGCCTTTTTCTTCATATTGAAGTAATGAAGAAGTACTCCCCGCAAAAACACTTTATTCGGCACAAAATTCGACATTTTCAGAGTAAAAAAAGTATTCTTGTTTACGCTCAGCTAAATGAGACATACTGATTCTAAAACAATATGACAGTAGCTTTCCAACACTATTTGGAAAGGTGAATCACTGGAATAAAAATCAAGATACGCCATCTGTTAGAAAACCGCACGAATTAACCGGTACTACTATTAGTTTAAATTTCTGTGATCATATTAATAATTCTTCTGAGATATAGGTAATATAATATATCTGTATACATATATTTTTCCAAAATAAAATTTCAATAATTTTTGTTACAATATATCAGTTGGATTTGGAGGAAAAGAACCGATTCCAGTAATAAATAAAAACGAATAAACATTGACACATTGCCATTAAAAATGATTAATTCAATTGAAATTTTAAAGCAATATGAATTATGATTTATCGTTTATTAATACAATTTAATTGTATAGTATATTCAATCATGATTACCTAATGCCTTAGATTAAGACACTATATTGTTGATTTTCAAACCGATCAATTAACTTCAAGATTCAATATATACCTACCTTATGCAGTAATATACTAATATACCTATACCAGTGATATAAATTTATAATATACATCAAATTATGAGGTTCAAATTTATTTTGGTATGCATTATGCAAACGGTGGTTTACTGTTCCCTGATGGCCGATTAATAAGCGTTGAAAACATTTGAAATGCCTGTTACTAAATAAACGGCATGGATCTGTCATGTTAAAATAACAGCTGTGAGTTGATAATACGGTTATCTTTGGCATGAACCAGGGTTGTTTATACCATGTCTATGGTTTGTAATATCAGCTGTGTATCTATGTTTTATTCGCATGTTTGAAGATTTTATCTTGACAGTGGTTTTACCATAAAAAAAAGATAACATGGTCATGAACACATACTAAGATATACATGACTGAATACGAGATGAATATTATGGTTACGAAAGGTTATAGAACAGGGGGTATTTCCCTTCTAGCATTACTAGCGCCGTCTTAATGTATACTTATGAAACTTAAAGTTTATTTTACACTAACAGATTATAGTAATATCTGTTGTGGTATTCTTATTCTTTGTAAATATTATAAAAATAAATATACATATATATATATATGTATATTTATAAAGCCTCTTAAATAAATTATAGGGAGGGAAAACTCACTGAGTAACTAACCTAAATTGGTTATTTATCAAACTTATCTAGGAACAAAAAAAAAACAAAATCTTTTTGATTACCCTTCTTTTATTTGCAAACGTAACGTATAACTAAAAAAAATATAATTAAATTTAGTTAAATTAAAAATATTTTCCACTAGAACTAATTTATTGTAACTTGTATTCGTTATTTGAAATTTAAATATAGTGTTTTAATGAAAAATACTATTTAGTGGAGTACTGGAAATTTGTGATAATGCGATCTAGTTCCATAAGTATCCACTAGGACGGCGATAGAAATGGTAGAAGGGAAATACACCTTGCACTCCTACAGTTCTATAATATTTTGTGGTTAACCACCCCACAACCACCAATCAAGTCGTGATCAATCCTGTATATCATAGTTTGTAGTCATGAACATATGTTTTTATTGAATAATTTGTTCACTTGGTAAGGGGTACCAATTTTTGACTGCATTCTTAGTAAAAATTATTTCCAACAGGTGTCACCATAATTGTAAGAGAGCGAGTCATATCTGATATCATAGATTAAATATACATATAATAAATTTATAAATAGTGTAATTTATGGGCATATTCATTAACTTCTTGTTGAACAACAACTGTTTAAGTTGTGATAGTTACTTTAATTAATTTTCACCCTATACTATATCATACTCGTTTGAAGTCATAAGTAAATAATTTGAATAGTTATAATATTGATAAAATAGTTTAATTAATCTGTTTAAAGCAGATAATGGATATTTCCAAACTATAATTACAATAATAACAGAATACAGACAATAAATAATAATACGCTTAATTTATTATTACTAAAGTGCAGTGGCACAACCTAGGGGAATGTTCTGGGTATCTGGACACGTCACCTTTAAACTGTATATATTATAAAAATGTATTAACAGTATCATAGATGATTAGATGAAAACAACAAATTTAATATTAAATGAAATAAAATATATTTCATTGATAAAATTTTTTTAATAATATAATATTACTTAATTAATTAATATCAAATATTTTTTGAATAATGTGAATAATTTGAATAATGTGATCCTTGGCGATAGATTTCAAACCTCAGATAGATTAATATCATAAATTTCTATTATACATGGTATCTTATTAAAAAAACATGATAACCGAACGGAAATTATTGTAACATATTCTACACTGTACATTTTTGAGGTTAACCATTTAATATTTATTTAATATTTTTCTTCCATGGATGAATGTATCCCCGACCCCCTACGTATATCGGCGTTTGATTTTTATGTCTACTTTCTTTTACATGATACTCAACCACGTTATTTAATAAGTGTTAAAATATTTTTTGACTTTTATATTTCTAATTAATATTTTATTTCCAAATGGCTCCAGCTACTGCAAAACAGGTAACATTAATTTATTTCCTTAGATTTATTTTGGTTCATTAAATTACATATTCCGTTCAGTCACAAATAATTGTAGGTACCTATTCTTTGATCATAAAGGTAGACATTAGTTATACCTATTTGTAAAAATTGAAACAGTTTTATGTCTATGATAATTCCGTTTTTACAGAAAAATAAAAAACTCATTATCATTGGATTTTAAACGTGTTATTTCTATCATGTAAAACAAAATATTCAGTAGTTGTTAACTAACCTATTAAGTTTAAAATAAATAAAATTATATAAGTCGCGTTCTTCATTGTAATATTTTTTATAAGTCTTAATAATCAATTTCTAATGTATTAGGCCAAAGCCGGTGGTGGCGACAAAAAGCCTGCAGCCAAAAAGCCGCAGGCTCAACAACCTGCCAAGGCTAAACAAGAAGTACCTAAGGCAAAAGCTGAGCCTAAAACTCAACCAAAAAAACCGGAACCCGTTGTTGAACCAAAACAACAAGCTAAAAAGGATACAAAACAACAAGCTGCTCCAAAACCCCAACCTGCTCAAGAGAAGAAACCGGCTAAGGAACAACCTAAGAAAGAAGCTGTAATAATATTATTTTATTTATTAATTTTCTGATTCCTGGATGAAAAGTCCGTTTGAAATAATTTTTGACCAAAAGTCCGAGCACAATTTTACATTATTCAACAATAATTGTAATTTAAAATGAGTTAGGTTTTGAATAATATTCGATATATAAATCGATCACTTCAATAATAAAAATAATTACAATTTTCAGTTTACCAATAAAAGTTAATAAAATATCTGGAAGTTTTTTTGAAATTTTATTTGAACATTTCCATCAAATACTCGAAATAAATTTTTGTCTTCACAAACTGTAGATATATGCATATCCATTAAATCAATTTTTTATTTTTTTAATATAGTATAAATATAGTTGATGAATAAATATTCTATTAGATGTAGGTTTATCTAAATTGTGGGTAAAAGAAATAATAATAAGATTATTTTTATTTTTATAAATGTTTTTCAAATTTTTTGTCTGACATTGAAAATGTGCTCGGTATTTTTGTCAAACAATAAAGAAATGTGAATGAACAGTTTTTCCATATTTTAATTTGTTTTTTTTTTTTTTTTTTTTTTTTTTTTTTAAGGCACCTGCTCAAAAGAAGGGTGCTGATAATAAGAAAGATAGTGGTAAGAAACCTGCTGTGCAACAACCAGCTAAGTCTAATGCTAAAGCTGAACCAACTAAAGAAAAACCTAAGGCTGCTAAAGTTGATCCTAAAGCTAAAAAAGCAGAACCAGAAAAGCCAAAAGCTAAAGAGCCAGAAGTGAAACAGGTTAAGAAAGGTCAACAACAAGCAGCCCCTGCTAAATCTAAGGGAAAGAAAGAAGATCCTAAAACAGCTATTAAAGAAGAATTTAAAGGTAAAGCTGTAAAACGCCCTGCTGAAGAAACTCTTAAAAATGCTAAAAAGGATAAGAAAGAAACAGCAGCCAAAGTAGAAAAGAAATCTGAACCTGCTAAAACTGTTAAGAAAGAAGAAGTTTCAAAGAAAGCTCCAGTAGTTGCGAAGAAAACTGCTGACAAAAAACCAGAAGAAAAGAAACCAGCAACTAAGGCCACTGCACCTGTACCTCCAAAAAAAACTTTGACTTCAGCAGTCACTGTTAAAAAGACAGTAGCACCACCAACATTAAAGAAAGCACCGGGTGCCCCAAAAAAACTAACATTGACAAAAAAACCAACTACTGCACAGAAGAAACCTAAGGCAACATTAAGAGGTAAAGGAGCTGTTTTGAAAAAAAAGAAGGAAACTAGAAAAATGACAATAGATTGTACTCATCCAGTTGAAGACAGCATTATGGATGTCAATAATTTTGTAAGATTAAAATAATTTAATTTATTTTGTAACTGACATTTTTTATAAATATAATTAATTTGCTTATAGGAAAAGTTTCTCCAAGAAAGAATGAAGTATAATGGAAAAACCAATAACTTTGGTAATGTTTTATCATTAGAGAAAACTAAAACTAAAATTATTGTCAATTCTGATGTACCCTTTACTAAGAGGTATATAATAATAATATTTAACCAATATTCTTTTTATTACATAATTATTATTTTTATTTACCTAGATACTTGAAATATTTAACAAAAAAATACTTGAAGAAGAACAATTTGAGAGATTGGTTGAGGGTAGTCCACAGTGGCCCAGACAGTTATGAACTGAGATACTTCCAGGTAATTTCTGAAGTTATTAATAATTACTAGTGTCAATGAGTTAAATGAGTAAGAATTCCATGTGCTATACTCTACACAAGATATAACACAGAGATAATTATTAAGAACAAATTCTAGAATTCTGATTTTTACAAATATTTACTTACGATTAGAGTTTGGGATTTTAAATAGCACATCATAGTAGAAGGTTAACGCTTCTATTATGTCCTTCCTCCTGCAGCTGTAACTGATTGAACAATAGTTCCCAACCTGATACAACTAAGTGAATTATTAATTTTATGTATTTAAAAAAGAATTACTTTGTGTTTGACTTTTTTGTAATGTTAGAAATAGTATTTATTAAGTTGGAACTGTTCTTATGTTATTAAGTGCTATTCATATCCTACTTATAATAATAATCATTAAAAATTAAACTTTTAAATTTTAATAAAAACTGAATAATTGTAACGCAAGGCTCCAGTAGGGTTGAGTAATCACATATGACCACTTATTTTTTATTTGTAAATAGTGATTGTTGAATTTGTGTACATTAATTTATTTACACAGATAGTATAGGATGGCCATAAAACGGGAAAATGTTTCACTGCACAGTGTTCTTAAAATCCAGTTCATATGTGAACCAGGCTTAGACTTTAAAAGTTAAACCATTGGTAGACATAATTGTATTTATGGTATATCTAAGTATTATTATTTTTTTTTTTTAATTACTAGATAGATTAAATCAAATTCTAATACTAAAAAACTCTTAAGATTGTCATAGGTGGTGACTACCCTAATTATTACAAGAAAACAAAACTTAAAAATTGAATAGAACAAAAGTTATTTCAGTTTTTAGATCTCTGGGTTACAAATTGCATAATGTACATTATGTTTAAGTATGATATCTTTACATTTTCACTAGTTAAAAATAGAGATGTTACAAACACTGATTTTTAAGGTTGAACCAAACTTTTTCGTCTAATGGCGCCCTTTTGGAACTGAATATTCCTCATAGCGCCCCCTGATAAAAACGAATACCATTTTTTTTTTTTTATTTAGATAAAATAAAGAATAAAGCATTTTAAGGATAATAAAAAAACTATTGTTATTTTATAAATTTTTAGTAAATACTAAATTTAATGGGATGGATGCGCTTGCAAATCACTGCACAATTTTTCATATCTTAGAATCAAAGTAGATACAGCCACTCATTTCTTTTTCCACATTTATTTTTGATCGATACCTGCTTTTTATCACTGCAATCGCCAAAGACCCAGCTTCGTATAAATAAAAAGTTAAAAATAGAATTAAGATTCGTTGTGATTTATCACTTATAGGGAATATTTATCCTTATTTTATTAAATTTCATTCTACTAAATTTCGCTTTCAAACTATTGTCACAAAACAACTCGATAAAACTTTTTTCTTCTATAGAATCAAAATCAGTTGAAGCAATAGAGTTAAACGAATCTTGAATCTATGACAATTTACCAATATTTTCATTTTGAAAATACTTCTCAAACCAGATTACAAGTTGTGATAAATTGATTTTCAAAAATGGATTTCATATCTAGAGAGATTTCAGACCCATTAGAGCAAGAAAACTGCTGCAATATGAGAAAAGCATCCTTGCTGTTGCTTTCATTTATTTTTCTTTTCCACAATTTGAGTTTTTTTTATAAATGCTGTAGTTTTTTCCATGGATTTTAAAATGTGCAATTTTTTTTCTTTGCAATAAGATATTCAATGTATTTAGTTTCTCAAAAATGTTACACAAATATGCTAATTTCATTAAAAAATTGATGTCTGAAAATTCATTGGTGTTTTTCTGTTCTTTTTTAATAAATACATATATTTACTGCTGCAGTTCAAACGTACGTAATAAAATATTACCACTAGAAAGCCATCATGCACTACTGTAATATAGCAAACTTGTCCAACAAACAGATCCCATATCTCCACATAGTTTTTTGAAAAACCTTGACTTCAGTGTACGAGTTTTTATAAAATTGACTACATTCACCACACATTCTAAAACTTGGTTGAGTGCAGGACTTAAATACTTTGACACAAGCTTTTCGATGTATAATACAATGTGTTGATTTTTTTTATCAATTAATCATTGAGGTCTTCTGCCATTTGATTTATTCTGCGACTGACTGTGTTATTAGACAAAAGGCACATTTGAAAGTAATTTCCTAACATATTCCCCTACCATATCTACTGCAACTGGTTGGATAAGCTCTTCTGCAATTGTATGGGGTTTTTTACAATTAGCAATTCTATAAGCCACTTTGTTAGATGATAACAAAGCATTTTTTTGGTATTGATGCATTTATGATAAACGTACTTTTTTCCAGTATGAGTCTTCATCTTAACTTTCTAGAAAAATCTCGCGATTTTCTAACTGCGTGCTTGTGATTTGCTTCTAAATGGCGCTTCAATTTACTCGACAACGTGCATTTTGGTGCCTAAACTTTCATACACAATACACACAATGGTTTCTCCTCGCCATTAATTTCTGTTGGTGTATAAACAAACTCCAAATAACTGTAATCATAATTCTGATATTTTCGCTTTTTCACAACCAAGCCGTGGCTGGAGGGTATACACTTTCTTCATCTTCCCAACGTTTATTATTATTCAATAAAAATCGATCAATTGTCAAAAATAAAAGGAACACAAAACTATTGCTATAGAAAACGTGAATTAACAACACAACTGCGTGTATTGGTGTTTAAGCTAAAACAAATTACACCAGACGTGGACACGTGCGGTCGTGGTAATGTAGTATTTTTCATAATTGCTTTATGGAGATCGGCGCTCATTATTGTACACCATGTGATATATGAACGGTGTATAGGAAACCTATATATCTAAAAACTACTTCTTTCAACAGTAACTATTCAAATCATTACTAACAAAACTATTGTTGAAATCCATTAATAGATTATTATAATTTCATTGCGTAACCATATAATTAGTTTGACCAGCGGAGTCATTTTTCAATCATTAGAAAACTAATTTTTTTTTATAAACTATGTCATGTTTTTATTTATTTTTTCAGATTAATAATGCTGAAGATGATGATGAAGAGGACAATGCTGATTAAAGATAGATGTTGACTTTAATTTTTAATTGTTTGACCTTGTAAATCATCTTATTAATAAAAATGAAAAAACGAAAAACAGCTAGCTTGGTTAAATTTTTTAACTTGACATCTTTTCATTCTTTAAGTTTCCTGAAAAATAATAACATAAATTAGTTGTTATAACAAATAATATTAAAAATGCTGGGAATCTACTGTTTATTTTTGTAATATTGATAAATAATTATTTTCTATTACAAAATAACTTCTGTAAAATAAATGTTTGGACCATCATATGCATTTTTGTAATATGTTAACAATATGATTTATGAAAAACTGTCATGCTGTACTGCACTACTATTTTATATTAAATTTTTGTATTCTACTTCAGAAAACATTATATTTTCATTAAAAAAGTATAATATCCCAGTAAAAATTTATTATATAGTATTTCATCCTTAAGGACTTGTGAGATTTATTTTTATTATATTACAAACCTTCTAAATAAAATTTAAATATTATTGACAGTCATAATAATTTTAAACATTAAATGGTCTTTTATTATTTTAATTAGTACAAAATTGATGACAATTGATTCACGTTTGACATTTATACTAATTTGTATTATTGCCAATGAGTATAAATCATATACTTGAGCAGTTCTTAAAATACAATAAGATTCGATAAATTATTCTCATGCTTATATGAAAATATTAAAAAACTAACATACCTATTTGAATATTGTAAAATTAAACAAATTTTTTTCTTTTTTTTTTCTGTTAATTAACTATTGAAAGAAGCTTTTGTGTCATCAATAACAGCAAGTAGTTGAACATTTGAAAAATAAAAGTAAATTACTTTATAGAAAAAACTAATATTATTAAGTATGTTCAGTTATTAAACCATTAATTTCAATTCAAATGTATTGTATTATGTGATTCAATAGAAGTTAAATAAATTACTTCAATAGAAGTTAAATAAATTACTTTAAAATCATCTACTTTAATAAATCAATTAAATTTTTTTTTTTGGTTCTAAGCTTAACAAAGTATATATAGGTTTTAAGCAATTTTGCTAAAATTTCAATTGAGACATTTTTTCTGAAAAGAAAAATGACTGGTGGTACTTTATCTGGTCATTTTTTGATTTACCCAGAAGTTTTCCCGTTAAATGGGTAAATACCTGAAATGTATTAGTAAAATAGCTGTCTTAAAAAATGGGGACGTGTGCAGCTATTATTGTAGGTGGGAATGTAATATATATCTGAGAGCAACAATTAACCATTGCTAACCAAAAACAATTCCAAGTGAAGTTTGGATGTTTTATCACCAATATATTTATTATTTTATTAAGGCAAAACAATTACATATGCACTAAACATTTTTTTTAATAATATTGATGTCTTGTAAAAAGGACATTATTTAAATGCTATTTATTACCATTTAAAATTGGGCTATGTTATTAAAAGTGCATAGTGTGCATTCATAGATTATGTAGTATACAATAAATTAACAATGTAACTCACATTTAAGTTTTACCATAAAACACTTGAAAAATGTTCATATAACATTTTTGATTTTTTTTGACAATACATGTATAATTTAAAATTGAAAATATGGTTTTAAAAATCTAACATTTTTTCTCTCCATAATAACAGAGTAATCAACAAGTACGGATTATAAATTCTCCCCTAAAATTAATACTAATAATGATATTATTTTGACTCGGTAAACGCTTGATGTCCTCTACACTTACATACATGTAACTTGGTAAAAATTTAGAAAAAAAAAATTCTATACTGTAGATGAGTGCTGCCACTGTTGTAAAGGGGAAGGTAGGATACATAAGGTTATTTCATTTATAACCGTAAGCAACAATAAACCATTACTGACGAAAGACGATTCCGAGCATAGTTCGAAAAAACATAATTTGTAGTGCCTTATATTTTTTTAACCTAACCTTTTTACGTTTCTCCCTGATTACTATGAAAACTAATTTGAATATCAAAAAAATAAACTACATCATTAAAAATAAGATTAATAATTCAACCAAAATGGTTAATATTGTTTTTCAGTTGGAGCCATATTTATACTAGAAAACGTGGTAGGTACTTTTTTAAAATAACGAAATCGTGAAAAAATCATATTTTTTTTCCTATTAATCGCTTTTATTTGAAATACCGTTTCGAAAATCAAAAAAAAAAAAAATGACGTATGTATTTACCAAATAGATAAAATTGACTTTCAGAAAAGGTGCTATACTTATACATCGGAGCAATTTTCTAGGATAAAAATGGTCTACAGTATATACAAAAAAAGTACCATTGTAAAAAAATTAAAAAGTTGTCCGATGATTTTTAAATTTTACTACGTCTAGGTAAGTCTAATATAAGTATTATTACCCAGTTTCAGTTCAACGTGTATTTATAACCGGATTACAGCAAAAAAACACCCAAAAATTAAAATTTCTTAGAATCTCAAAAGTTTTGGTGATGATACTGATAGAAAGTAAATCAAAAAGTGTTTTGTGATTTTTCGATTATATAATTTTTCTAAAATACCATCTAGACAACTTAAGTTTTCAGAAAAATTGCTACACATAAAAATCGGAACAAGTTTACTAAGAAAAAACATATCCACAGACTAGAACAAAGAAAAAACAAGAAATAAACATCTTAGAAAAACCAACAGCTCCCTCTCTACATTTGGAATCTAAAATTGATAAACGAAAAAATGAATTTCAAGTCTAAAAGGGTTAAGCAAATAAATCTATCGGCGAGAAGTTTGGTGGCGAATCGGTTCATCGAGCCTAGGTACATCGTACTTCAAATAACATTAAATTTATATAAAAAAAACCAGAGAATGTCTTTACGGACTCGGACACCTCGCCGCCAGTGGCGTATGTAGGGGAAGGTTTTGATGGTTCAACGCTTCCCCCCCAAATGTATGGTTGGTACGGCACACATGCGTGTTTATGAATTTATTTAATCTATGTATCAACTAAAACTCGAAAGCTTTTTATAACCCCCCCCCCCCTAAAAAAAAAAAAAAATAATAATTTCTATAACAGGCTGTCCCATGAAGATATACTCTTTGAACATCTCTGGAGATAATAAAGATGATCAAATTCTATTTTTGTTTTTAATATTACTCACAGGGATGAACTACAAATATTTATATTTGCATGATATTTTTTTTTTTTAGTAAAAAACTTAAAAATTAACTTTATTTTATTATTTTTGGAAAATTGTAAGATAGCCATTCTGTAGAGTTTATTTTTCTGAAAATTTTAAAGCATCATACATTTGTATCCGATGAATAGTTTCATATAGAAGTAGAAAACCAATGTTATCTAAAACCTAACCACGTTACGCGACAGTAACGAAATAGCAACAAATTTGTTAGATGAATTATATACTTACATACAATAAGAAAGTTATTAAACATTGGAAACTATAATTATTATTATAAGTAATCGAACAATACCAGTTTCGAAAGTGTGGACGAAAAAAGGTGAGTTGGACCATCGAACTTGAAAAATTCGCACAGGTCGTAGGGTGGACTTGCAAATTTTTTTTATATACTTGCAATTACTTGCTAATTATAAGGAATCAAATTACACTAGTTTGAACATGTGGTTGAAAAAAGATGAGCTACGTGAAATTGACTCACCTTTCTTTATTTTTGTTCTGTATTTGAAAATAATGACTTGAAAATTATTAAAACTAACTTACTAATTCTTGCTAGTTATTTGCTAAATGTTTATATGGGTTAGATTTATTTGAGAGAATGTGGGTGGGCCATCTTCATGACCATAATCTACATCTGCTATATGGTACCTAATTGGTAAATCAATGTGAACTAAATAAGATTCCGAGTAGAATTTTGATTCTGGACATGTATATTTTATTTTTTTAATGTAGTAATAAATATTGAAAACATTGCACTTATAAAAAACAAAATGTGTGAAATTGTGCTTAAATAATTTTATTTGTTGATCGACAAGGAAAATGTATGATAAACTTTTGTATAGGTAGGTCGTGTTTTACACACTACCAAAAATAAAATCGTGTCTATGTTTTCATAGCATTTATAGATATAATAGATGATAAATTAGATATAATAATTTTGAATTTTATGTGGTCGGTATCTTCGCAATAAAACTTGACTGGGTATGATAATTTTGTTGTAACTATCTCGTGTTGCTGATAAAGATAGCGAATCCCCTCGGTCTAATCAATTAACGTACCTAGTTGGGGTCAGCAACGGTTGTGATGAGGAGAAGCTTCCTACGGCTCGGTGAACAATATTTAATCAGTTTTAGCCACAAACCAATCAAAATTACTCGGCAGCTCAATTTATCATTTAATTGTATGGTTTTTCGGACAGAAATAATTGATGTTTGTTATATTTAGTGGATTGATCATTGGTGTTTCTATCAAAATCAGGTTGAAAACAAAGGTACGCACAAATTTCGAAATCCGACTTTCAAATACCTACCTACCGATAATCGAGAAGGTATCTAAAGAGAAGAAGATTCTATGAAACGTTGCCATATCAAATCCGAAATTGAATGTATAGTAAAATACCCACTTATTTTTGTGTTGTTTTGCAGATTTTGACAAATTCTTCAAATTTCAAACAACAATTTTAAACATTTAAATTGATTAGTAAAATTAAACAAAGTACACAATCGAACAAAACAAAAATATATCAATTATATGTTTTTGTTGTTTATAACTATCAGATCGTTATGATTTCTGTATTGTATAGGCAAAAGGTACTACTTAGGGAGAATGAAACGGTGTTCTCAAATAACGTTTAACTAACAAACTGTCCATTCTTAACCAGAATAAAATCATAAAATGCGTCATTACACTGTTCATACATTTATAATACCAACCTATTACAATATGGATAGTCATAGATAGATATATTATCTTTTATACTATACCTGCCTATTCCTTATTGTTATATAAATCTGACGTGAATTACAGCCAAAGATTAATAAGCATTTTAATAGTCTTGGAGAAATCCCGGAATAATTATTCCCTAAAGACCGAAACACGGGCAATCATCTCTGATATACTATGCCCAAACTTTAGTAAGTAGTTTGGTACCTATAGGTAGCTTTTAATGATACAAATATATATATATATATATTCAATCAATGTATCGAAATTATTTAATTCAAATCTGTTTATCAATAAGACCAGTAGTAATTTAAAATTTTGAAATAAAATTAATTGTTATGCATTAATATTAATAATAAATATTGTACCTAATTGACTTTATAGTGGCCAGTGAAATATTTCGGACTTCAAACATTCAATTTAATCAGTGTGTAGATATTATTACCTAGGGTACCTACTTAATAGTACTTACTCAATTCGATATTATTATCATAGACTGAATTACGGAATTTAAAAATTTGAAAAAATAGCGAACCTAATTTTATTTTAGATATATATTGAACAGTTTTAGCGTTTAGAGTTCATTTTACTAAAACGTGTAGTAGGTATAAGTGCATTCACTTATAGGGCGGCTATACCCTTCAAACTTTCCAGTCGGACAACAAATGTACGGTTATTATTTAAGATACCCATTTATCAACAGTTAATTAGGCAAAAAAAAATATGGATTGGGAATTTTTATTCCGAATAACGTTTTTGGGGCTTAACACTCATGGCTCCTAATCCCACTAATTCGAGGAGTAAAAGGCTTTCGAATATTCACCCCCTGAGAACTAAATGGCTTACAATGGAACTGGAACTGGGTGGTGGTCTACCGTAGAATTATAAGTCATAAAAATTAAATTTAATGGTAATTAGATGTCACACGTCCGAGATGATAATGTTACGTCATCATTCGCCTATTTGCGCACAATTAGTTGCGCGATAAGAGCCTACGTCAACATGAACTTCGTATGAGCCCGTATTAACAAAGAACCATAATATATTCATACTCCTTGTTGTCTTTTATATTATAATACGCACTGCGCAGTAACACGGTAAACCGTCGTAGTTTCCGTGAGAATCAGCTGTGCCTCAGCGCAGTTCTAGCAATATTAGGAACCAAAACACAGATGGGACGGCCGCAGTCCTCTGTCTCAAAGGCCATGGGGTACCGTTGTTGGGCCGTGTGACCAATACAAGGCAGTCTACCCACGGGATACCCGGCAGTGGCCGATGGGTGGACGGCCGTCCGGCCAGTCGAACAAGGGTCGCACGGTTGGCACGTCCGACGTCAGCTGATGCCCGTGCCCCGCACGGCCCACCACGACAAAAACAACAAACCCCGCTCACCGCTGCCTGCCCGTAATTGTATTATTGTCATTGTTATTGTGTACTCGTACTATAGTACTTCTCAATATTCATAGTTTACTGCGTTGAAATTGTTCTCGTCGTTCTCCCGTCATTGTCGTTGTTACCTGTACAGTTGCGTTACGTTATTTGCGTCGTTAAAATAGCTATCTATTCTGCTTTTCTACGTACTGTCGTCTACACAATGAAATTTCAGTACAAAGAGGATAATGTTTTTGAGAAGAGAAAGACTGAAGGCGAGAAAATCCGAAAGAAGTATCCCGACAGGGTCCCGGTAAGAATTTTCTATTATTTGTAGTGATGTAGATAACTGACTTCGCCCTTCGGTTAATAATTGCTTTTGTTTTTACCGTTTTGCCGTACGGTAATATTTTATTGGCCATTGTCCACGGCGTATATAATATTTGTGTGGCAATTGATCAAGGCAAAGGTCAATGCTAAGTTGTTTTTCATTCACTGTTGTGTTATTATTTATTCGTATTATGTTTTTATTTTCATTGAACCTTGCAGGTGATTGTGGAAAAGGCCCCAAAGTCACATATTGGTGAGCTTGACAAAAAGAAGTACCTGGTACCTTCGGACTTAACAGTCGGCCAGTTTTACTTCCTTATCAGGAAACGTGTACATCTACGTCCTGAGGACGCCCTATTCTTTTTCGTCAACAACGTCATTCCACCAACCAGTGCCACTATGGGATCATTGTACAATGTAAGCATTTACTATATTATTACCAAGGTTAATGCATTCTTATTAAATATTTATTTTTATTTTATTAGGACCATCGCGAAGAAGATTTCTTTTTGTACATTGCATACAGTGATGAAAACGTTTATGGATAATAGTTACTACCTTTGTCGTGTTTGATTGGTTGTTTTTCATAATTCATTTAAAAATTCACTTCTTGAATAAAAAAAATATGACCAAAAAAAAAAATTAAAAAAAAAAAAGTAATCATGTTCTAATATAAAATAATCATACACAATGGTAACCTGTACCTTTGAAGTTATTTTATATTTGCAGTTCATTATTATTTTTGTTTGATATTACTATGTAAAGTATAATTTCGCTTAAAATATTAACCTTTTTGTTTGATTTCTTATTATTTTTATGAAGTTTATTATGACTTATTTATAAGATTTTTAGCTAAATGTTTAAGTGTGCTATTTCTGCGTGTAAACAATTAAATTATTTATTCTTTTACCATTTCAGAAATGGTTAGCATTATAAACATTTGGTCACTCATTTTGTATATAACTACTTATAACTATTTTAAATAAATTTCTATATTATATTAGTTATTAAACCTGTGTATTTATTTATTAAATTATACTTTGAGTTAAACTTTAAGTATGTAGATACCTAATTGTCTGTAGAACATATCTCTAACTTTTCTGTACATATTCCATTTTTTAGCAACAGTTACTATTGGATTTGTCATTAATAATATATTTATTCTTTATTATTGATTATACCTATATGGTAAGAGTTGCTGTAGATAATGAGCATAACTGTAAAGTTTTAAAGCAAATGATTGTCAAATGTTAATGGCAGTCATATTTAATAATTTGATTATAATACGTATTAAATGTTGAACAAATAATAGATTATCAAAAAACCTATCTGAGTTTGTGTTGTGGTGTTCAAATTAAATTTCAATAATTTTTGTAAACGAGTTGAATATACTTGGCAATTATTTAAATAAATTATGATTCTGACGTTCAAGAGATTTAAATTCTTTGATGGACAAAGTACTTCAAAATGAGTATCTAGGTACTCGTTTCTAGATACATTTGTATCTAAGATATTGTATAATTAATAATTGTATTGAAAACCTGCCTAACCCTGTTTTAATATAAATTATGATTTTTAATTATGGTCATTAACATAAATCATTTTTACTGTTGTCACTAGTTAGGTTTCTTTAGGAATTTGATTTTTTTTATATTGGTGTTAAACAAAGCTGTAAGCTATACATATCATTTATACTACTTGCAATAAATTTTATAACAATTTTAGTTTGATATATTTTTTTAATGCTATTTTCTATTGTTTATTTTTAGTTATAATTATTTTTTGAATTATTTTCTAGATTTACATAGTTAATAAGATATCCCTTGGAAATTTAAAAAAAAAAATTTTCTCAGTTTTTCTATATTAATACTATAGTTTTATGTATATAACTATCCTTTAGAATATTAAATTAACTATAATGTGTTATAGGTATATAGTATAATAGTAGTCATAAAAGTGTAACAGTCTTATATTAAATATTAAAAATAAAACTTATAGGTTTCTCAAATATAGAATTTTTTTGTAGGTTTTTGAAAATAATTTTGGTTTTTTTTTTTATAGATTTTCTGTGGTTAGTTTGTTTTTTTTTAAATGATTTTCATTATAGTTTTATAAAGATACAAAATCCTAACTATGTTTCACAATTATTATTATATAAAACATTCGTTGAATATACCTACAATTTTAAGACATATTACTTATTTTAGTCATTTAGATTTTACATTTTTATTTTATTAAAATACTTAATATATTAAAAGTATTTAATTCAAGGTCTTGATATGTGCTATTTCACAATTTATGTGAGATGCGAATAATGAATATTATGTTTTGTTACAAAACCGAGATTTTATAATATTGTTTTATTAACCATTTAGATTATGACACTGTAGAATATTAACAAATATTAAGACAACAATAATAGTAGCTAATGATTATGAATTAAAATATGTTTGTTGTCATGACGTTGATACATAAATGATATAGCCTTGTATAATCGTATATAAATTGCATAATTTTAATTAATTATTGTTATAGTTTTCTTGAATTTGTATGGATAATTTGATAACATACATGGAAGAAAAAAAGAGAAATTGAAAGTTGTTTTGATGTTTTGTGTTTTTCTTCCATTCACATGTTATCATGTATAGTTGCTGGTTAACTCGTAATCTACCTATTATTTTGTTGATTATAATTTTGTTCCACTCGTGACTCGTTTGTGTAGTGTGTACTTGTGTACATCACTTCTTCTCCTTCATCGACGTTCGAAAGGTAAAGTATTTTTTTCATCCGCTTTAATCTCTCTCGTTTTTAACGCCAACCACTCGGTGTTTTGCATTCTGTGTTCCTTTGTTCATGCTCATTGTCTAATTGATTTCAGGACCAAACATGGGCCAAAGTGTAGTTTTTAGGAGGCGGCTGTCGTACAACACCAAAAGTAATAGGAGGCGTATGTACGTATCTGGATTTGCATTAATGATCGGTTCGGGTATTGAACTTGTTTCATTCTACTAATTTTTTGCATTTAATTTATTTTAGGGTACGTACTCCTGGTGGACGATTGGTCTATCAATATTTGAAAAAGCCAAAACGTGTACCAAAGTGTGGTAACTGTAAGATTAAGTTACACGGTATCAAGCCAGCTAGAGCAATCGAGAAACATCGTATGTGCAAACGCAAGAAGACCGTGAAACGTGCATATGGTGGAGTTTTATGTCATAGTTGTGTTCGTGAAAAGTAAGTATAGTAGTAGTATGACAATTTTCTTTAAAATATGATGTAAATTATATAACTCATTAAAAGTATATTTTAATAAATGATGCGTATAATTATAGGTAATGAAAAAATAGAAACGACATTTCCATACTAATCTTTAAAGAGACTATCTTTGAGATAGGGGCTAATTGAGTTGATTATTAAACTGATTTTATAGTATGCGAAATCCTAGTATCATGTGAAAATCTCTTAAACAAATTGTCTAAGTTTTATATCATTCAAGAAACTGTCATTTTAGGCTATGGCCTATCCATTTCTTTATTATGTATGGGTTTAATTGTCTAGGTATAGTCAATTAAAAAAAAAATTGTATCTCAATTTCATGATTAAATTATTACTTATTTTTAAAATACTTTGAATGAAGTTGGTTATTGGTTTTTTGTATATCTCAAATAGTAGAACATTTTAAATTTGTATTTCTTAAGTTTTAATATACAGGTATATGTAAAAATATAATCAATTGCATTGAATGTCCTTTAATTTAATCGTTTAGGTAGTTAGATTTTATTTGGGGTTCTGTACTTCCATCACCAACATTCTTTTTCTGTCTCTCTAGTAATATAACAATACTACATTTTTGCGATTGTGACTGAGTGTTTAGGAGTAATATATTTTTTTTTCGGTTTCACCCAATATTAATTTATTAAGAAATAGATTTATAGTAAATGCTTTATACAATTTACAATAACATAAAAAAAAGAATTTATAGGAGAATCTTATTCAAGGGATACATAGCCTTTTCTAAAAAAAAGTTAGTTGTGTTAGTTTTGCATTTTTTTAAAATAGCTAATTCTTTACATCTTGTTATTTGTGATTAAATTATAATTTAAACTTTACAATTTATGTTCTAAGACATTAATTAGTAATTTCACAGGGATAAAATCTGCAGATATGATCTTATCTTAATCAAAAAATCACGTTCCACATTCAATCTTTATAATAAATACTATAAATGACATTTTATGCCATATTTCAATCAGCTAACTAAATGGACTTTCAAAGTGTAGGTATTGGTTAATGCTGTACATTTTTATCAGATGAGCACGATTGATATACAATAAATTACTATCAGTTGATCATTAATTATCTAATAGCTATTAATTTATTTCATTTTGTGTGTTGTAATTATAACTGATTAAAAGAATACATTTTTTCATGTAAACCTCTTAATGTCAGTTTTTCAATCACATATGTATCAAATAATACGAGTTCTTTGACCAATAGACCAAAATAAGACTTATTCAATTAATAAGTATTGTAAAATAGTTGGATAAATAACTTGAAACAATAATACAATTTTAATGTAAAAAAAAAAATGTTTAAAATTATATTTATATTCTTTTTCGAAAATGCATACAACCATTGAACTGTATGTACTAAAAGGGTGGACGATTATATTTATATAAATCTGTTCTACCTACCATCACAATATTCTTACATTGAAAAACAAATTACTCATTTTAGAAGTCTATTCAACAAATAGTAGCATCTGGAAAATAACTGTAATTGAAAAACTAAACCTAATTAAAGGTTAATAAAGTAGTATTTCTTGGGTTAAATATAAGACATTAGAGTTTAATTTAAAATATGTTATAAATGTTTACATTAAGGGCGTAAAGAAGGTTACATCATATAAGTACTAGTGATTTAATCGATACAAACTCCCTAAAGTAATTACAGCATTTGAACACTCTTGGTACTAACAAGTTTTAAGCCAAGGCTACAAATTGCTGTACATTTAATTACTAAAAGTTGAAATAGCATTAAATTAAAATATTGCCATTAGTTATAATAAAATAATATTTCTGTATTATGATACATACATTATTTGTCAATTTGTTACTTGGTGGTAACATTACTTTTACTAATGACAGCACTTGTGTGTTGAAAGTGTGATCTTGTATATTTCGTATCCTATTTGTGCTACGAAAACAATTAAAAACTAACAAATATATTTTATGTCTAATAGGTATTATGTTTTTTCATTATAATAATAAACATAGTATCAAAGCATAATTTTAAGAAATTAGATAACTAATGAAAATTAATTAATAATGACAAAATCAATAATTAGGTTTTATAATATAGTTAATAAGTTAGTAACAATTTATGTAGTTTTATACCACATTGTAAATTATGTTAATAATCATTTGAATAATTTTGATTTATAAATTCTAAGCGAGAATTTTATTGGTTTTACAAAGATATTAATTTTTTTCTGTGAAAACTTATATCAGAAATTTTGCTCCGATTTTCAAATGTAGTACTTTTTGATAGGAAATCTGAATGAGGTGGTACTTTAGGGGTGACTTTCTTTATTTTCCCAGGGTGTTTTCATAATAGTTGAGATAAACTGAGAAAATGTATTATTTTTAAATTGTAAATTTTATAGTCTTTTAAAACATGTAAGGCCTAACTCCGCTCACAATTATTTTTTGTTAGCAATGATTAATTGTTCCGTACAGATATAATATATACTCAATTTCCCCTCTACCTTCCCAACTTCTCACCTACAACAGTACCTCACCTATCGTGTGAAGTATATCAATTTTTTTATTCTTCAAAAATATTAATTTATCATGTACTAAACTCAGGTAATCATGTATACCTACTGGACATTAATAATAAATAAAAAGTTTTTAGTTAAATTTTCTTAAAATATTATATATTGTATCTAGTTTTATTTTCAGTTGCAATTTAATATCTCAGATAATATAGTTATTTGTTGTAAATTAGACATTTTAAATGACTTTTTTTTAAATTGTTGTTATTTTGATTTTATAGGATCCTCAGAGCGTTTTTGGTTGAAGAGCAGAAAATTGTTGTGAAAGTTTTACGTTCTCAGAAGAATTCAGCTAAAAACAAGTTGAAAGCTGCTAAATAAGTTTATTAATAACTTAATCAATTTAATAAATAAAAATAAATGTTAATTTTATAACAGATCTATGTTTATTCTTTCAGAATTTCCTAATTTCCCATTGATACATTGATTACTTATAATGATTTTACATTACAACTAAAATGTTGTCTTTTTATGTTGGGTATTTTATTCATTTTAAATGGTATGTATCTTGAGATATATTTATATAAAATGTGAATTTTATTAAATTTCAACAATAACATGATGTGTCTGGTTTATTTATATAAAATGTATATTTTGTATAAGAGTTAGAGAACATTTTATATTTTACTGGACAATTGTACATTTTCTCACCAAGATTTATGTAAAAGGTCACATTTTAATAGTATGACCTCCTTGATCTACCTAATATGAATATTGATTTATTAAGTGGTGACTGGTGAAGCTTAGTTTCTAAAATTAGTTAAATAAATACAATTTTTAGATACTAAGCGAATAAATATAACAGTTTTAAACAATTAGTGTAATGTACAATTTTTTTTATAATCATTTTATTTTCAAATTTTGATGAATGTTGTATAAATAGCATCACTTCAATATACAGTGTATAAACTGATAGAATAAAATGAAAAAAATTAATATTAACAGTACAAGAAAAATCTATAGAACACGGTAGGACACTGTATAACAGAACTTCAATTCTCTGAATCGTTTTTTGTTACTAATGTAAGCAAGTATACATAGTATTCCTAGTCTTATTTTGGTTTACGTCTATGTATATAATGTTTATTAAGCATATTATGATATTGTGAAACCAATATAATGTCCTGGTGATATCAACAGGCTCCCAACTAGAATACTGAGCAAATTCCTGCTCGGTTGCCGGAAACAAGTCGTTGGTCATTGGCTATGACTCGGCAGTCGATCTTTAAGGGAACAAGCTACATACAGCTACTCTTGTTCACGCCAGAGTCCCAATTCTAGTGTTTAGACACTGATTCAGTTACATTACACTTCAATATTCTTGTAGGTTTTGTTTTATCGTTAAGTTATTCAATATTAATCTATTTCATTAATTCATGTAATAAATCGTTAAGTCTTATTTTAAACCAATCCATCTTCGAGTTCTCTTACTTCTAATAAGCCTTTTCCTTGTGGTACAACCACACACCTTATGAGAAGCGCACATTTACATCGTCAATGGTTTATTTTTGCTGTATGTAGTCATACAAATACAATAACATTATGTATCCTACCTTATCCATTTTACACTTAAGGAGTACGTAGTCTCAGCAGCAGTATGAGCTGTTGTATTATTATTATTTTTTTAATAGGTAATTAGATAAGTAATAACTTGATGGAAAATCTAACTGATGAGAATGTGTAATACACTGTGTATGAAATGTGATATTTTCTGGTTTTGACTCGTTTTACAACTAATAAATGTACACATATAATTATGTTAGCATTTCAAAGAGACAATTTAAATTGTTTATTAAAATAAAATAGAGTAGTCGAATAAAGGACATTTAAAAGACTTAATTGTAAAAAAAAAAAAATATTGGAGTTGATTTTATTTAATATAGGTAACTTTTGGTAAAATCAAGTATCTACTATAAATATTCAATATTTAAATGATAATAGACCACTAACAAATCAACCAAAAAACTTTGTGGTTATAGCCTTGCTTAAAGTTTTATGGATAACTAATATTTTGAATAATAAAGTAAAATATCTGGGTGGTACTTTAGGGAGATCATTTTTTGATTTCCCAAGCAGTTTTCATAATAATTGTAATTTTTGATTTAATGTTTGATTAAAAATTTATTTTTCGATATAATTGAGTTAAAATTATAAATAAAGTATAAGTTATATGAATATAGAGACAAAAATTGGATAGAAAACTTGGCCATTTTTGAGCTATTTATAGACATTTTAATATTTCTAGTTTTTTACATAATTTTTATTCAGCAGGTGGGTACTTTATGGATAAAATTGTTGAGCTAAATATAAATACTTGAAAATTTAGAATGAGGTTTATTATAAGTTACATTTAGTGGCAAAAAAAATTGATCACAGTGTACCTATCTATTTAGTAGTTGTGTGTTATAACCGTTTTTAAATCTAACTCGAAAATCGTAAATATTATGGAATGTTAATACAACCGAACTTCGCTGAGAATCTTATTTCGTTAGCAATGGTTTATCATTACTTACAGTCTACAGATATAAATTATATAATTTTATGTAGGTATACTACATTCGGCCACCGGATCCTGTCTTGGCGACCCATCATCTTTTTCGTCTTCCCGCGAGTGCGCGTTGTTCCGGCTTCTATCATTCCGGCATCATCATTTTTAACTAAATCAAGTGTTCACTTTATCATTCCTACTACCTATTCTCATTAACATAATAAATAAATATAATTATACCTGTATTCAAAATCAACATTGTTGCTGAGGATACTCCGTTCAGGATAGGTAAGTATATTATTGTTACCCTTCATAGTTTATATTTTATATTAATTGTTTCCTACCGTCGTAGGCTGTAATAAGTAATCTAAGTGGTTAGTGGGTATACATTCAGTTGCTTTGTACCCCATTATTTGCTTTATTACAATAGGTAGTTAATTATTGGTGATTTTAAATAACTATGGTTCTGGTTCTAAATTATTGTGACTTGGTAAAAAGTAGACAACTAACCCTTCTCTCGAAACATCCGTAATTGTTACTTACATAATAATTTGAACTTTGTATTGAGGAAACTATGCCCTATGAATTTAGTGGGTACACAAAAAAAGTATGTATTTACTATAAATTCACAGCTTTATAATTAATATTCTAAATTTATATAGGGTCTATGTATTAGGTACAGTTTGTTATTGCTCCAATGTTTCCGTTCATAAAAAAATAAATACGCCCAATTTTTGAAAAGCTGTTGCTCATATGAAAATAACTATATATAACTTATGTATGAGTATACATAAGTTATTTCAACTTATTTAATGAAAATAGTTGCAAAATTGTGGTCGATGGATAGTGCTTGCGCTAGGTTTTGCGGAACCCTGGACCATAGGCACAATTAGACTATCAACTTGGAGGGTACTATGCGTCTATGCCCCCATAATCCCTTTTACACGACTCTTAAAATAAGCAACTACATATTTTATTTACAATCTTACACATAGAAATTTATCATAACTATTTTGACATTATTTCTCATACATACATGAATTACCTATATGTATTCTGTTCAGCTCATTTTATGAAATACATGGATAAAATATTTAGACATTATTATGAAAATGCTTTTCTCTAGGGGTTCTAAAGACTCCCTAGCACTACCTCCCCTATAGTTACGCCTATGCCCTGGACAATGCTTTATTATAACTAATGATTGTACATCTATATAAAAATATACCGAGGAACCAAGTGGCGTACCCAGGAGGAGGGTTAAGGGGGCTTCAGTCCCCCCCATACCCATTGACCATGTCAAAAAACAAACTTTAGAATTGACAAATTACCACTAATAAAATAAAAGCCATTGCATATTTGCTCAACTCATTCGACTAAGTAGAAATAATTGAAAAGCACAATAGTTACATATTTTGCAAAACATTAATTTTTAGTGAATTTTTTTTTAATTTTCCAACTTCGTTGAAAAATTCTGGGTGCGCCGCTGGCAGAGCCCATTAAAACTAAAACAAGTGCGGGGTCTTGGACTTATATGCTATGTTTTCTCCTAGCACAGGCACTGTTGGTGTGGGTACTGGACACCTATATATTATAGGTTGCTTCTGGGTTATTTTAGGTTCGGCTCACTAGTGGTCCCACCTTGGCGCCTTCCATTAAATATTAGGGGGGCTGGGACCGATACATAAGCCGATAATTTATATCGGGTATAAAATCAGTTTTATGCAGTATCCGAAATTTCCATTATTATTATTATTATTATTATTGTTTATTTCTCCGAAAAAATAATGGGCCCTACTGAACAGGTTCGTCTCTTTAGAATTTTGGATTTTTGAATAATGTATTAATAAATCGGATTTTTAACCAATATATTGTTTAATTTTAATATGAATTCATCATTTTCGATTTCAAATATCGCATATCGGTAGCATAGAAGTGTATCGGAATTTTTGGAACAGGTATAATAAGTGGTACGTTCACACTATGTCAATAGGCCAAAAAATGCCGAGTATTGGAAACGAAGAGTGTTTATCTGTGATAAGAAAAAATAAACAAAGTCGATAGAATTCGCATAATATAAAATATTATTCTACAACTTAATAGTAATTGACGAAACATTAAACAATATGATGAACAAATAATATTATTAAAATTAACACGACAAAAAAATGTATAATACTATTGTGTTAGATATTTGTTACCTATGTAGGGTTGTGGGATATTTGTCTCTACTCTAAATAGTTCAACACTATATTAATCGGATTGAGTACTAAATATACGGTCTCCATTCGGTCAGTAAATAAGTCACCTACGTGCAGCAGATGAATGTGGGTGGCGATTAAAGTGATTAACATATTATGACAATGGTACTCAAAGAGGAAATTAATTTTGACTATTCAGATTTAAGAGAGAAAACACGCGAGTAGTCAATTATGGTTGTGATGGCTCGTTAAAAACGTTGATATGTTATGGATTGGGAAAATGCTAAAGATCATAATAATATACAGGATGAATATAAAACACGCGTGTGCACGGCAAATAAGATTTTTGAATTTTCGTTTTTTTTTGTTTATACGTGCCATACAACGATGTGTTTTATAATATATTATTATAATGTACTCGTTTACGTGCATACATTACGGCGGATATTTTTGATCGATCGGTATTATGGTTTATATATTGTAGTGTCATAATAATAATAATAATAATAATAATAATATATTATAAAATATAATCGTTCGCACTTCGGGTATTGTCGCCCACGTTCGAGGATTCGGCGTTGCTGTACGTCGGCGGAGTTATCGCGTATCGTTATAATATACAGCGGCTAAAGGTTTTCCTTGTTTTCCACCGTGCGGGGGCGGTTGCGCGCGTGACGTTTGCGCGGGGGCGGTTCCGCGTTCGCGGGTCACGGGCGAATAGGCGGCGGCCGCGGGTGGCGGTCGGGTTCCCGTTCGCGCGGCGGCACTGCCGCAGTCACCGTTCCGAGGGACCCCCGATCGATCGAGTCGAACGGACCCGCACGCGCACTCGCGCCACCACCGTATAGCCAGTCACCGGCGGACGCACTCGCACACACGACCGGCGGGGAGGCGCACGCCCGCGCCCATACACACACGCACACACCCAGACAGTCCGGCGATTGCACTCACACACGTATAAACGCGCGCGCGAAAGCTCATACGGCAGTGCCTTCTCGTCGTCGTCGTCATCGTCGTCGTCGTCGCCGCCGCCGCCGCCGCCGCCCAAAAACTGTTCGTCCTGTCCTCGTCGCATATTATATAATATCGTGTACACGATACGTTTACAGTACTGCTGCGACCGTAACCCAGGGGCGCGCGCGCAGCCTGTGTAGGAGTGGAACACGTCGCGAGCAAAGGAGAGAACACCGCAGATATCAACGACTCTCGTCTCGTCAGCCGCGGCCGACAACGCTGCCGTCCCAGCATCGCAAACGTTAGCTGTCTTGGACCGTTCTTTCCCCCCGCAGTAGTGCCTGTACGCTGTTCAGTGTCCGCTGGACGCACGAGACGCACGGCGTTCACACGACCAAAGTACTGCAGCACAGCAGCGGCCTTCGTCGAGTTCCGATCGCTCACCGGGCAACGAAATGTGAGTACCGCCGATGCACGTCTATAATATTATTATACCTAATCGATGAAAATCGATTTCATGATCATCGTTACGAATCGCTCTGTGCTATAACATAATGCGTGCATGACGATGCGACCATATTTTTACTATATAACGGCATGATAGTGACGCCGTTCATTCGAACCGCTCGTGCCAAAAACGCCCTTATGTACGGTTAGCGCGGCGGAAAGTGTACCATACTCCGACCCCTCCCGTTCCGACCCGTCCAACATCGACCACCATCCTTCGCCGGCCCCCCCCGCCCGGCGGTATCGCGCGACGATTCTCGTTCCCGGCGGCCCGCGCCCGTCCGACACCACGCGTACCTGTGCACAATATACTTAATCTCCGCGCCGCACGACTCGCGTAAAATCGTATATTATATTATTATCGCGGACAAACGACGCGGTTTTTCCGGACGACTCGTCGTCTCGCGTATCGGGCCCACGCGAGTTTTCTTCCGCGTATTTCCCGCCCCGCGGCCGGTCCCCGCCGTTTTCACCATCGATTTATCAGCAGGGAGGCGGTGGCGGCGACGACGACGGCGTCGTGCGTATAGGTCAACCGTGTTCCGCCGTCGTCGACTGCGTGCACCACAATACCCGTACCGAGACTACCCCGTGGGGACGGATTGAAGTCAATAAAAAATCCGTCGCGAATTGCAACAAATGTAATTATTATATTATATTGAATACGGCGCCTTATACAGACAGCAAAAAAAAAAAAATACCCAATCGATTTTATTCGCTGTAAAACGGTGTCGCGTGAAAAATTCGAGCGGGGGAAATTAGAATTTCGTCGTCATATTGTTATAGACAAGATTTTAACTTTTAACTCGGTCGGATTGGCCGGGTTGGCCGGATCGTATGCACTTTTTACCCACGCACAATGTTTCATATTTGATAATTTTATTTTTGCGTCTTTTTTTATTATTTTTTATATCCACTTCAGGTCGGCGGCAGGCACGTTTTTCAGAAATCCTGCACGTCGCCTCTGGTGTTTGTCGTATGATAAGTAAGGATGGGCCCAGTGGTTAAAGTGGGCGGGGGTAGGACGTAAAGATGGAGGGCTCTAGTCTTCGGAGTCCGGGATGACGGTTTATTTATTGTCACCGAGATATTTTCAATGCAATTTTAAAAACTCTGACTAGTTTTATTACGAAAAATACATTTTTTAATATCTATCGGATTATGCATACAATCAGACTTTTTAGAGGGGTGGGGTCGGTGCAGTTTATCTGTGAGCCTTACTAGCATAACATTATAGTGAACGAATATGTGTGGAAGAAAAACGTTTTGAAAGTCTTTTACCCGTGTGGGTTTACTGATGTAAGTTCGGTTGCGTTATGTCAGTTCGCGGGAACGCCCCTAAGTTTTGGTAAATACAGTTCTCCCTCGAAGTTTTTTCCACTTTAATCACCGCTACCGATATAAAACCGATTGAAATTAATAACCGATTTATTGTTATTATTTTTTTTTTTAATAAGATTTCATAGACGTTTCTCCAAAAATATTTCGGCAATAAGTGATAATTAGGTGCACATGTTAAATCGGTTAGATTGTATCGTAAATATATATATATTTTTTTTATCTCTATTCCTTTATTCTATTTAAATGTTTTTAATTTCGGAGGTTTCGGTAATTGATTTACTATCCGTGGAACATTTTTATTTCCGCCCGACCCTCGGGCGTTTCAGATTTTATTTCACTCGAGAACACTCCGATTGAAGTTACGAAACTGCGCCGGGTTTTACAAAGATTTTACAAGTTCATTTTTAACGAATTCGACACGGCGTGCCTGTATTCGATCCCGATCTCGACGACCTAAAAATCACCCGAAACGTTATATCGGTCAGACGAACTTTGTACACGCGCACCTATATAATGTCGTAAATAAATATGCTGGCGTACGGTGAACTAAATAATATTTCGAGGCGGCGTTGAGTGTGGGCGCGGGCGCACGCGTGCGCCTGTGTTCGTTTATAATATTTAGGCGTACGCTGTACAAAATACGCATATAGGTACCCCGGAAGTGATTGATAAAAAGAAAAAAAAAACCGTTTAAATTTACGTGGCGCCGCACGAACGGGCAAAAAATATATAGGCCAAACGTGGTTGAAGTACCTGCATTACCGCACAGGAAGTCGAGCGAATCGAACGCGAGGGTCCGGGCCGAACTTTATGCGATGTTATACCGGCACTTTAGTATAGCGTATAGACATGATTTTGAATAGGGGGGGGGGCGGTAGACTAAATACGTTCCGCTTGAATCCTTGGCGGGTTCGGGGTACAACCCTCCTCGCCCACAACAAATTTATAAAAAGCGTTTTCGTCAATGTAATAATTTAGACATAAATCGACAAAAAAAAAGAAAAAGAAAAGAAGGTTAATAATAATTATGAAATGAACTTGTAATGTATATATATATTACAATTATTACATATAACGTCTTGTCATATTATATTGTAACTATATTTATTACACCCACATGCGGCTGCATCCTCCTAGGAAAATTTTGTGCGAGTAATTCTAAAAGACTTGTTTTTTATTTATATTAACTATCGTGTACCCACGGTTAATCTATTTTCCAACATTTTAAATTCTTATTTTAAACAATTAAGTTCACTCAGGAGTGGAAGAAATAACTGTAAACATAATCAATACTCAGACCGTAAAATACCATACATAGGTACATAACCTGCACCGTCTCCTTAGCTTCCTCCTTTGGTCACGTCACTGTGGCACCCGGTATAGGGAATATTTTATTCATTATCTGTTAGTAATATTGTTGGTGTTAATATGCATCGGTTTGACGATAAAAATGAGAATAAATCTAAGACTGTGTGCTTTTTTTTACAGGGCCGATGGAACGGGCGCTGGACTTACCGCTGGAGATGACACTGTGGTCGGAGGGCCCAAGACACCACAGCAAATCGCGGCGCAAAAGCGACTGCAGCAAACACAAGCCCAAGTCGACGAGGTACGTTTGCGAATACCCGGAAACGGACACAAACGATGATTCGTTTGTAATTTGTATTATTATTATTTTTTTAACGTAACGTTGTCGGACGTTCGTTTTTGTTAGGTGGTGGACATCATGAAGACAAACGTAATGAAGGTGCTGGACAGGGATCAAAAACTGTCCGAACTGGATGATAGAGCAGGTTAAACTAGTTTTTATAATAATTATAGTACATATACGCATTATATCTATGTATTAATATTACTTTTTGTTTTGATTTTCTGGTTCATATATAGACGCTTTACAGCAAGGTGCATCGCAATTTGAACAACAGGCTGGAAAACTGAAGAGAAAATTTTGGCTACAAAATTTAAAGGTATGTACGTGCTATTAAATTTAATCATGATTACTGATATGGATAACACTTGTTTAAATGCTTATTGTTCAAATCGATAACTCGATGGGAACAATAACTATTGGTTTATGAGAGTAAAGTTGGGTTCACAATTAAAGATTTGTTCGTTGTTTTTTTTTTATGAGAGATTCAGTAATGATCGAATAAAATATAATCTCATATTCTCGGATTAAAAATACTTCCTCCCATATTAACGGATCTATTATTATTATTTTTAACAAATAAAATGAGCAGATACGTAGGTATACTGTTATTTTATGATATTTGTTTTTAATTATGCGCAATTATTGAGTAAACAATATTTTATACAATTATGTGACTAGAAAGACACAGATTCATAATATAATAATTATTATAATTCTATAATACTAGGTATAAACCAGTATAATTTATATTCAAACGTTAATATAAAACTATGAATTTTGACTTAAAATATTAAAAAACTGACCTAATTTGTATAAGTATTCATTTTATAACGAGACACTAATCTATGTGTTTTTAAACTCGATTATCAATGAAATTCGACGAATATTATAACAATTTAATACGCTATACAGAAAATAGAATATTTTTAAAAGGCATTAGAACATTCTCGTTCTATATTAATATTGATTTTTATTTGTGACATTTACGAGGTATGCCTACTTACATAGACATTACGGTTTAGATAATGTTAAAGATAAATAAAATGTATTATATGTTGCTTGCTCGGTAAACGAAGATAAAGAATTATTGGTGTGGACTAGACGTGTTTAACAGGATGTAGCCAAATTAAAAAATTAAATTAAATAATAATAACTGATGCGATGATACTTTAGTACATATCTACCTCACCGCTTAACTAAGTTTAAGTCAAATTGTTTTTATATTTTATATTTGTTTAATATGCCAGTTTAATAAGCAATAAAAATGCTCGAATATATTGATTTGTACCTGTTAAGAAAGAGACTCTGCGTTAAAATACAGAGTAGTCTTAAGTACATAATATTAGTACTCATATCCAGTCATAGATGAGGGGATGTGACGATAGCGTTATGTCTATATCAGCGTTTCCCAACCTGGGGTTAATTACCCCCCAAGGGGTAAAACACAATTTTTTGAGGAGTAAAGACTACCTAACCTAAATAATTATTTTTTAATTTATGTACTTTATACCTATATTATTATTAACTCTGCATCATTCATGTGTACTACGATTGCAATTGTTTTTTTTCTTTTGTTGAGAGAGGCATTTATTAATTTCTAACCTGATTTATGAGTAATAGTTTTAAAAAGATTGGGAACCACTAGTCTATATCCATACCTAAAGAACGTATTGTAGATTAATATAATATTTACTTAATAGTTGTTCCGTCAAACTGTAAACAAATAATTAAAATATGAATCATCATAATTTCTTATCGACAGAATTTTATGGTCTTTCTACTTAAAAATAAAAACATTGTCTGTATTTATTCAGTTAAATAAGGCATATTATTGTATGTGCCATGGAAAAACAAAACTTTATAACAGTATAATAATTAAAACACACATAGTATAATATATTGTAATATTATACATTTATACGTATGAAGTAACAAAAATAGGTATATATATATATATCTATGTCTAAGTGATACCGAACACGGAGTTCAGGTCTATTCAAGACCACATCATTCTTTGGGGATGGTGTGGCGGTGATGGTGGTAGATGATATATTTTGCAATTTGTTAGTGCACAATAAAATATTTCATTATACTGCTCGTACGCAGTTACATAAGTTCAAAATAGTATACAATCATGATTCGTTTTCTGAGCTGAGCATAGGATTTTATAGCACTCGAAAATTAATTTATATGGATAAAATTTATGAAATAATTAAAACTGAAAAATGTTCAATAGACGTTCGGATAAATGTAAATCGGGGAACAGGTATGCTTATAGCCAAATAGGTGGTAGTGATTACAATACGACTACAATATTTACTTAGACCATTTCAAAACTGACTCGACGCTACTGCTATTGTTGATTATTATACCATTTATATGTTTGTAATATTAAAGCATAACTTAACGAATTTTTCCATTGATAAATATATGACACATTACAAATTATATAACAATTTATAAATTAAAATAATATAGTATAGGCAGCTACAATGTTACAGTTGTCAATTTCTTATGCATTTCTGCATATCATTAATTACGTTTTTGATAAATTTGAAACAGGTAAATTTATTTTCCAGTTAATAATGATTTGTCATTCGTATTTATTTGTTGGTCCTAAATAAAAGACACATTTTGCTGCGTGTTTATGTGGCCATAAAATATAACGTTACCCAAAATAAATATGAAAAATAATACTATTATTATTCGTCCAAATCCATTCGCAAATAATAATATGCATATTGCACATGCATTGTACTACAAATTATATGTGGACTCCTTTTTAATTGCATTACATAATATTATACTATAGTAGTAATTATGAATTAGATGTAATGTGTATAATAGTTATCTAATTATGTTGTTAAATATTATTTAAAATACGTTTTAATTTTTTAATTTCAGATGATGATCATAATGGGAGTAATCGGTCTTGTAATATTAGCCATTATAGTTGGTAAGTTCCAATAAAAAAACTCTTTGATGGCTTAAAAAATGTAAAAGATATCGGGAAGTCAAACAAATTTACCTATTCACGAAAAATAATTGTTTAAAAACGAATACAATATAATATACAATAGAGTTTAATTAAGCATTCCTCAAGTTTCAATTATATACGATATATATACAACGTTATCAGTTAGAAATACACAAAATTAACAAATTAATATTGTTTTTAAAGCTTATTTTTTTATTCAAAGTTCAACTTTAATTTATCCCTAATAACTTTATAAACATAAAATTATGTACTATCTCTCTCTCTCTCTATATATATTTATATATATGAATGATTTTTTTTTTTAGTATTTATTAATTTATCAATATATATGTATATATATATATATATATATATATATAATATATATATGTATATACATATTATATTATGTATGTATTATATATAAATAATTGATGTGTTCAGCTTATAAAAATATTGTTGTCTAGCTGAAATTTTAGGACATTCGTATTGTACTATATAAAGTCGAATATCAATAATATTTCCTAAATATTACTCGTTTATATTATATTGTTTGAATAATACAGTATTATCCATTATTAGAATAATTTGTTTAGGTAAAAAGTTAACGAAATAAAACATAATTTTATTGTGCTATTATTAATGATGTGTCTTGTATATTTGGCGTTGTATTTTTTTTAAAATTTTTTTTTTTTTTTTTTGACTATGCGTGCGGCTACAACACGATTGAGCAAAATTTGCGCAATCGTGTATACTTAAATAGCCATCGAAATACATACACGACTGCGCAAATTTCTCATATATATACACGATTGCGAAAGATTTTAAATGCAACGTATCCATAACGTACTAGTTATACAACCCCAGTGTACGACATAAAAACAGTTAATGAAATAGATGATTATTTTTACATTTTTCAAGATGATAACCATAGTTATAAACATTGTTAATAATTTGTTGTTGCTAAATTGTGATTTTTACACAAAACGCGGTTTGTAATATATTTATTTACACATGGCAACATATCATTTAAGATCTTGCGCAATCGTGTATGTATTTCGATGGCTATTAAAATATACACGATTGCGCAAATTTTGCTCAATCGTTCACCTCTGATGCGTGTATACACCCACGCAATAAAAAACACTATCTATACAATATTATGATAAACCAGAGAAAGATATCGTCTACCGAAATTGTGGAACATATATTTTTTTTCTTTGAAAAAAAAAAAAAACACTTACATACATAATACTATAATACATTATATTATACTCGTACATTTTTTGTACAAACATAATAATACACAACGGATAATCATGCTTTTTTTTGTGCGCTTTATGTTTTTGTGTGCCGTTTATTTTCGTTTCATTCCGATCATATTATATTATGACGCGTGTCTTATGCATTTTGTTTCGACAATCGTTGATACCTACTTATAAATTACCTACTTGCAACATAATTCTTGTTGAAACAATCTAACTCGAACACTCTATTCTTTTCGGTATGTAATTTTATTTCAATAGGTAATTTTTATTTTTTATTTTTTAATTAATAATATTATATTACTTACTTTTTTTTTTTTATTTCTTTTTGCACTATATTATATATCTATTGCTGTATATCACAAACATTAATTTTTTTCTTAACATAACATCTGTAATACGAATTAGAAAATGAAAAATATTTGAAAATAGTATCCTATTATTATTTCTGTCCGTCCATTATATTCAGTAGTTTGGCTTATCACCAGCAATACATTATAACCGTAACTGAGAATATTAAATTAGTTTTTAAAGAAAATAGAAATTCATTTAGGTAACACAAATATCAATTCATTAAACTTTATTCATTAATATTGCCTTTCAGTTTTTTTTTAAACATTAGTAACGCATTTTAAATACCTACTTTAGTTTAATATTATTTGCATGGCTTATGAATATTTTGTGTACACCAACTACAAAAACAGCACAATATAACATTTTATTTGACATTAAATCGACAAACCAACCAATAACATTTACAACGTAACCTGCTATTAGAGAAATTTCGAATTGGTTTTTTCTTTTTATTAGTCGAAAAGTTAATACTGATGATTTTATACATTTATTGTATAACATAACATAACATAACATATTGTAAACAACTTACTATTTAAGTTATCGACACTAAAGTATGTAATAAAATTGAATATGTATTTAAATATAATGTATAGGTATCTAGGTATGATCTCATCATCATTAATACTTACAGTTAATAGCTATATACAATTTAAAGAAAAAAACAAAGTTTTAGGGAACTTATTTCCATAACAATTTTACGATTTTTGACTATTTAAATTTTAAAATATCTGGTGAACTTATTTTTATTCGGTCATTGGATATTAAAAAAACGAAAAACAGTTCTGTGCGAAATTCGGTTAAACATGTTTTAAATACTTTGCCTCCACAGTCATGTCCATGTTTTTTCTTCAATTTATCAAGTTTATACTAACCGTCATGCTAAATATTATAATTGCACGTATAACCAATATGTAATGCGATACAATAATCAATTTATTCATTGGATAAATTTAAAATAATTATCAGTAATATTTTAATAAATTACTTGAATAATAATAAAAAACTACCAATGCATCAATTTAGTGATAAATTTGTTTGTAAAACTAATTGAAAAATTTGGGGTGCTTTCCGCTATATTAAGCACTGCTAATCGTGTCTTTGACCGTTATATTTATGTTAAATTACACCAAATAACTTTCACGTACAGGTTTTGTTAAGGAATTTAAGTAATCTTATCTTCGTGCCGTTATTATGATTACCCATGTTATACATTCGGATAATTAACACATTTTCGAAGAAAAAAAAAAAGAAAGATTGCTGGTAGTTATTACGTAACGATATGTATGTAATAAAATTATTGTTTTTAGAGCAAATTTTTTTATTTTGACTATTATATAGATATAGCATTATTTAATTTTGTATAGTTATGCTGAGTTATTATTTTTTTAAATCAAACATTGTATAATAACACTGTGTTTTTAACATTTTTTGCAGCTTGGTTTTCGGACGATTAAAACATAACAAAATCCGATTTCGAGCCTCCATCACATCATCTAACAACTATCAAAACGTGACTCTTTAATTGATAAAGAAACTAAAGGTGCATAAAAAAAAAAATTATATATAATAATAATAATAAATAACGCTTTGGAAAACTGCCCCTACCCAAAAAAGAAAAAAAAAACTAATCGGTAATGCTCGTTCAAAATACTGGTTTTGTTATACAAATACATATAATTATGTATAATAGTTATACTACTTATATACTTATATAAATATTACTATATTATATATTCTGCAGGGTGATATTTTTTTTATCATGAACCAACCATTTTCTTAGTCGATCGTTTGTATTTATAGATCTGTATCTTTATAATTATAACCGTTATATATTTTTCAAAAAAAAAAAAAATCAAAACAATTTGTATACTACTTAGTTTTAACTTTGTTGTTTCAGTTTTTTTTTTCTCAATTTAATATCTTATGATATTAATTATTTTCTGAAACTATCGTTGCATACTTAAATAATGAATATAATATGTTGCCAAATAATTTGTCGTTTTAAACTTTAGAAGTAGGAACAAATTAAAAAATTATCGATTTAAAAAGTGTAAATATATTATAACTGTAATTAATAACTTCGATGTTAAAACAGTTATAAGTACAAACAATTCACTAAGAATTTGGCTCGCTTTCAAGATACAAAAAAAAAAAAATCACATTTAAGGCATACAATATAAAATCCGTAAGTCGTTTGTGAATATGACGTGGGTATATACATCTGCAATATCATAGATTAAAAATATTTTTATCTATGTAGATGTATACTTTTTTAAACATTGACATTTATATACTGTTAGATTGTTCACGACAAATACAAAATAATAGCATATTATACATAACCTACCGGCTACCAATATTATGACAATATCCTTTTGTAAATATCATTCAAAACTATTTTATATAATGTAAAATATTATGTTTATAATCGCATCATCATATTATTATATTATAGGACTAAAAATTATTAACCGAGTCTATATATTTCTTCGTTAATCGAATTATTTTATTCGAAATAATCGTATTCAATCTTTCATCGAGTCGTAAAAATTGGGTAGGAAGTTATTCTCGAAAACATTATTATACCGACGCTATAATAATATTATTATTATTATTATTATTATTATTTTATGTATACGAAAACTATATAATTTATTGTTGTTGTTTTTTTTTTTTTTTTTTTTGTATTAGAAGTACTGTTTGTATACTCATGATTTTTTATAATATCCGCTTACCTATTTAATTTTTGACATTTTATTATGTATCGGAGCGGGGGTAGGGTACAGTTATAAGCGTAATATTTTCTATACACAAATGGCAATACAATATGGCACATTTGTTTTCAAAATTTAAAATGATATCATCATATTATTATATACGCGTTTAATACCGTGGGTCTGGTATTAAAATATTTTTTATCGACGTTTCTCTAAAATATAATGAGCTTTTCACTTATCTATACCGAATCAAAGGGTCAGTGGATTTAAATTCCTATTTACACCTACAGGTGCGTATCTAAGAAGGTTTTCCGGAAGATGAGGAGTTGACAGCTTTTTTCATAAATACCCTAGGGTCTAGGCTTTATGACCCGTCATACTTTTCTTTGAAAACACTATTTCTTAGCAATTTAAAAAGGGCTGCAACCCCCCCTTATAAACACGCCCTGATATATGATAATTTTCAAGCTACATTACAAGTTAAACGGATAACTATTTAAGTTATAAACAAGTTATACGATTATGTTTCTTCATCCTTCGCCTTTATTCCACACGTGAGAACAGTGTTATACTATGCCACGCCATGCCCATAATTACATCAATTAGGCACATATTATTAATTTCTCTATCTACTCCTTCCTGCACATATCTTCATATCTCCTCTCTAATGACCTCTAATCAATTTTTCTTTGGCCAGCTACTTCTCCGGCTTCCGTCTATATTTAACTCACCTATGCTTTCGACTATTTAATCGTTTAAAATGTCTAAAATTTTAAAAAATATCCATGACGATTATGGCTTTTGAGTAAAAAAATGCTCTATTGTTCATTAGAGTTTACTAAAGTTTTATATATTTAAAATATAATATAACAAACTCAATAATATACTTACATAAGTGCTAATTTGGATGATTTAGGGAAATTGATTAGGGAAAACGTTATATACTAGACCCACATAATGTCAAAAAATGACCTAAGTCGATGAAACTACCTATTAATTGTTGTTCGAATATTTAATTCAACGTTTTAAATAGGAAAATTAAATGTACACAATTACTCGGGTTCGTAAAGATTGTAAAATTCATTACTCGTATAGATTACAAAATAAAAAATAAAAAACTAACTAATTAACAAATATTCAAAATCCTCGTAGAAACGTTTAAAAAAAATAAAAAAAAACGTTAGACGCTATCGAATTTAAACTATGATAAATATAATCAATTTAATCAATATAATATATATATATCATATAAACATAACCAATTATTAATTATATAATATAGTATATTATAAATCATGTAGTATATAAATTTCGAATTTTCACATTTAGTATTTTGTAAATGTATTTAACACTATATGGTATAGGGACTTCAAGGGACATGTTTTACTCGTATAACTGCATTTGGGGCTTGTGACCGATAAACGAAGTAGGTATAACGGTCGTCCGTCAATATACGCATATAATATCGACTTGAATCATTTTTCGACATTATAACCGTATATTAATTATGTAATTGTAAAATGTAAACCTACGTTTCGGCCACACTAACATTCGTAACGAGGAAGTCTGTTATTATTATAATATTAAAGGTATACAACGCGATTTGTGCTTTCTCGTCTATACTTTTCATGAATGCCTTTATATAAATAAATTGTTATAACAATAATCATAAAAAATATTATGTAAGGGTATATTTTGTCTCCAGTGTTATATACTATTATAATATTATATAGTAATTATTTATTAAAATATAAAATACATAATAATATTAATTATTGTAAAATTATTATACAAAGGTGAAATTAATAATATTATACATTAATGATTAGCATAGCAGGTACCTAGATACATATATGCACCTGCTATGCGTATTACATATTATTGATTATATAGGAAGAGAGAGTATATATGTGTAATATAAATATACTCTCAAAATATGGTTCTCCCGAAGACCGATAATATTATCGCAGTAAGTATTTGGGATTAGTATTGTTATTGTTTTTTTTTTTCAAAATGCGTAACACTAAAAAATAATTCATATTGTATTGCGGTGTCGAATAGGTATTATATCGTTTAATAATAACTGAACGTCCGACAACAGTATAATTGGGCGTTGAAGTGCGTTTTGGGCGATGTTCGCAACCCCCGGTGGATGTCATACGGGCATCAAGTATCAAATTCGTAAATTATAGTTTCACTTGTTTTGCAGTGTTCAATGACGCGATTACATCGATTTTGTTACGTCATTCTAGAACGGCATCAGCACTGCAATCGCCCCCAACAAAACCCCGATCCCATCCATCGATGCTACGATGACGGTTATACGGTAAACAACGTCCGCTATAGCGCCTTTGTAGTCCTACACCCATATATAGGTTACATTATAATAGTGAATTCACACCTATTGTTTTATATTCTATATTAATACATATTATACAGTTGAAATAAAGCTGACTTTCCGAAACGTTTTGACCCGAATGAGCCTCTAATATTATAATGTGAAGAGACTTTAAAGATTTAGCATTCGACAGCTTTTGTATACGTTTCGAGTAAATATTGTCAGGGTCTTATTTTTATTACCCTTATTAAAATTATGAAGATAATTTTGTTGGTTATTTTATTAAAATGCTGATTATAATATTTGTTGATGGTTATTATGATTGATGGTTGTTATAAGTTTTTATTATTATTGTTGATTTTTATTATTAAAAGTATTGATGATTGTTATGACGCTGAAACGATTATTATTATTGTTGCTGTTTATTAAGGCAGATGACTTGTAGCTCTAAAAAAAAAAAAAATAACTATGCAAGCACTTATGCACTTAAAAACCCTATAATATGCACTAAAAATATGCTTATATATATTTTTTTTTATAAATAATCTATTTAAAATTGTATGCATCATTTTTTTTACAAAATTGTTAACAAATTTTAATTTCTTGAAAATTCTTTTTCTAATCCTAAAAATAAAAAATTTCGTGCTTACTGTTAAAATAAGATTAATCTAATCAGCGACCCTCGAGACGTGTTTCAAAGAAAAATAATATTATATGATTATAAAAGAACCATAATGCGTACGATAAAAATTTAAATAATTTTAAATTCAACAATATTTTGGTTGTATATAAAATTAAATTAAAATGTCGACAGAAAAAAAGAAATATGCTCTAAAATAAAAAAAAAAATAGCCGATACCGGAGATGGGAATGGCTACTGTTGTAGGTGAGAATTTGGAAAGTTAAGATACATATGGTTATTTCATTTATATCTGTAAGCAACGATAAACCATTGTTTAACGCAAGACTTATAAAATAAGTCAACAATAATAATAATCAGCATATTTATAATAACCATTAATAATAATAATAATAATCAACAACAAATACCCTTATTAAACTTATTATTATGATAGTTGTTGATTATTATTATTATTATTGATGGTTGTTATAAGTATGCTGATTATTATTAATGTTGACTTATATTATTAAATGTATTGGAAGATTATTATGATGCCGATTATGATTATGATTTTTAAAGTGCTCATTATTTTTATTTTAGATTCTGAGTGAATAATTTATTGGTTTTATAAAAATGTTATATTTGTTATTTTTCAATTTTCTCTAGAGTTTTCTCGTCAAATGTGAAAACTATATAAAATGTGCGTATTGGTTAAAAAATATTACGGCTTTCTTTTTTCTAGTAAATGACTTTTCTACCATCAATTTTGCTCCGATATATTATGAAAGCAATTTTTCCAAAAGGAAATCTAACCGGGAAGGTTTTTCAGGCAAGCCATTTTTCGATTTGTTTAAGAGTTTTCCCAGCAAATGTGAAAAACCGGGAAAAAAATATGGGAAAATCGTTACATTAAACAAATATGATTAAAAAATATATAAAATGCCTATTTAATTATTTTACCATAATATGACATATTATATATTGTTAATGAAGCATCAACTGAACTCCACTCAGAATCGTTTTTTTCGTTTGCCATGGTTTATCGTTGCTTACAGGTATACATTAAATTATCTATAACAGTGGTTACACCCGATCCCATAGGCAGCTTTTTTACCATAGCATAGCCATTTATAAAATAGTTGTTGGACAAAAAAACATTCCATTATTATAAAATACAATACAACAAAACCTACGACGATGGCACAAACATCTTTGACTCAATATAACATTAGAACATAACACAAATGTATAATACTGGTTCGGTATCTTATCTAGTCATCTCAAATGAATGTTTTAATAAATTTCGATATTATTTAGAAATTTTGGGAATAGGTACATAAATATAATATAGCATATTATCGTGTTCGTTACCGCAATAATAATACCCAACGTCGGCTCACCGTCCTAGTCCCGAACTCACCTACATACAAGAGGAACGAATTTTACACATTGAAAGAGGTAGGTGGTCGCCGTCTGACGATTACTATTAAACACTAGATTTAAAGTGTAACGATGAAGCTATTGATTTTACAAAGGTGTGTAATGCTTTTTTGGTTAGTAAAAACGATCCAAATTTTTCATGTACCTTAAAAGATGCGGATTTTACACCAGGTGGTACTTTTTAAGCAAACGTTTTCTAGATCCCCAACCGAATCACCCAAAAAATTACCAAATCTCTTAATTACAACTAAAGTCTTTAACTGGTATTTTTATTAGTCAACTAATTAAGTCTTTATTTCCAACACATCCTTAATAATCACGTAATCAGTTTTCAAAATTGAAATCCGTCAAACACAACTTCTACAGTTTTGTCTGGCATTTGAACCGACTAAAATATACACCGTCACTAATCCCCTTAATTTAATTTTGTACAATCTTATAAAAACCCTAATCCAAAATCCTTCGGGTTTGAGTAATTGTATTTACAGATGAAAAAAACAAATTTTTATACACATAAAAAACAAACATTTTTCCGACTCGGCGGTTGATGATATACACATGAAATTAAAATTCAAAAAAAAAATTACGTGCTTCGACGAGTATGGTAAATATATGGAAGGAACAGTGAGATCCATCAGACGTATTATGCCGTCAGTTGTACGGGGGTGGCTCTCTGTTGTTGTTGGCGCCCGCTGGCAGCGGATGGTCTACGGATCGGTAAACTGCCGTTCGATCTCGTCGCACTGTTTTCCCAGCGTTTCCGGCAGTCGAACGTATACGTAGACGGCCATGGTCAGTGAGACGGCGGCGAACACGGTGAAAGCAACGGCCACCGAGCCACCGCCGCCGCCTACGTCGACCGCTATGAAGTATGGGAACGCCAAGAGCACGACGAACATGAGCACATACGCGAATGACACGAGTGCGGCGCCCACCACGGCCCGGGACGTGACGGGCAACAGTTCGCCGACCAGCGTCCACGGGAACACAAGCACGCCAGCCGAACTGCCGCACGCGAACGCTACGATTCCCACTAATGGCAGCAGTGGCAGTGACACCGGCGTCTTGGTCGGGTCATCGTCGTACTGAAACTGCAGTTGCAGTGGACTCGCCGTAGGTGAACACGTGGCCGCCACTAGAGCGGCCGAACACGCCATGACCAACGCTGAGGCGATCAACAGCCGCCGTCGGCCGATGTGCGGCGATAGCGTGCACGCCACCACGCTGGTCAACAGCCTGAGCACTCCGAACGCGATAAGCGTGTCCATCTGGGACGGGCCCGTCTTGGTGTCCGTGCAGCCGACCACTGACCGGAAAACGGGTACGGAATAGAACAGCGCGGGATAGCAGCCGCTCAGCTGTTGCAACAGGAACACAACGGCTAGCACGGTCGCCGGTCTGGTCACCGAGGTCGGCTGTGGCGTACACCAACACCACCACCACCATCGCACCCGACCGCGACGTTTGCCGCGGTCGTGGGTCGACGGGTTGACCACGCGAAATGACGTTAGCGTGCAGTCCTGCACCGTTATTGGTGGCCTATAACAAGGCGCAGGCTGCCTCCAGACGTGCATTATTCGGTCCCATTCCTCCGCGAACACCTGTCAAACGGAACAAAACGTATTATTTCGTTATACAAATGGGCACGCCGAATTATAAATTGTTAAAAAAAATAGTAATAATAATAACAATAGCAATAAAAATAACACGTACCTGGTCGTTTCGCGGGTATATCCTTTTCAGTGAACACCTGGCTTCGTGCGCCCGGACGGTACCGAACCTGATCAGCCAGACCGGGCTCTCCGGCAGAAAGACCACCAAGAGGGCCATGGTGACGGCGGTGTAAATTAAAAACGTTATGTTGACGACGTGCCACGGGAACAGAGATCCCAGGGCCGTGGCGAACAGCACGCCTACCGAGAAGAACACGCTGTTCAACGATAACAGCACTTGTTTGTACGACGCGTGAGCTATTTCCGAGACGTAAATGACACTACCGATCGTCATACCTGAAAACCGGAGATATACCTCCGCATTACCGTCATAGGTCTGAAATGTAGTTCGCGAATAAGTAATATAATGACTGGTTGTTATTACGTCTATAATATCGAATAATCGTTTACAGAGAATTAGCGTAAAATATAATGACGTTTCACCACTGTCACCACTGCGAAAACGTCACAAATAAGACGATATTCAATATGGTGAATGGTTTATGGTTTTTGGTAAACCGACGGGGTACACTGCATTTGGTATAGCCGGAAGTCCTTACGGGCGATCGGCGTACAAATCACTTCAGGCCTAATCGTTTTAGATTTTGAGCGAAACAAATGGTTTTACAATGATGTTTATTTTATTTTTTCTGTGGACAACTTTTCTACCAGAGATCTGGCTTCGATTTTTAAGTGTAGCATTTTTTCTGAAAAGAAATTGGTGTGTGGGAGGTACTTTGGGCCATTTTTCGACTTTTTCAAAAGTTTTTTCAGGACTCTATACACTTTACTGGAGGGATAACATTTTACATTATAATATAGTGAGTAAATCTACAATTTTTCGGTGCTCATTACCTCCGCCGATGCCCGCGAAAAATCTGCAAGCGTAAAACAAACTCATGCTCTCGTGGCCATCTACCGAAGCGATCAACCAGGATATGAGCAGCATGGCACACGTCAGTAAAAGAGCGTTTTTCCGGCCGATCAGGTCCATTATCACGCCGATCGTGATTGCCCCGATCGATGTACTCAAGACTAAGATGCCCGCTATAATAGAAACACGGTTAGGTTTAGACTTCGGCTGGGATTCGGACGAGCCGGCCATGGGGCGTAATACATTCGGGAGGGAGGTTATAGGTTATAGTGCACGTGTAGCCTCACTCTTACCTCACCGACATTTGTTCGGACCACTTTAAAAATTAGTTTGGAAAAAAGCGCATTTTTATTCGGTGCACGTCTACTGTAATTTATAATATGGCTTGCCGTTATTTTATTATCTCATAAATCGAAATCTACGTGCCATTACTAATGGATTATGGTTCGAGCCTTGGGACCCGAGGATCAATATTGGTTGGTGGCTACTGTAGTTTTCGACGAGATTGGTTAAGTTTTAAAATCGATATAGATTCTTACCCGGGGGTCCTTTTATGTATACTTTAAAATATTCGATACAGACGGAAATCGTGAATCATCACGTTTTGACGTTGCGCAAATAAATATTCACTATGTTTTACAGTCAATGATATATTTTTCGATTTACGACTTGAAAATATTACATTTACTCATATTATACTTAATAGGAAGAAAAAAAATTTAACAATCGATCCGAAACGAAATTCACGTAATAGGTATACATAATAATATGTTTAAAGAGAGATCAGCCACTGCCCGCCTGAAAGTTTCCCGGTGAAGGTTCTGCCCCGTGAAAACGACTGAAGGCCCACCGTTCAGTATATTGCGAGATTAAAACCGTTTTTTTATTCATGATTAAAAACCGACTGTTCAACACTTTTAATACAAACGTTATCTCGGAAAAAAAATACGCATTACAAGTTTCACAGAAATACTTTAGCCTCGGGAAATGAATATTGGGACGCGCGCAATAGAATTACTGCACGTTTGAAAATAACCGGTATTGTCGATATTTGAAATACACGTGACTAAAATACGAGGTGTGGCTATTAAATAACGAGACTGGTTACGAAAAAGTGTTTTATTATAAAAGTTATTCTACATTAAAATGCTCCCCTTCAATATACTCCCACCCCTCGTCACACACCGTTTCATTCGTTTCTTCCATTGCTCGAGGCAGTGCTGGAAATCTGTTTTTGTAAGACCATTCAGGAGTTCCGCCGATTTTTGTTTCACCTCTTCCATCGACCCAAACCGGATTCCTTTTAAGGCAGACTTTATTTTCGGAAACAAGTAAAAGTCGCAGAGTGCCAAGTCGACCGAGTAAGACGCGTGTTCGAGTACTGGAGTGTCTTAAGCGGCCAAATAACGCTTCACGCTTTATCCTGGTGCAAGATCCACGACTTGTTTTTCCACAATATCGACCGTTTCTTACAAACTCATTCGCGCAATGTTGCCAAAACTGTCAAATAGTAATGTTGGTTCACAGTTTTACCCTCTGGAACCCATTCTGTCATCACGATGCCGTTGATATCGAAGAAAACGGTTTTGAATTTGGATTACGACTGGATTTGATTCCGGTGCACTCTCGACCTTCAGAAAATAATTTGTGCCACTCAAAAACACGCGCCCGAGATAGGAAATCCTCACTATAGGCCTCTTTTAACAACTTATAGCACTCAGTTGGAGTTTTTTTTAGTTTAACGAGAAAATTTTAAGTTTATCCGTTGCTCTTGTTTTTCGTTTTTGCCGTTTTCGGCAAGAGAAAAAAACATGTTCGTTTCTAAACGCTACAGAAAAAATACTAATGCACCAACAAAAACCCAATTTTGTACTGGCATAATAGACACTTCCAACTAACCAGCGCTGTATTCGGTTTTCCCCTAACCTCTTTGGGACGTTCTCTGCGCGCGCAGTCTCGTTATTTAATAGCCAATTTTCGTAGAGTCCGGAATTAAAATATACATTGAATAACTGTGAAATATGCAAAAACAGAATTATTGCCTATAGAATTTGGTATCAATTTCCCCCGAAAATAGAGTATTTTCTCTGAATTGTGTCTGAGTCTGTTTACAAGATATTCCACGGAGATCTTACAGATGCAATAACTTTTGTTCTGTTCAATATTATCGAGTTTTTTTTCTAACAGTGCCTTACGCAATGACTTCCATTTTACATACTTTTAAAAATAAACATGTATACAAATTTTATTTTACTAAATCCAAGATGGTCATTTTATACACTGATTTCGCTACATTGATTTGGTGTTACAAAATGTTAATACTTACGGCGAGTCGTTAATTTTCTAAAATTAGTCGAAGTTTACAAAAATGTTTTCTCAAGGAAAAATTGGCAAATCAATCAATATTATTTAATATAATATAGAGATGGCAATGGAAACAATTTAAATTATCGTATACTAATAAAAAATTGTGAACAATTAACGATACTTTATATTGTACTTACTCAACCAAGACAGTTCTGATACGTCTGTAAACTCGTAGTGATTCATGAATATACTCGAATAGACCATGTTGATTCCGGGCTGGGTGACCAACATGAAAGCGACGATGCTCACTAATATCTAATTTATATTACATTATTAAAATACACGGTTTAAATATTATGAAACTATAGATGCTTCGACATGCTCAGCATCTAGTATTTATTCGAGAGTAAATTATTAAGAGGGCATGTCGCCGATGATTTTCGTAGGACAAAATATGTTCACGAAAAATAAAGGATAAAATACCAATATCATTAAAATACAAATATACTTCGCACGATGGACGAGCTACTGTTGTAGTTGTTGAGTCGGAAAAGTAAAGGCTAGTTTAATTTATATTCGTACACGCGAACAAAAATTACTGTGACACAAAAACGATTCTGAGCGAAGTTCGGTTTGACCCATTTGGAACAATTGGCCGGGGTTTTTTTTTGTCCCGAAATTTTAATCATTTTTATGAGGTCATACAAGTTTTATCCATGTAAAACCAAATAAAATTAAAAATTGTTACTATTCTAAAATTAGTACGATAGAAAGAAAAGTGCTTGGAAAAATATTTGGACCAGCGCATAATACGAAAACGAGAGCTTACGAAAGAAAACATAATGCTGATGTGCCAAACATATGTGAAAGACCTACCATTTTATCTTTGAGTAGAAGTAAAATGATATAATGGTTCCGGCATGTTTGGAGAGCAGATGGAAAAATAATTAAACAAGTAACAGAAGAAAGAATTACGGGCAAAAGACTTCTAAGAAGGCCCAGAACACGATGGGAAGATGTGGTGAAAAAGGATTTAAAATGGTCAGCGAAAATAAACAAATTGAGAAGACATATGACGGGAACCGATGGAATGATGTTGTGGCGGCAACGATGAGATTTCATGACCCGCTGACTATTAAAGAAGAAGAAAACCAAATAAGAGCTAAAAAAAACTCGACAATTTCACATAGCACTAAATAACTTATAAAAAAAAAATTCCAGAATGCTTTGAAAACCGTATCATATCTAGAAAATGCTATTATAAATATTCGGTTTAAATATTCAGATTTCAACAAAAATTTTACCCGAATTACCTACTACTATAAAAATATATGCATTTATTAATTATAATATCACAGAAACCGTTATTGTACACGTTTTCCCAGTTATTAAGAAAACTCAAAAACGAACTCTTTAACGCACATAATAGATGAAATTTTCTTTCAGAAACCACTCCAAAAGTAGATGATCGGAACAAAATTGTTTTTATTGAAAGTACAGACAGAAAAAAAAGTACATTGTAGTAGTGGGCGATATTTCTGAGAGAACCTCGACTGTGTTTTCAAAATATCAATCTGCAAAGTTCTGAATCTTCAGAATAAGAGTTTAAAAAATATATATTTTTACATTTGTGGTATCGAACTATAGGATGTATTGCACACGATATATATTGAGAACGTATATTAGGTTCCCTCGGAAATATTCATCTGTTTTACCTCTAAAATCACTTTGAATGATACTTTTTTCTCCATTTTGCGTAATGGACATAGCTTTTTTTTTTACGGTTATATTATATTACATTAAAAATACTTGTTATAATTTCACGAGGATCTATCTACTACGAGGATATCTAGATACTATAAAATTTATTTTAAAATTAAATTTGAATATTAATTTTAAGTAGATCAATATTTACATGTTCAAAAATAAAATTTCGTTAAAATTGCCTATTCTTATCCCCTTAAATACCGCATTGCGCGCGTCGGCCTCTTAATAATCGGGTTTACGGATTAAAAATGATTAATTAACCTGAGGGGAGAGATGAGTCCATGAAAGTCGTTTGTTTGCCGTATTATACTCTTCGTCGCGGTTTATTACGATTCCATTTGATTGGTACCTATTAAAAATAGAACATTATATATGTATAAAAAAAAAGATATACTGATATTACATCAAAACGCCTTTTAATTACCGATTATAGGTAATGAATTCAAACCACAATCATAAAAGTTTCTATTTAAGATTCGTAATATTACACTTTCTACTTTTTTAGTGATAAAGTTTGTGGTTAAGAAAATAAAATACATCGAAGTTACCAAAATGTTCGTTCAATTTTATGAACTTTAAAAAAAAAAAAGTAAATACTTTGAAATATTACTTTTTAAATATAAATTGCACGTATTATGCACTAATTCAGTGACACACACTCAAAATTAAATTATCAAATGAATTCGAATGGCTTGTATATACAACCAGCTTCCCCTCACCAAATCGCTCCGATTGTAACGTTCAAAATCGGTGACCGTTTATATTTTGTATACAGTCGATTTCTTCGTGATGTCTAACGTAACGTATAGGCCAGCGTTTCCCAACCGGTGTGCCGTGAGCACTCTATGGGTGTGCCGCGAAATATCATGATTATCAATAAACGTTTACTAAAATTCCGATAATAGCTTAAAATATATTAAACGATTCTCTTATAGGCGATATAGGTAATCTACCTGATTGTTAAAATCTTGAATTCTTGATAAATCGTTGTATTTACTAAAAGCTTGGTTAGTCGTTAGTCGTCCGTCGTGAAGCAAATTTAGTCATCATACTAACATTTTTATTTAAACCAAAATTTATTTTATAAGCCCTTTTTATTCATTTTAAACAGTCTACACCTGCTTTATACAAATATTAAATAGTATTTTCCATCTCTGGACGTTTCATCAATGGACTCGGTAAGAAATCCATTCATGGATTCTGCTTACGAGACTGCATTGTTTACCACAGATGAAGAAAGTGAATTAAATCGATATTAAAAATCACCGTAGTCTTAAGCTACAGTACTCTAAATTAGTTGAAAAAAATCAAAATAAATGTAGATATCTCATATTTTTGGATACATCTGTTAATCGAGTATCCCAAGATTTCAAGGAAAACTATGAATGCTATCCTGCCATTTTCTATATCCTATTTTTGTGAAGCAGCAATCTCTTAAATGAATGCCATTAAAACCAAAAATCGATCACAACTGAAGAACTCAGAAGACGACATGAGGGTATGCTTGTCAACCATTCGACCACGAATAAAACTTATAATGAAGTAAAACCAGGCACAAATTTCTCATTAGGACTAAATTTGTATAAACTAATCTTAATATATATGTTTTTCCAAATCATTAAATTTAACATTTGTAATAAATTGAAATATGATTTTACATGAATTTTCGTAACCTAAATAAACACATAATTTAAAATTATTTACTAGTAATTTACTGATTTAAAACTATTTTGGTATAAATATAGTAAAATCCTAATATAAAAAATACAAAAATATATACATGTATAAGTCAGTGTCAAGTGTGCCACAGTTAAATGTAGGTTAGGATTAGTGTGCCGTGAGGGGAAAAGGTTGGGAAACGCTGGTATAGGCATTTTTAAGCCACCACCACTCACCCACCGACCAAATTATTAAAAAAATATCACCACTTACATTCAACATTGTCATTAAACAAAAAAATTGTAGATGAACCCACGTATTTAAAATGAATTCTATGTGATAATTATACGACAACAATGCAACTCTGTGTTTCATAGTGCATCCAGTTTCGTAAACTGTAAATGCATTTGATCGTTGTCACTAGTTAAATTTTATCAGACGAATGCGATCGACGCACAATAAATTGCTGTTGTCAATTGAATATATAATATTTGAGTATTTGACTATTCGAAGTCAGCGGGCAGTTTTCGTACGCGACAATGATTGTTTTGATGTAAACAGCGAAATTGAACGTTCGGATTCGGTTAACTTCGTGTGGGTAGAAAAAATAATAAAAAGTTTTCGCCATAAAAATCTGCATCGTTTGAATTTACCGCGAACCGGCCGTTCAAAATGTCTCGACCGTTGTGACCCGTCGCGCGTGTAGGAATTCAGTGGCGTAGTTATCATAGGGCAAAGTGAGGCAGTGCCCCGGGGTCCCAGAGCTCAAGAGGGGTCGGTGTTCACGGGCGATTTATTCTGAAATTACTTCCGCATAATAATTTCGAATTTTGATGCATTTAATAGTTTATGTTCCAAACCGTACGCGGTAATTCCGGTCAATCACAGTCAGTAATGTTAAAATAATGTATAATAATAATACATACAATAACATGCAATGAACGGCATCGCATAGTATCAATAATAATTGTATCATAATCACCGAATAAAAACGGCCGAAATAACAATTACCGCGTACGTATATAAATTGTTATACTGCCGAGTCGACTGTTATCAAACACGAATATTTTCGTATCAGTAACATTACATTTATTCAGAGGCGGACTGGGACTAAAATTGTCACCGGGATTTAGATCTAGAGTGGTGGCCACATAAGCATATTGTTTATACACCAAAAAAAAAGTAGATTCTCCGATTATTTGTCGAATTTTTTAAAATTTAGATTGGGCCATAAGTTTTGAAGAAATTTTAAAGCGTTTTTCCAAACTACAAATGGCTGTGTCAATTATAAATTATAAAATACACATTCTCAGTAAGAACTGTTTCGGATTTAATCAACTTCTCTAACAATGGTCCTGCTGTAAATCGCGTCGACGAATTAAATTCCAAAGAGGAAGACATTTCTTCCAAAGTGCCAGGTTTCCCCAGTTGTCGACACGAATTATTCCGATTTGTTTGTGTCACACCTCCTGTAGTTTTTCCACCGTTGCCCGCCGGGCCGTTTCCCGTCCAGCTACGCCACTGACGCAGGTCGGACACACGACCGTTACGGATATTGTGACGCGTACCTGTCAAGTCGTACCGCTTGTAATGTTAATATTAATGTTTCACTCACTGTATTCCGTGCGAAATCGCCGCGGTCCGGTGTTGGCTCGCAAAAGACGAGTAATTATTTTCGAAGAGTAACGGCGTGCTGAACGTACAAGTACCGCTGCCGCCGTCCGTTACCATCTTATCGGCGCAGTCGTATCCGATGAATGAACAACAAAGTCGTTCATGCGTCTGACATGTACCCGACGCACAGCTCGCACACGCACACGAATCGGATGAGTTTTGTATTTTGGCGTACTTTGATATCGTGTTACAGAATACGGTAATATTACTATGTACGCGTTCCTTATCTGGTCGGTTTGATTAACGATATTGTAATAGGTGGGTACCTGTAACATCGATGTAGATTTAATGCACGCACAAATAAATAAATAAATAAAGTGAACTGTGTATACCTACGAACATCACGGACGAAATGTAATGCGTGCGCGTTATTAAAAATCTATTGTTGGTCTTTTCGTTTCGTTTCGTTTTTTTTTTTTCTTCTTATTGTGATACTAAAAACGCTATCTATGTATTATTATAATATCATTGTATTGTAAAACTGATAATAATATTATATAAATAATTATAGACATTGCCCAATTAACGCTGTCAATGAAATAATTTATTGAATACAACCTAATAATAGTATATATTAATATAATTAATTAATTAGTTAATTAATTAATCATTGCATAATAATGTTACGTACAGCAACGTTGCCTTTAAAATATTATAATTATCTCACATTCGCAGCGCCTATGTAACTTTAAATAAACCGAAAACCGTATACTACTAAATACTAATTAATATATAAATTATTACGATTAGGATCCAAACATAATAAGCATGATTGAGTAATCATAATAATAATACGCAAAAATAAAAAAAAAAACGTATTTTAAATAACAACAATAATATTTTCTTTATCGTTTAGAAAAGAAAAAAGATTGTCCGATTAGTAATTATTAGGGCAGAAGACTTGTAGCATTTGCATAGTTATTTTGCACAATCACAAAATTAGCAGAGTTCAAATCAAATACGTTTCATGCTTTTACGAAGCTAGTTTTGAAATTTTACCTTGCATATAAATGCATACTTAGAGTATATTTGTTTTTTTGTTTTAGGGTATGTTTCTTTCATTTTATACTTTTAGATAATTTCAAATAATTTATCATTTTATCAATATTATTTTTCCGTTTAAATTTCATCTAGCATAGGAAGGAGTTAGGCGTACGAATTAATAAATCACGATATCGTCTAACTTTTTAAAAATCAGTCATAACGGTATTTTTCAAAAATTATTATTTTGCAACCATTTTAAATTGTTAAGCAACTCCTCTTTCTGCACTAAACCGTTTTAAATGCATTTAAAACACAGAAATAGTAATCAAATAATGATTTTTTTTTATTCTTTTAAGAATTTAGAAATTTAAATTTTAAATTTAATTATTAATTTAATATTAAAGCGTATTATTTAAGTTGCTAGCGAATTGGTTACTCATAATTTTTTCTCCAAAATCTAGAAACAGAATCCTTTGGAATGAAGAGTTTCAGATGTTTGAATTCATTCATTTTTCAACTCATTATTGGAATCTTTTGTATACACAGCTGCTTCTTGGGTAGCTTAATAATCGAAATATTTTAAAATCAAAAAAATCGAATAATATTTTTCACAACACAAACTCAGATTAAGAATATATCGACTCAAAATGACACAGATAAAGAACGAGATGAAAAACTGTTAACTGATAATGCGATAAGATCTAAACAAAAACCTAGTGATTCCATACAAAAACAACGTTGTCGCAGTAGTTTATTAGGATATTTAGCACAGAAAGGGGACTTGTCCTGGACTTAATCCTGTTTTGATGTCCTAAAGAAAACTATGTTTCCCCATGATACCCCGTTTCCACCGAGTACCCATCATAGTTAGAGCCGTTCTTACAATGTCCGGTTAAGTGATGGTAAAAATGTCGGTTGCTTCTCGAAAAATGTTGTTTCGTAATTACAATATTCAGTTTTGACATATCATTTTCGTAGTCTCAAGAATTATTTTCAATCAAACCGCAGTTACATATTGCTCTTTTCATAATTCTGGCAATAAAATAAAAACAAAACAAAAATGTATACACTATACAGATAAACTCAAGATAAACTCATAAAACACAAAATTAGTAGTACAGAATAAATTATTAGTAGTCACAATAATCATAAAAAGTATTGATGTACCTAATGGTAACACAATCCGAGAGATTTTAGCTTTAAGGGGCGTGCGCGTGACCGGTTTTGTTGCTCAAAAAAATGCCTTCCAGAAAAAACTCTCACGCTTTGTAGAGTGATCAGATTTCGATAATTTTTTTTTTTTTTTGTTAGCTAGAGGAAGACTTCTTACAGGGCGCATTGGACTTGAATTTTAAAAACTATATTTATAAATCCTACAATAAGAGTTTGAATTTTACAAATTTTTACAAGATTATAAATTGCGTAATATTTTCGATTTTAACAATATAATCAAACATCGAAGTCCAATGCGTCCTTTAAAAAATCGTCCTCTTTCTAACAAAAAAAAAAAATATCGAAATCAGATAAATCTGTAAGTAAGAAAAGTAAACTGTGTTTTGAGCGAAAAAATCACGTTTGTAATTTTTTCTTCTCGGTGTACCACTGACCTGTGCGTGCGCGTGTGTAGATGGTCCCGCAACCCGGGCCGTGTTACTCACAGTTATCGCACATCGCGCTGTTCTAGCAATCTATAAATACGCGTTATCTACTAATACTAATAAAGTAATAAAATAAATAGAATACTACTACATTCATTTCCACATTTCCACTTTTCTGTATTATGATTACGCGAATTGTTTTTGATTAGGAACGTAGCTAGGGATCTAATTTTTTTTTTCCTGTCTGTGAACAACTTTTCTACCAGCAAACTCACTCTAAAGTATAGACTAGCGCATCTTTTCTGAACGATAATTTTCTCTAATTTGTGCATTGGGGAGGCCATTTAGAGAATTATTGGTAAAAACGGCAGAATTCCGTCGGTTAAAAACCCGACCGTAAAACCTCTGGTACCCGGCGACTTCTTCCCTAACTGACGTATGTAAGAATCAACTGACGGTTAAATTTCAATATAACTGCCGGTTAGCGCTAACCGACACTTAACCGGACATTGTAAGAACGGGCCTTAATCATTGTTGCCTAGTCATTTTTTTGGGGATATTTCTTTGTTTATGACAACCAAATTAGTTAATAATAACGGTATTTTTTTTTCATTCGTATCACCTAGGTAATCCATAAATCAATAAAAATAAATAAATTTTCGTACAAATGACAACTATCTAGTGTCAATCCCCCTCTCTTCCCCTTCCCCTTTTAAGGCTTGAATACCGGGATTCAAAGTAAAAAACATGAACTATAACCAATAGCCATTGATAGTATATACAAATCACTACCTATTAATTGACCATCATAAAATGCACTGCACACTAATAAGTATAATATGAGTTAAAACGTGACTTCGGTCAAGGATGACTGAAGATAGGTAAACTCTAGCCGCAACTAAGCGTCTATATATACATACCATAAATATAATCGAGATGTTTTAATTGATCTAATAAACTTTGCGCGTAATTTTATACAATTACTTTTTCCATTGGTTGTAAAACATTTTTATGCGTAATTTTAATCGAAGAAATAAAAATGTTTTCGAAAACGTTCGACGTTTCAATTTAAAATTATTACTTTTATCGTGAAGCACTATATATTATATTCTGCTATGCCTACACAACAAATGCATCATTTTAATTTTTGCTCGTTCTTATTTATTCCTATGTCCAAAAGCCAACCGAATATCTATATAAAATATGTATATATATATACATTTTATTTAAATTAATTTATTTTGTACACGTTCCATGCGCTAGCTAATGAATATATACATGTCACGTACAGGTATTATAAACAATAGTATTAAAGTTTCGAATTCTATTATCAAAAAAATGCTACGATTAAATTTAACATTCCTCTTTTGTGATATTTATATTGAGATCATGATGGTTTGCGAGAGGAAAAGACGGAGATAATGAAATATAGTGATGAAACGTTCAACATGGTGTACAGTTTTAGCTACGATGTGTGGGACGGAGGGACAGTAGGTTAAAGGTCTCTTCATCTTAAAAGTTTTTGGTATTATGTAGAAAATTAATCTTCTAACAAAATTAATACGATTTAGGACGTAATAAAAATGTACGATATTTAGTAAATGTCGTTGAAATAAAACTATTAAATTAAATACAATTATATTCTAATATCTTAAATCATTGTGAATTACGTTTCATTGGCAACCGTATAACTTATTTAATTTTTTAAAAAGTATAAATTCTACAGTTTTAATATAAATAATATTATATATACATTCGATATAAATAGTTAAATTATTTAAATTAAGTAAATTATTCAAGTCATTTTTTATACTTTCAAATGATTTGCGGAGATCGTGTAAAATTTTTACCAGCACTAGAGAAAAAATGGAAACCCACAGAAGGATGCGACCGGACGAAATTGCTCACCCTCAGACATCCGACGACCATATCAAAATTAAAAAAGTCCGTACCACGACCAGATTATCGACCGGTAAAAAGTGCACTACCGGGTTGGAATGAAATAGAATTAAATGAAAAAATACGCACGTACCACGGGAGCACTCCGACGGGACCGTTGGTTTTTCATAAAGGACTTATGGGAATTCATCCGCTGCAAACTAAGACTAGATTAGATTTTTCTTTAAACGACCCACATAGTAATGAAATAAAATACGATTACAATCCGTTACACGATCCGCATTTAAAAAAATGGGCGAACTCGAAACAAAACCGAAAATTTCTGCACCAACAAGGACTCGTTACCGACGATATGGAAGTAATATGTACTTTAAAAGAATATAATGAATACAGGCGGTATTTATGGCGTAAACATAATGATGAATTTCTAAAACTTCTAAAACTTAAAGACCAACAAAAAGCAGAACAACGAAAAATAAATAACGCTAATAAAAACCATAAAAAAGAAATGGCGAAACAATTGACCCAATTGAAATCTTGTATGGCAAAAAGGAAACCTCGCAAGGTAAGTTCACTATTTCATTAATCTACATCGACTAACAAACAGATATGTTTTATATTATTACAGGCACCTGTATCATCTGTAGATACCTATTGTATAAAAATGAAATAGTTTTAAATATATATATATATATATATATTTTTTTTGGCTTATTCTAGGCAAAAATTCTCCCCTAAATTTCTCTATGTGCTACTAGCTCTTTTCCGTTCTACACTCGATCCTCCCACAGTTGAATAGGCTTTCCTTTCGGTTGATTTTTATTAGGTGTCCATTTCGTGACTAAAATTGGCTTTTTGTTCTCCATACGTATCTGGCTCACTTTAATATTTAGCTCTTGTATTGATTACTATATTGGAATCATTAAATAGTTATAAGTTTTCTGTTTGATATTAGTTCGTAACCGTCTTCATTATTACTCTTCGGCCCAAATATTCTTCGCAAAATTGTTCTTTAAAATGTCATTAATTTGTTTTCGTTAGACTTGATAGAGGTCCTGCTCCACTGGTATAAAATATAATCGTTCTAACGAGGGATTTTATAGTCTGATTTTTGTTTTTCTCTATAAATTGTTGTACGTGTAATTGAACTAATTAAAATAGCATTTGTTTCCAGCTGTGATTCTTCTAAGTATTTCTTAGTGATTATTCGCTTGTGAGTTTATATCTATCCCTAAGTAGGTATTTAAAGTTAGACTTTTTTAAATGATAGGTCCTCTATTATTGTTGCGTACTAAAGATACTCTTTTCTGGATAAAATCATAAATTTGGATTTAATTTCGTTCATAAAACCCATTTTTTTCGTTGCACCAATTACATTTTCAGTTGTTCTTTTGAGACTATCCTCCGTGTCTGCTATCACAACTATACTATTTTCGATAGTTTCTATTCTTAATTTTTTCCACATTCTAAATATATTTTAACCTAATCTTTTTGTATTTATTTTATGTAAAGTACCTATAGCTTATATTATACAATATAATATTTATATACAAAAAAAACCTGTTTTAGCTGTGATTTCTAGTTTCAGATACTGTATAATTAATTTCATTGTAATTAGAATATCTTTCCGTTTATTTATAAATAAATAAATAAAAAAAAAAAAACTAATTAAGGCAAAAATATATGTATTTTTTTCAGGTAGTCGATGACGAAATAATTTACAGAAGACAATATTCACATCCGAATAAAAGACAAATAAAGCCACCCTTCAAACTTAAGAAAATCGAAACTTATACTGTATATGGCTTGAGCAAAGGTGGTGTAGTGGACACCAATAAATATCAAGGTACCTTTATAAAAGGAACTCCTGATGATTTTCACCTATTAGGGCATTTTAACGAATTATTCAATATAAATGATTTAGCCCCGCGTCCGTCATTGACAAACATCAGTGAGGTGGAATGAAAATTATTTTGCGACAGGGCCGTGCCTATTTGATATTAATTCAACCTACTGTATTCTTCTTCTTCTCTGGCTATTTACAGGCCTTTTAGGCCCATTGCCGCAACAACACATTGTCTCCAGTCTTCTCTATTTTGTGCCGTTTTTTCAGCATTCCTTACTCCTAACCTCTTTAGGTCTTCTTTTATTCTATCTGACCATCTCTGTCTAGGACGTCCTCTGGGCCTCTTTGTGTTTGGTTTCCATGAAATTATTTGTCCGATTAGTCCTTTTGATCTCCATACATGTCCAGCCCAGCCTATTCGTGCGCTTTTCAAGATCCCTACAATATTGGTTTCGTTATATAATTCTTCTAAATTTTTATTGCTACGTATTTCATATTCTCCTTCATTGTTTTTCTTTGGGCCAAATATCTTTCTCAATATCTTTGTCTCAAATACTTCTAACTTTTTTTCATCTGACTTTGTCGTCGCCCAAGTACTGCTTGCATATAGAGCTATTGGTCTGACTAGAACTTTATATAATGTTACTTTGGATTTCCTTGATAATAGTTTTGATTTGAACAATGATAATAGTCCAAAGTAACACCTGTTTGCTGCGATGAGCCGTCTTTTCACTTCTTCGTGGCTATTAGCATCTTCATTAATATCTGCACCTAAGTATTTAAAATTTCTTACCCTTTCAAATGTGTACTCATTTACTTTCAAGAAATCCGATCTGTGATTTTGTCTAGATACTATCATGTATTTTGTCTTTGTCTCATTAATTTTTAGGCCAATTTTTTTCCTTTCCTTCAGCAATATATCTGTTGTGTTTTTTAAGTTAACTGTTTCGGCTAATAATACTATATCATCCGCGTAAGCAACTACTGTTAGATGTTGTCTTTTATTTCTATGCCCTTAGCTTGGGATATAACTGTCCTCATAACTGATTCTAGGGCGATGTTGAACAGTGCAGGTGATAAAGCGTCACCTTGTCTAAGACCAGTCGTTACCTGAAACTCCTCTGATGATTCTCCTCCGAAACTTATTTTACTTTTTGAATTATACGTACACGATTTTATTAATCTGGTTAACTTGGCTGGTGTTCCTAACTGGTCCATGACTTCCCATAGTTTGTCTCTGTTGATTGAGTCATACGCTGCTTTGAAGTCAACAAATAGTAGATGTATCTTTATTGTATTCGTGTCTCTCTCAACTACTTGTTTTACAATGTGTATTTGATCTATTGTTGATTTTCCTAGCATAAAACCAGCTTGGTACTCTCCAATTATTTCTTTGATGTATGGGTTAATTCTAGTCAGTAGTATGTTGGACAATAGTTTATATGAAGTATTGAGTAGTGAGATCCCTCTATAGTTTTCGCATTCCATGATGTCTCCTTTTTCGTGTATAGGGCATATGATGGATATACGCCATGCTTCGGGTATCTCCTCTTGTTCCCAGATTGTGTTCATAAGTTGTGTAATGATACTCGTGTATCATCATCAACATAATATTAGTAGTAATACTACTAATTATCTTATTTTTGTTTCATCTTCATTTTTATTTATGTGTTATACATTAATTAGATTTACCGTACTTTATCATATTATAATTAGTCTAATGCATGAACCATAAACCATACGCAAAATAAATAAACATACTATTAAGATAATCTAATATACATTTAAAATTAATCACAAAATTGTAAATCAATATATTATAACACCCGTCGTTACAAAACTATATTACTATTTCATGTATCTGTAAAAATCAAAATAATTATACTGTATAACTATGTACCATATTATATATCATTTAAATCAATAAACAATAACGACAATCTCACTTCAAAATACTTTAAAACCCCACGCTTACAATCGAATAACTGTTAAACTTATATAGTGCGATTGTCGTGTTTTATTTTATTTAGTTTTGTTTTTTGTTATTTTAAATAGTTTTTCCTTACTTTAAATTATTGTAAACTGTATACGTAGTTGAAAATACACGTTGCGTATATTTCTTCACACTCAGAACTTTGCTACTCAAAGATGTATTCCCGTTCGCGGCAGGTAAGCAATTATACCATACACTCATGACCCCGGTAGTACTTCTTCTAATAGGAAAAGGTAATGCCATAAAAAGGGGATATTTGCCATTCACATCCGAATAGGCACCTACCTAATAAACCCCCCTCTTTTTAGGTTGTTACTAAGTGGCGCCCAACTTAGTGACTCTTGATCTAAATTAAATAATTATAATAAAAAGATCAACATTAACTAAATAAAACAAAAAAAAAAAAATAATATAGGTAATAATACTAATAGGTACACTCCCATATAAAAATTACCCAAGTAGGTATCGCAAACAACTGTAATTAAATCAATACATAAAATATAATATTTCAATTAACAAAAATCACTAATATTTCCAATTATTTTTTATATTAATAAGTTTATGTGGTAAAATTTTTTAAAAATTGATAGCTAGATAGGCTCAAAAAGTGATAGTCTAAAATTAAACCAAAATTCATGTATAATATAAACATACAATATAAATTAAAAAACGACTGCTTACTGACGTTAGATTCTATCGACAAATCAGAAAAACCTCAATTAATAATTAACTTAAATAAAAGAGGATTAATTAACACAGGCACTGTCCCCGAATTAAAACAAAGACTCTCGAAATATAAAAATGGAGAATCCCTACCTGGTGAGTTTACTACTCTTATAAAACAAAACACTAATAAAATGGAATACAAAAAACCATATATTAAACCCTCGACTTTTTCTGGATAAACTTCCGAAAATATTGATTCTTATCTAAAAAAATATGATAGAGCAGCAGGAATAAATGGGTGGACAAATAAAGAAAAAGCTCAATTTCTTGTGGCATTTTTAGAAGGGCCAGCATTAACTTTTTACGAAAACGCACAAGCTAAGTATCCTAATAAATCAAAATGGGAGGATTTGGGAAAAATGTTTCGATCCGAATACGAACCAATCTTTCAAAAAGACGTAATTCGTACCATGTTAGAATAACGTAAACAATCAGACGACGAACCAACAGCTACATATGCTAATGAAATAGAATTACTATGTAGACGCGTAGATCCTGTTATGCCACAAGTAGAGATAGTACGAAATGTTATGAAAGAAATAAGATGTTTGGTCCTTAAGACCGTCGGTAGATAGCTGAAAATTATTCATTAGGTATTAATAATTAATAGGTGCCCAGTTACTAATTATAGGCGTATCATAATTTCGTGCAGCTAAATACCGTTCGACAAAATTTCAATAATAAGTGTGGCTTCCCTTTTTTATTATACAGTATTGAGTATTTACAGAAAATCATATTTATACGGTTTTTACCGTAAGATGAATTGTAGTTACTTTTACTCAAAATAAGTTTAATTTGCATTAGCTTATTTTACTTTTTTCGTTTTTTTCGTTTTATTTACGACTGTTAAAATATTTAAATTATTATAGGTTTTGATTGAAGATAAGATTTACTTTTTGCGTCTTTTAATAAGTGTCTGTATAATATGATAAATTGGATAGTTTAGGTCAAATTGATTATTTTATTGTTATAGATATTTTGAAAAAAAAAAATACATTTCGTATGGTGTAGTTTATTTTTATATACTGACGTTTCTAAAAATTATGACTCATAGTGTTAGCTCCCTCACTTTTCCAATTATATCTTTCAAAATAAGCCTCTGACATAATATTAGCTGAATTTGTATTTTATTAAAGTCATTCCTCAAAAGTTTGAAATTCGTAAAAGATAGACTCTGTGACCTGTTTTTGAAACATTTATCGAAGTGCACAATATAATATAGTAAGACGTACATCATCCAACACACAACCTCAAACCATTTAGAATTTTCAAAGTATATGGTCGGTGTGTTTGCTCAAATTAGAAAAACAAAAGAAGAGAGACTAAGCGAATGCCAACAGAAATTAACGTCCCTTGCAGTTATTAAACTTAACTTAGATTGTGGGGGGATTTGCCCCCTATACCTCTCTTACACCACTTTTTAAACATACATTTAATAATTTACAAAAAAAAAAAACCCAAAAAGGGTAGCGGTATAGGGTAAGAGGAGAGTAATAGAGCCCTATTCATTATTCATTATATAGTGTAAATTGTTTTTCTTAAATGAGTTGAAAATTACGCGGCAAATATTATGATCATTTTATAAAATACACATTAAACAAACTGCGGGATACGAAACCACACACTGTGATAATATGAACGCCATGCTTGTAAAAAAAAAAAAAAAAACAACTGACAAACAGTATATTATGTACAAACCAATTTACTCATGCAGTACAATAGCCCTCAGATTGTTGACATTTTGCGAGTTTTTTTTTAACAATTTTGTATAGATACACGGACACGTAAAAAGTAAACACGACAATTGACAATAGTTCCCGCATATTGTTAACTTCTTTGGGTCAAGTACGCTTGTCTGTGGTAAACTATACTAGCTCATGTAAAATAAAATACAGAAATATACACTCTCTAAAAGTGTTGAGAGTCTCTGGTGTCCCGAGGCCCAATTGATCCTCAATCAGGTTTTTGGTATAAACCACTGTTTTAGAAGAGAAGTTGAAAGATATAATATTATAGAGCAATTTTATCTTACATTATTAACGAAATTATGACTTGTTGTCAAAGTAATCTATAAATCAACAAAAATCATACAAGAAATAGCCGGTTTTCTCCATTTAATAATAAAACTACAAGGAAAATAAAAAAATGAGCACCTTAATGCATTAACGTTCTTTGGTTAAAACACTTTTATAGTTAAATATTTTATTATAATCGTTTGTTCTATAAGTATAATGGTATTTAATATATATATAAATAAAATACCAGGTTTAATAATCATAATATCAAAATGTAAATAAAAAAATGTACGAAAAAAAAAAAGATTACAAATTTGTTAAGCATACTGGAAATTGTGCGATTAAAATTATTTACTGTACTGGTAACTGGTTAACTAAGATTTCAATGCACTTTATTAGCATTGTTTTGAAAACCTGGCTGTGCAACGTTCGTTTAATTTTATAATGTATTTTAAATTACGAAGTCGTTATTTAATTGCATTATTTTTAATTTTTAGCGGAAATTACATTCCCGACACACTAATAACGTATACGATATGTATTGATTATATTTATACTAATATAATCGTTTTGTAACAATACATTTGGGCTTTCACTGCTGGACCGGCTAACCTATCCGCGCTAGTAACTATTTTTCACTCGACGTCCCTGCGGTGAAGTAATCCTCTATTTCTTTGAAGCTTTTCCCAAGAGTTTCCGGCAGGACGAGGTGCACGTAAACGGCCATCGCCAGGGACATGATGCCGAAAACGGCGAAAACGCCGTCGACGCCGATGGCCTCCCAAATGTACGGAAACACTTTCATGACGACGAACATCAGCAAATAGGCGTAGGACACTAGTATACATCCGCCGACCGCTCTGATGGACGTCGACAGCAGTTCGCATGTCAACGTCCACGGGAACGCGAGCACGCCCAGCGAACTGCTGAACACGTACAGCAAAACGCAGCATATAGAAGACATGGCGACTGCGGCGTCGTCGGCAGGCTGAGACGTCTTGCGGTTGGCGAACACGACAAGCACGGCGGACAACGTCATCCCGAGGCATGACACTGTCAACAGCGGTTTCCGGCCGACGTAAAAGGATAGCGGGCACACAAATAGGGCGCCGGCGAACCGGACGGCGCCCAGTACGGTCACAAATTGGATCTCGCTCACCGAGAATGCGTCAGGCACGATCGATTTGTGTATGAATAACGCGTACGATATGACCGGGTATACGCCGGTGACCTGTTGCAGGAATATCAACATGACCATTATGCCGAACGGCTTGTACGCTGCAGGACTGGTCCGCAAGGACGTGAAGAAAGACGGCCGGTGATCGTTCGCGGTAGCTTCGTTGCCGGCCGACATCGTTTTCAGACGACTCCACTCGGCTTGGAACACCTGCGAATCGATTGCGGGTGTTGTAATGATGTCGCTGAGCAGTCGGACAGTCGCGGTCGGGAAACGTGCGTCCGAAAAAATATGACGTATAAAATAATATGCGCTGGTTTCGAGCAAGCGTCTCGCACTTTATAATACATAATATACAGTTTTATATGTATAAACTCTTTAATATGATAGTTAAAAAGGAAATTTTGATTAGGTTAACGTAAAAGAAGAAAATAGACATAAGACAGTAGGCATATTATGTTCTGGTATTTGACCTAGCCTAAACCTAATCTGACTCTCACAATAGTGCAGTGTAGTGTTTGATTTGTAACAACGAATTTACTTGATGGTTTTGAGAGTAAATTCGTTTGACGGCCGCTTTGGCCTTGGTGACGTGCCCGGGGCTCTGAAACTTGAGCAGCCAGATCGGGCTTTCTGGCATGAACAGCACAATGAGCGCCATGTTGATGACGGTGAATCCGATGAACGCGAAATTGATGACGTTCCAACTTAGCTGCAATATGGACGTGGACAGCAACACGCCGCCGGAAAAGAAAACGCTGTTCAGGGCCAGAAACAGCTGTTTGTAAGAAGAATGACTGATTTCCGCCACATACACCAAGCCGACAGTAGTCATGCCTGAAACGCGTTTCTTGGACAAATTATTATCATGATGATTGTTACGCAATAGTTGTACTGTTTTATCGAATTTTTCCGCCATTTTTACTATACATTTCTAGCGACCCTCTCAGGACCAAATAAACTCGGGAATCACAGTTGTTCTAGTGGGCAGATTAGAGTGACACAAGTTGAGTTGAATTTCAATATAAATTCATGAATTTAACCATGTTACTGCATGTGGAAGGTTATTTTTTAGCTTTATACAATCTTATAGAATCCTCAAATGAACTCGATGATACGAAATTGTGTACACGCATGACGTTAGTACTATGGTTATGTGCCTTTTGGAGGTTTCAATTTTCAACTCCCCCCCACCCTTATAGTACAATGATCAAATTTTATCTTTTTTTTTTTTTTTGAAAGTAGTATAATCTAATAAGTCTTGGTTTATTATAACATTCGGTTATTTATTATTTAACAAAGAACATTTCTATTACACAAAATAAGTGGCGGAAAATTCGATTTTAATGAGTTCTCTTGCTCACGTTTGTTTTTCTATATATTATTACCTGCACCGATTCCAGCTAACGTTCTGGACACGACGAACAGATAGATACTGTCGGAACTCGAGAGGGCTCCCAATATCCACGACATCAACAAAGGTATGCAAGTTAGGAGACATGACTTTTTCCGGCCGATCCGATCCATTATCACACCAATAAATAAAGCTCCGACAGGTGTGAACAAAGCTAGAATACTTGCTTTCACAAAACAAAATTTAAATTTCACTGTTAAATTTTAAATAATAATTCCAACGTTTACTAAACAGCAATTTTAACGAATTTTTAATAACTTGTTTATAATATCTAATTTCTATAATTATAATATTATCATCAGAAGAAAAGTTTACACGTCTGTATAATAAATTGTTTGAATGCAACTTTGTAACATTTTGCTTACGGTAAAATAAAATGTAATAAATTCTAACATAATTATTTTTAATATTATAATATAGGTACTAGTTATAAAGTATTATTAATTTGCCTTATTTTCACTAATAGATGCCTAAATTAGGTACCTGAAAATAATTTTTGTTCAAATGTTATGTTATAATACAATAGGTAAGTTATGACCATACTATATGATAGTATAGTATAGGTAATAAAATTAATATAATATAGTTTATATAATTGTCATAAATTACAATAAGTAACATTGATATAATCTATGCAATTAATAATCAGTATGATTGCTCGTTTTTAGGATATAACTACATATTATGTATTACACTATTATATGAGTATATATGTATATATATATTTTATTAAATATGAGTCAATTCAAATAAATGTTAAGGACATACTTTTCGATCTGATAATTATTAATAAAATAATAACTATAAGATAAGTAATAATTATCTATCAGAACGAATTAAATTATATTTTAAAGGTAGTAATAATTACTTATCCATGAAAATTGACCGTTGTTTAACGATGGCATATAATGCAAAAGATTATTTGAATAAGCTAAATTGATTCCTGGTTGACAAGCCATAAATAATGCTATACAACAAAATAATATCTGTAAAACAGTATTCGTCACCGTTGAATCAATAATAAACTAATAATTATTATTATCAATAGAAATTATTAAAACAAACTTGAGGGCATAAATCTGTCCATAAAAGTTTCGGATCGGAATTTTTGTCACCTTCGACGTACGTCTTCTTATTACTGTTTGTTGATCTGAGAGCAGAAATATATTTACATTAAAATACGATAATAGCTTACCTACTATAATTCATATTATGTTTATACTTTACACTATACAGTTTAAATAGACAATAGCCTTACACAAATGTATGTTGGTTGTCTTCGTGTTCTTCGTTGTTGTCCACAGTAATTATAGTGTTTGTACTTTTGTTATCAGCTGAAATAGAATATTATGTTCCGCATTTAGTCTTTAGAACATAATATTAATTAAAACTAATTACATACCATCACGTTTACCCGAGTTTATTTGATCTGGATTCAATTTCTCATTTTCGTCGACCGGCACTTTACTCATTTTGATACCTATTTAAAAAATACAATTAAAAATGTTGGTGGCTAAATCAATTTATACACTGTAATACACTAGAGTTGACGATTCGAGTACCTATTAAATAATAAAACAAAGACAATGTATGCGTTCACATAGTATTTACATATATACTGGTCACTTAAACACATGCGAGTTTTAACTCACAAGCTTAGAACAAAATTGACATTGTATAATTAAGTACCTAAATTATGTAACTCTGATAATAAACGCGATAATAATAAATATTTAAAATTGCTTTAATTACATTAAATATATTTCAAATTTTGGTATCTATGGCATAATCGGAAAAAAATGGGAAGGAAAATGTTGATTTCAAAATAAATTAGTAAACACGATTGACGTGTCTATCTATATTCCTTTGAATTTTCCTATAGGTAGGGGTGATTTAAATTAGGCATTTATTTGCGGTTTTCGGGGTTATTGCCGCAATAGGGTTGAATTATGTAACAAAGGGGTTATTTTTCAGTTTTTTTTTCGATTATTTCGAAGTGTTTTTGATAATTTAGTTTATATTTATTTATTTATAAACAAAATACAGCGAAATAGGTCCTATTTCATTATAATATTCAATCTTCTTCAAATCTTCAAAATTTCTTTTCATAATTTCATAATATTTTTTTTATATGAAATAATGAGTTAAATTAAATTTTCAAAAAAGTGGAAAAAGGAGTTGTATTCAGTTTTTGAAAACAAATTTTTTTTTTTTTTTTAAATTTGATTAAGATTGAATATTTTAATGAAATAGGATCTATTTTGTGATTTACGTGAAAAATGAAAAATAATCATTATAGTTTACTAGTTTAACTCTATAGAATTGATTGCTATAATCTTAAACTAGATTAATCCTTAGTTGTTGTACTTAACTACTTATCATAATTAATATATGTTACTTTGAGTGGTGAGGTTTAAATACCTACGGTGTATCTAAATAATAAAATAATACAGTTCGTAAATTGAATTGATAAGAAAAAAAGTTTTTATGTCAATTTTTTTTATTTTTCTGTAATTATCTTTCTGTTCCACCGCAATGAGGTTTTTTCTCAAAAAGTTATCACGGTTTTTACAGCATCCACAACGGAACACAATGAATAAGTGAAAAATTACTTACCGGTATTTACTTTATCACAAATCAAATTGTTTTTTTGCAAATCCTTTTTGATTTTAGAAATATTAGTTTTTAAATTTTTACAATTTTATATTATTTAAAATTTTACAATTTTTCAATATTAGTGTTACAAATATTTATTGCTAAATTTTAAATTAATTTTTATCGGGTTCGGCACTTGAAATTCCGTGCCATGACCGTCATACTCGGCAAAGACGTTCCAAACCGTCGGGACTCTTACAACGTCCGTGTTCAGATACCGCCAGCGGTATCAACATTTTAATTATTTCCTCAGTGACGTCATATTATGATTACATCACCAATCATTCTTCAGTCATCTGTTGCGTTGCTGTTCGGTAGACAAAACGCCTATCCGACTCGTTGGTATTAGAGTAATAATATTCTGTGTTGGTATACGGTCCATTACTGAAAGTGTTGTTTGACAGGTCGCCACTCGCCAGTGACTCGCCACCACTCACACTACGCGGCTATCAAACTCGCCTTTCGCACTTCCGCGTCTCTGTACTCGTCATCGTAGCAGCGAGACGCGATCCGATCCCGTGACGGGACGCAACATCGAATTTTCGGACTCGGCCGACGCATTTCGTAATAATTAAAACACCGCCTACGGGTTCGATTCCGGTGAGTACGAATAGCATTAATATTTATCATTCTTATTTTATCACAACACAAGATAATGGGTGACATGACGTTCCGCTCACAAAATTGTATTTGTTTACCGCCCCAAACTGTACCGACGAAAACACGGATTGTCGGTTTTTATTTCGTATTGAGTAGTTTTCCCATTTTGTATCCGCCTACTCGTCGAGATTTACAATATTGGTTTTGGCGCAGGTGTGCTTTATTACATGTCTGTCCGCTAATCTTTGTTTGCCCACTGTTAATATTATTATCATTCTCCGTATCTACGTACATATTATAGGCGTTTGTCTGTTTTACAATAACTATTACTGTTGCGGCAAACATTTGCCCCAGTCACTTCCGTATTTTCAACGCGTTCGGTTTCTCAGCGAAATTTTATATCGATTTCGTTTGTTTTTAGACATGGCCGATAACAAGGGACAAAGTACCAAAAAACCGACAGATTCTCAAAAGAAACTTCAAGAGTCACAGGCGCAAGTTGACGAGGTCAGTACTATCATATTAACTGTTCTGTGTATCTACCTTCACTATTATTTATGTATCTACATTAATATATACATATATATATATATGTTAATAAAAATAATATTAATTTGTATTAATTTAATCATTTATAAATATTTCAAGGTCGTTGGTATTATGAGAGTGAATGTTGAAAAGGTGTTGGAAAGAGATCAGAAACTATCAGAATTAGATAATCGTGCAGGTATAAAACAAAATTTAATATACTTACTATCAAGAATATTTTAACTGTTAATAACAGCTTAACATTTATCTAAAAATTAATATTATTTGAATGTTCCTATTATAAAATTAACCAATTTAATCTAAATGGAATGTAAAATAAATAACCATAAATATGTAACTTATTTACCTATCTGAATTATCAATTAATATTTTTAAATATTTATTCTATCGCAGTGACACATCTATTTATATTTTTATTTATCAACATTTTTTTAATTATGATTTGACTTAATTGATAGGAAATCAATTTTTTGTATCAACTTCAAAATACTTTTTCTTGAATAATAATAATAATAATGTTATAAGGTACTTACTTCTTTCATATGTGATAGCTTCACTTTTTATTCATTAACCTGTTAAAAACAATAAGTATTTTAATACATTTGTTTCTAATAATTGATAAAAATAATAAGTTTATTGTGTAATTACGTACCTACAGGAATTTAATACAATCAATTTTTATTTCTGCTTACAAAATAACCAATAGGAAGGTAAAGGTAAGTCTGGTATTGATGGTATCCCACAAATAGTAGAGTTTACAGTAAAATAGTTTCTTTTTTGTCTTTGTACATAAACTTATACTTAAGTATTTTATCTAGCAACTGAAGGAAATTACAAATTTTAGTTTGTTGTATTTATTTTGACTTTTGAACCTATTATGAGTATGGTGTAACATTTTTCTGTAGAATAGCATATTGTATAGATAATATAAATCAGTTTTACTGATAATAGTTTATTATAATTATAGCCTTATAAGTATTATACGTAATGTGTACCTAATTCATTATTTTAAGTTAAATATAATAGATAGTATGTAATTTCTAACTAATCACGCATGATTAATACATTAATACATATATAGTTTAAATAAATATCACTTTGAAGGAGATAAAAATAATTTTTTTAAAGAACAAGTATTTAAAAACGATAATTTTTGGTTTTTTAACATTTGTTCATAATTTTTTATGTACATGTAATATGCATGTACAATATAAGTTTATGTTACACCAAAACACAATAATAAACCTAAGTAGTATATTAGTATATTTTAGTGATAGAATTTTAAGATAAATTACCTATACCTACTATTTGTTCAGTAACATTTTACTCTTTAGTCACTAGTTTTTAATAGACAACCTCCTCACTCGTGTAATAAAATAATTTGTATAATATTCACAAGTGTTCTCAACCTTCATTACAATTACTTATTGTATAATTCTTCGTTCAGATTATAAATAATAAATCTTATTTTTAAATAGCATTATTACATAGTTTCATTGTTCTGGAATTGCATTATACATTATTTATTTGTTTTGTGTATATTTCTTAAGTAGTCTTAATACAAAATAAAAAATCTATTAATAAATATGGTTTACTTCTCTACATAGCAGTAACAAAAAATATGCTTCGCAGTTAGCACTTGGACCTGGTGGCAAAGGCATTATAATTATTAATTTCAAAACTAAAAAAGATTAGACTTTTTGTCAAACATATATATATTTATATAAAAAATAATAGGTATAATGTTTTATAAAGGAAAATCCAACCACTGTTTTTCTAAAGTCAAATTTTATTGATCATAACTGCTACAATATCACATTATTATTTTTCAATGTCTACATTGACAACTTTTAGGAGGAGTATGGACCTGGAATAATCTCTTAGCAAAATTATTTATTTCTCAAATTTGATAAAAAAAATCCATGCATGAAATATATTTAGAATTTGAAAATAAATGTGATTTAAGTAGTTTTTATTGTATCTTTAATATCTTAGTCATTTTGAATTGAAATATTATGTATCTAAATTTTATAATTCTATTGTTTCAGATGTATTACAACAAGGTGCTTCTCAATTTGAGCAACATGCTACTAAACTTAAAAGAAAGATGTGGTGGAAAAATTTAAAGGTATAACAATTTTTTTTTTTAAGAAATTACAGTGTTTGATTTAAAAACTTATTAATTATCATTTAACATAATATATACATATTTATTTGTAGATGATGATTATTTTGGGACTCGTGATAGCAGTGCTTCTACTTCTAATTGTTGGTAAGTATACATTTTTGTAATTTTATACAGGGTCTGGCTGTCAAACCTAACGATTTCATTGAGAATTGGTGGCTTAAATGATAGAGACTTTGGCACTATTTTTATCGCTTTTAAATAACCGGAATTTAGTAAACATGGAGCATTGATCAAGTAAACAGGGTGCGTTTGCAGTAAAAGTGTATTACAAAAATAAAAATAGTTTTTTAGGTTCCCAATGAACTTTTCGCCAACAGTTTGGGTTATCTCCACGGGATCCTGTCTTTTAGTCGTAACATCAACCTATAGATGAACAATTTTGAAACCACATCTAACACAACTCGAAATAGAAGCGGTAGTAAAAACCTCAGCCGAAACCCATAAATTGTAGTACTGGTGTGACAAGCAGTAGACCAGAGGGAGAAATCTCTGAAAGTTAGCCAATGAAGGTTGTTGGTGTAGCTAACCAAGAAAGGCATTTGACTGACACTATCATTAAAAAATTAAGTTTTCAAATTTATAACATTAATATCCATTTTTTTACTTTGCACTTGTTAGGCGAAAAATTAAAAAAAAAATGGTTTGACTGCCAGACTCTGTACGTCAATACAATTTCTATTTAGAATAAAGAATTTATAAATATTCAGAAATTTCTGGGGAAATAATGTTTATTTATTTATCGCAAATTGTATTTTTTTTTTCAGGCTCATTTTATCCCAGTAGTAATTGAGCAATATTTTTTATTACAGAAAAAAAATGAAATCATAATTTTAATCATAAAAATATAAACTTAACATTAAAGTTATTTATATAAATTGTGTGATAATGGACTTTTCATAAAATTGCATTTTCAATAGATTACATTATATATATTGTCTGTTACTAAAAATGTTTTATTTTATTTTTTTATTACTCAAATCGTAACTATAATTATTATAATATTTACTTAAAATTCATGTTTAATATTTTCAATTACTTAATCATAACACTACGGTAAAATGATTAAACTATTTAATTGTGTATCTATTATTTATAATTTTTTCTTTTATTATTTTATTATTATTACTTTTAATTTAGTTTGAGAATTTTAATTGGATATGGCAATAAAAATTAATTATAGTATTGAATATATCTTACGTATTTTATTTTTATACATCAAAAACTTTTTTTTTTTTATAAGCATAATGTGAATTATATTTCTTGTCATTCTTAACAGTAACATTATTTTTTGCTAATCATAATATATTAATTATTGGTATGAACAGTAAATATATGAGAAAACTAATATTTAAAAAAAATAAGTATGTTTTAATTAATTTGCTTATACATTCCCAATCAAATATGTTAGAGTATTAATATTAAAACTGTAATAAATATATTTTGTAACTATAGAAATTTATTGTGTACATTTAAATTAAGTTATTTAACTAAATTATTTTGGTGTAGTTAAAATGCACAACAATTTAATGCTGGATCATCACACGTAGTAGTACCTAATAGTTTTATAATTGTTTAAAATTAAAATTTTAAAAATGACTGCGTTTCAAAACAATGTTAACCATACTTCGCTCAGTATAGGTTTCCTTTAAAAATAATTTAGTGTTGCATACTGAATTAAATTATATTACTCTGTATATTCTACTCTATAAATTGAAAATTGTAATATTTCAAAAATATATATGTATAGGGTATCCCACAAAGATATATCCATAGTGATATTTTGGAAAATATTTAATTGTATTTTTTATTTTTGGAAGTTCAGACTATTTACTTTTTATTATTAAAAAAGAGATGATACTGGGGATGGGAGCGACCAATGTTGTAGGTGAGAAGTTAGGAAGGTATGATACACAAGGTTATTTCATTTATATCTAAGCAACGATAAACCGTTGATTGACAAAAGGCGATTCACAGCGCAGTTCAGTAATACATAATTTAAAGTGCAGTAGTTTTTTTTTGCAATATTCATTTAAATTTAATTTCAAAAGTAAGATCAATTTAAGTATTATTACCAAGTTTCAAGTATACGTGTATTTATAATCTAATTATAACAAAAAACTCTGAAAAATTTAAATTCCTTAAAAGCTCAAAAATGTTGACAATGATACATTAAGAAATTAAATCAAAGAGGCGGTTTGTGATTTTTCGATCAAATTATTTTTTCTGGTTGAAAACGTAGTCCGTGTTTTTATTAAATAATAAAATAGTGAAATTGTAAGTTTTCCTAAGTTTTTCCTACTTAGGTGTTTTTATTGAAATAATGACCTTTCTAAAGTATCATTTAGACAACTTGAGCTTTAAGAAAAGTTACTACATGAAAAAATCAGAGTAAGTTTACTAAGAAAAAACATGCCCACACACTAGAAAAAAAAAAGAAATAAAGAGCATTGTAAAACCAATAGCTCCCTCGCTATGCTCAGAATCTAAAAGGTACTTATACTAAAAATCCAATCAAATTGAATTATTATTTTAAAAAAATAATTAGATTTAAATTATTAGGGTGAAGTCTATTTCTGCGGTTATTTGTCAATTTACCAGTTTTTGAGAATACTCGTTTAAAAGGAACAGAAATTACAAAAAAAAACGCTCATATATTTGAGTTGGAGCTTATAAAGTTTTGTAAATATATTTTTGTGTTAACTCCAAAATTGCAAAGGATATTTGGCACAATCTAAGTATGAAATCTCCAAGTATTATTGAAGCATCAGTAAATCTGAAACTTCGGTGATTAAATAAGTTTTGATTTTTTAGACTTTACTGTTAAAGTAACTAATTAAAGAAAACAATCCAGTAAAAAAACAACCAAGTAGGTTTATTGTTTATAGGCAAGGTAGTATATTTAATCATTTTTTTGACTGCCATTAAAAATTGTAATCCATTCAAATGAATTATTCGTTCATTCAATTATTTTTATGTCTACCACTAATCAATTGATTTTGTTTTTTTTAGTTTTTCTCATCACTAATTAAAATACATTTTAGTGTTGAAATGTTTAATTTCTATGGCGTTTGAATACTATTCTCATTATACTTTCTTTAACTGGGTTGACATTTGAAAATTAAAAGTGAAAAATAAGTTATTACTTTCCAAGATACAACAGTGAGTATATCTTTATGGGACATTGGATTATAATGTTTGAATATCTAGATATAGTCTTAGAATTATCAAATGCTTGTACAAATTTGCTTATTTATTTGATGATAATATATTTATTGTCATATCTGGACAGGCCAATAATTCTGATGTTATCGAAATTGATCAAAATATTAAAAACCAACTTTAATGGCAGTAATCTCTAACAATAAACATGTATTTAATTGAAAGCAAAGTAGTCTGTATATAACAATCCTTGTTTCTTAGTTCATCTATGATGGCATCAGCGATATTAACTATAACACATCAACTGACTTACCACTCGTGTACAAGGTGAGTAATAGAGCAATCTTAGATACCACTGGTACCATGAATTATGGAATACGATATTAATATTACCAAATTGTTGGGTTTAATTATAGATACCTATTGGGTCTTTTTAAAAATATTTAAATGTATTATTTTGTGTAATTTTTATAATTTTTTGTCACTCAAATGTTCTTTACGTATATTTCTTCTACATCCTAAAGAACATACTGTATTTGTTTATAGAATATGTTAATATATTACACAAACGTAAATACCTATTTAAATTAGTTATTATATTAATTTATCTACAAAAATTAGTTGTATTCAGTTAGTTTACTCAAAATAACATTATGATATTATTTGTTCCTTATTGATTTAAGGATGGATGGTTGAATGGGACATTCATAATTTCCATTATCTATGGTTTTATTATTTAATTTAGTTAAACAGCTACCTACTCTGTTAATGGATAGACGGTCTGACTGCTAATTATGAATTAAAGAATATAGATTTTCATCCAATGAGCCATTAAATTAATTAAGAAACAATGAGAAACATTCTATCATTTTTGTGAAACAAATTTAACACAAGTTGATCTTTTCTACCTTTGAAAATTTATTACAAAAGTATATTACTTTATTAGCCTCATTTTTGGCTTATTTTCCTTAGTGTTTTTTTTTTTTTAATTTTCTAGTAAATATAATAACTTATGAACGAGTGTTTTCAGAAATATCCTTAACACATATTTTTTTGAGAATAACCACTTACCTACATCGTCGCAGGTTAGATTTTTCAAACAAAGTAAAATGTATCTAGGTAGCTAGGTATATGGTTTTGAGTAAAATAAAAAAAAAATTGTTATTATTTACTTAAAATAAAATATTATACGAAATTCATTAGGTAGTTAAATTTATTTTGATAATTAACTAGGTAGTTAAATCTTTAATAGGCACTCTCATAATGCTCACAATTTGCTCATTATTTAAAAATATAACAACCAAAGTAAATAATAACGAATTAAACTTACTGTGAAATAATTAAGCACGAGAGACTAAGGCAAGTTGGCAATGACAAGCAATAGGCAATACATGAGCGACGCGACTGTGATTTATAATTAATTTCAAAATCACTCGTCACGAAATATTGAATATATTTAATACCAAATTCCAATTAATTGCATTCCTAAATTTTCTTACAAAACCATAGATAAAATGTTATGGCGGGACAACTCAACTGATTAGTACTATCATGAATTAATCTTAAATAATAATCTATGGTACTCATAGGTAGTATATTTATATTTATAATATATTAATATATTTATTATATTATCTATGATGGTACCACATATTTAGATTTCTAACTAGTGATAAGAGCAGATGCCAAAAGAAGCCATGTTGGTTTTGAGCTCTGCAATGTTATCATAACTATGTAATACCAAATTTATCATTTGGCGGAGGATACTTCAAATCAAATCGTACATAATATTACCACAGATAGAGGTAACAAACTAAATTGTTACCTATGTACATGAAAACATATTGTTATGAAAAATAAATTAAATACTTAAATCATTAATCAAAATGGTTGTATAATAAAATACGATTATTTATAATTATTAGTTATTAATTAACAATATTGGAAAGTAACATGTAAAAAAAAAAAAACAAATTTTATTAATTTTATTTAAAAATAAATTATATCCAACACCTTCATAAAAAAAAAAAAAAAAAAAAAAACAGTAAACAAATGAGCATATGCATTTTAAATATTAAGATATTTTAACGTTGTGTCTTATACTTTTAGTATAGACCCAACAAAGCCAGAATTATATTTTATTTCTGTCACAATATAAAATTAACAAGAAATGCTTTAGGAACATTTAAAGCGTTTAAAAATGAAAATAAACAGCTCATTGATTGGAGATACTTGGAACAGTTGTTTGAATTGCAAAATGAAGCTGGATTTAAATTAGGTTATACAATTGGATCAGCGTACGTTAACTGGAAGGGCAACAGTATGAAAGTTAAGCTTGCATTTCAAACTCTAAATAGTTCAGTGACAGATGCTCTTCAGTTTATAAAATAATCATCAAATAATTTTAAAAATTATGAACCAATAATACAGTTCATTAGAGTTCTTGATGAAATTTTTGATTTCTTAAATTCAAGAACTCCTTTTCAGAAAGGTTTCAAACGACCTATTAATATTGAAAATATATTACTTAAAGTAAATAGAATAAACAATCATTTAATGTATTTACATTCACCCCTTAAACAAGACCTTGAATATCTATGTTAATATAGTCAATGCGGGTGGATATTTTTATAATTGTTCCTACATGTTCCTGTTGTCTACATAGATAAAATCTGGATTTTCGAGATTGAAAATAGAGATAGGCAAAACTTTATGGACATTGATCTTCTATGTATCGATGCGTTGACATTTTCAACATCGATTGTTTCGATGTATCGGATTTTAAAGAAAAAACATCAATGTTTTAACATAAAAATTAGTTTCATAATAATAATAGTAGGGTATGCTATTTAATTTGTATTAATACCCAATGCACTTTGTCGGAACAGTTATGAAATGCATCATTGTCGGTGAAAAAGTATAAAACATCGATATTTAAAGTAAATACATATATAAATAAAAAATGTATATATAAAAATAAAATAAATAAATGAATGAAAACCGCGTTTTACATTTTGACTGTGATATTCCTGATGATGAATTTTTAATTCGAAACCGGTCGTATCATAAAACTCCAGGCGACGCATTCATTCATTCATTTATTTTATTTACATATTTGTTTACGAGTATTAACCATTTTAATAATTTTTTTTTTACTTTGTTATTTTATTTTCGATATTTGTTTCGATACATAAAAAAAGATGGTAAAACATGGATGTATCGAATAAAGAAAAATCGAAGTTTTTTGTCCATCTCCAGTTCAAACCATCATTGTCCAGAATTGTATTATGATTTGGAGGTTTTAATTACCTATGTAGCTATATGTATATACCTAACCGTCCTTGGACTGTTATGGGTCAGTGGGTAGACAAACCGATAAATGACCACATTTAAGTATAATGAATTAAATTGTATAGAACGCAGATCCTAATGTGACGTCAATAATGTACATTTTGTTTCACATTCAAAAATATCACGTTAGATAGAATATTTACAAATCATTTTTTTTTCTGTTGATTACAAAACAGTTGACACATATAATAATAATAATAATAGCAGTACCTGTTACTACTTACGAAATATATTTATATCGGGTTTATAAATTTTAGTTTGGTTTTTGGTAGATTTAAGTATGGGTGTTTGTGCCAATACAAATTATACAACACCTAACTGAACATCTCCTAATGATATTATATTACCTGGTTCACTGACGTATTTAGGATTTTACCAAGAAGGAAGATATTGCATTTTGAAATATTTTGTTTTATAGATTGTATAATAAGTACTTAGGCTAGCTAAAACAAAAAAGATCAAATTTAAAAATGTACGTATTTTGTATAAGTATT